ATGTTGTGTAACATCAGCGAGCAACTATAACTCAGATTTACTAAAATCTGTGCATTGCTAAAGCGGACATCCCGGTGTAAAACGGACCTTATATTTCGTGAGGCAGATTTATCCTTCCCGTATCCAAAAGCTGCTGTCAGGGCAGTGGTCAGAGGATGCAAGGAGTGTCAGTCCATCGACCCAGCACCTGCGCAATGGCAAAAGGACAAGTGAGTGTAAGCAGGGTGGCACCGTGTTGGAATGACATCACCCATTATAACGGACATCACTATTTAACCCTGATTGACTGTGGCCCAACCCGGTTCACTATTTGGCGGCGTCTGCGTCGACAGGATTCCTGGCGTCATTGACCACTTGGGGTCATTGTTCTTTGAACGTGGACCTCCGACGGAACTCCTCACTGACAACGACACTGCATTCCGCAGGACACTATTCAAAGATTTTGTGGATTCGTGGGGAGTACACCTCAGATTTCGCTGCGCGTATGTCCCATCAGGGTATGGCCTAATCGAGCGATGTCATCGGAGCATCAAAAGAATCGCTGCTGGAAGCAGTGTTCCATAATGAGGCGGTGTATTGGTACAATGTTACCCGAGAGACAATAATGTCGCCCTCAACTGCGCCAGCCAACATGATTTATCAGTACAAAGTCCGGCTACGAGGCATTGACGCAACGCGTTCAACTGAACGGATAAACGAACGTGCGCCGTATGACTTGGGCGATCGCGTGTGGGTGAAAGATCCACACAGCCAGTTTACAACCCGGTACCGGTGGGGCATGTTACTGGACTCGTAACTCGCGCTCTGTGCTGGTTGATGGCATACCAAGACACATAAAGACTTGCGTCGCTATGTAGGTACAGATACGTCAACAAAGTGACACTAGTAGTGAGTGCTCAGAAAGTGAACAAATAATTACCATTGGAGGTAGGGCTAGCACCCTCTTCAGATGGTGAAGACTCTGTGCGTGAGGTTGTCAGACCAGAAGAATCCTCAGAAGAAGAATCTTCAGAACATTCTTCAGATGATGAAGACTCCTGCGCATGAGGTTGTCAGATCAGAAGAAACCTCAGAACATAACACACAATCTCCTCCAACAGTCGCCCCGCTCCGAGAACCTTGAGAATAAAGAGGCCCTTCCACAGAGTGTCACTTATGTGACAGGGGGAGTGTAGTGAAAGAGATAATCAGGTACCCCGGAAAAAGTTTGTGTTTTGTGTGCGATCTGCCGAAGAAGGATTACCAAAAAGTAGTCAGCAAAAATCTTATAGCGAAGAAAACGGCGACTTTCCTCGTCAACCCAAGCGACAGCGCATCGCGTGTATTCTGTGACAGAAAAAGAAACAAGTCCGTCGCTATAAGAGTATATTGATATGCAAATTACGGAGCATCCTATCCCAGCTGTCGACGAATGAAAAAAATAGGTTCTGCCGATAAAAGCAGCTTGTGTTCTCGATTCGGGGGAAGGAAAATTCGGGCATTTTTGGCTACGGCGTTTGTTGGAGAGCGAGTTATTTTCCTGACTGGTTACACGCATTGTGATTTAAGATAGTACCGGCGAATTGAGTTTTCAGCATTTCTTTCTGCCCCCGATACTCGAGTCTGTACTTAGTGATTTTTCTTTGTGTTGTGAAAGTAATCTGCGACAAATTTGCTTTGAGAACGCTTACACTTACATATTAATCTACGCCCAGACTTTTTCCCTATTTCACTTTTCTTGACCAAATTACTGCTCTCCAAAACAAACGTACACAATATCGTAAAATCAAAAGAAAATGGTTGAATCCGTCAACACAGCTATAATGACAATATTCTCCACACGTGACAATAACTGACGTTATTTTCAGTTAAGAATATGAAAATAGCGTTCTCTACATTCATCCAATTGCTAAGAACATTCTGTTTTTTATTATTAGTTACATTCTTTAATTATATTCATTTCGTTTTTTGCTTTGAGAAAGTCCACAAATTGGACGAAACGCGTCAGCAATAACTACAGTTTTCCTTTTGTCATTTATAAATAGTCATTTCTACAGTTTAACTCTTAGAAATTTTCATATCTATCTATCTCTATATATATATATATATATATATCCGATGTGATGAGAACGAAAGTAATATATAAATTCCAACGTTCACACCATTAATCCAAAAGAGGGCTCGATACCGATAGTAGAGCGATAATTATTTATTTATTATAATTTTATCATATAGACAAAACCATTTTATTCACTACAAAGATGCAACTTCGTTTCAATGCATTTCAACTGCACTTTGACGGGTGAAAATCAAAAATGATTTTCAATTCTCACCCATCGAAGTGCAGGTGTGACACACTGACATTCGCATTTATGATTTTCATTTTCGATTCTCACCTGTCGAAGTGCAGTTGAAATGCACTGAAACGAAGTTGCATCTTTGTAGTGAGTAAAATGGTCTTGTCTATATGATAAATTATTATATATATATATATATATATATATATATATATATATATATATATATAAAAAAAAATCGTTGACTATTTTTTGCCAATTTTATATCAATATTTCATGAATATAAAAATAAACTCAGTAAAATTCTGTGCTAGTCTTGCAAAATCAACTGTAAAATAAGAAAATAATAGACAATAAAAACAAAATTAAACTAAAATCTTTTTAAGATACATACAGGTGTTGAAAAGCTCCCTGGTTTTTTAATCCAACAAGCTGTTGTTTGTCGGACAATCATAAGTCTAAAACTTAGAGCCTTAAGCCTACTGCTTATATTGCTGCTGCAGTTGCATATCATACTTGATTACATTCATCAAGTCTTGCTGTCACATCTCTTTCTTTATCAATGGCTTCTATATTGCATTTATTTCTATGTTAGGCCTGCTAAGTAGGCCCTCAGGCCTAGCATATGCGCTGATTTTAACTCTCCAATGTTTTTCTCTGTCTAGTATTTTTACTACATTTTACAGGGGTTAGTGAGTACCCTTTTCCATCTATACATGATTTCATTAATCTTGCCTCTAATTATGACTTTTCAATGTTCCTCCAGCCTTACTGCATTTCAGACAGAAATCAACTGGCCAATATCTTTCTCCAAAAACTTAGCCATTGTTTACAAGCAGCAGGGTAATAATCCCTATCCTAAACTTACTTTCTTCATAAATTGACAGATAATAGTCAAAAAAAAAAAAAAAAAAATCACCACATCATATTTTTCTTTTCATCTTCAGTCCAATACTCTACCAAAACAGAAAATCCAAAAAGAGTTGCCATTACTGGACAGCAGGAAAAGAAAACATGGAAGAAAAGATGATCATTTTTATGTATTTTATTATAAAAACTTTTGCTTGGGAAATCAAATTTGTGGCAGGCAAAAGCAAAATATCAATAAAAGGTTACAGACAATATATCTGCAATTTTGAATGAAGAAATTAACATTTCAAGAGTTATTTTACGCTATTTACAAGTAGACTATTATCGTCATTGTTGTTGTTATCCCAATGTTTCAACAATTTTGTATATGTCAATCTGGGTAACCTACAGGGAATTTTGAACTGAACACTTTATTTAATCTACAGGTGTGGATTGTTCTTGTTCCACTGTCTATGTCGAGGGATATCTCATCTAGTTCTTATTTTAGTACTGCTAAGTTATTTCTCACTCCATTTCTACTGAGTCCAAGTACATTGCCCAATGCAGGGATTGAACTCACAAATACTGTCACCAAATTCAAGAACCAACACATAGCAGTGGAATGAGAACAATCTATCCCCATAAATTAAATAAAGTGTTGAATTCCCTGTAGATTAACTGGATTAACATACACTTGATGATGGTTGGAGGGTACAACGGTTGAATAACAATAACAACACTGAAAACAATAGTCCAAATGTAAATGATATAAATAATGATAACTCCTCATCCCAGAAATTCAGACAGACATTTCATTGTTTAGACAACTGACCACACTGGCCAACAAAATTTTTTTGGTATACAAGGTAAGATGGTTTTCTTGGGTATACTGGGGTCCCGAAATTCAAGAACACTGGTTTTGTTCAATTGATTCTAGTTTTTAAGATATTGTTGAAATGCTTTTCTCGTGTATTTGAATTTGTACACAATGATACTAATTGGATTACTACGTTACTGGTGCATGGAAGATTACAACAAAACCACATTTATTATGCGATTTAGGCTATTAATTGGTAATCAATTTTGAATAAATGTATCACTTTTATTTAACTTTTCTGATTTCGTGTGAATAATTAAAATGTGATATTTACTTACAGTATGCTTCTATTTTAACAATCAACAAAGAGTCAGAATATTTTTCAGTGATATTCTCATTTATGACAAGAGATTAATAAAAAATTATAAAAAAAATATTTGAACCAAATTTTACACCAAAAGTAAACTAGCAAAATAAGCAATGTAAGCTATTCAACATATCTTACAAGCCCAATATTGCAAACTGTCCATGTCATTGTACTTTACTTCATCTGAAGGAAGCTTTTCTTATATGACTTCCTTTTGCGAGTTTTCTGAGTACAATCACACATAAGGCTCCAGCAGCAATCGGACATCATGAGGGCATCCTATCAGCCTTGGTATCACTCCTCCAGTCTTGATGTTTTGGTAGAAAAGTTCTCCCTGTTCTTCGTTTACATCACCAAGGTATTCAGGTAGGGGATTTTGATACTCATTCTTGTTTCAAGAACTTGGAAGTTTTTTAGCATCATTTCAACTACTTCCTGATAGTTAACCACTTTATTTTGGCCCAGGAAGCTTTTTTCCATGCAGCAGCCTCAATTTCAGTCATGTAGAAGACAAAACTTCATCGTTAATCATTCTTATTTGTGTCCATCAACAATTCCTGCCTTCAGTTTCTCATTACTTAGTTCAGAAATTTCTGAGCTGATATAACTGAAGCAACTGCCATCTTGATCTATTGCTTTGAGAAATTGTTTTAATAGTCCCAACTTGATATGTAGTGGGGGAAGGATAATTTCAATTAGGGCTAACTAGCATCTCTACCACAAGCTCTTCTCGAATAGGCCAATCCTTCATTTCCCAGTGTTGATCGTTGGCTCTGCTGTCCTATAGACAAAGAAAACATGAGTACTTGTTAAAACCACATTGCTGCCCTAACAGATGTTAACCATTTTAAAATGCAAACATATCATCCACTCAGTTTTTGTTGAACAATCTTTACACTTGTGTAGTGCACCTTCAAGGTCACTGAATGGCCAATTGGAATACAAGCAAACTTGTCACCATTGTGCAACAATAAACACTTTGAACTTTGTTTAGAGCTGTCAATAAACAAATATCACTCAGCTGGATTTGTATTTAGGCAGTCCCATTGCTAAAAAAAGGCCTTGGACATTTTTGCAAAAGACAAAGTTTTCTTCTCTAAGATAACAAATTCCTCGTCTCTTTTATGGTAAAATGTAATCTTAGCTTCAGAGTCAAGAACACGATAGTCACTGAAATGGGAGCCCAAAATCTCAGCTGCCTCTTTTGACAAAGCTAGATCACTAACAGAGTCATTTAGCTCTCCTTGTATGAAAAGCTTCACTTCTGCAGTCTGAATATTTCTCAAATATGAATGATGAATACAACTACTGCTGTTGCAAGCTTCATCCATTGCTTCTGCAATATGTCGTCATCTTGATCTAGATCAAGCAAGGAAATAAAAACTGGAACAGAAACACCACTACAATGTGGAACTGGCAATCTAGCAAATTCAATTTCAGGATAGTGCTACCATTTCTTGTGACGGTCCCTTCCTGACATGTTCACCATACAGAAGTGGCAATCGTCATCATGATTTTTGGGCTCTCGTTATGCTATTGGTATCCCAAACTTCTATGACTTGACTTTGTTTTGGGTCCACAAGCGAAGGGTTTCAGTATAATTCTTACAAGCTTTGGGAGGAGCCCATGACTTATCTTGATCCCCAATCTTCACACCAAAGTAAGGTTGATATCCTCTTCTGGTGAAATCTCAAACATTTGAAACTGATGTAATGAATATGCATACACCTGGGTTCCCCTCACAGTAATATGATTGGCTGGTGTCAGCCATAAATACAGACTGATGTGGAGGTACATGGCTACGCCTATTGCCTACCACTACGACAAGGACCAGTCCATTACGGTTACCTGCTAGATTGTCCTATTTGGTTACAGTAGTCCAAAACCATTTGGCTACTTCAACAAATATATCCCTTTCTGGGCCATATCAGAAACAACGCCTTTTGGACATATATTCACCACATATGTAGCAGAAAATGCCAGGGTCTTTGGGGCAACATTTTCACTTAGAATTCAAGGATTAAAGTTTTGTATACTGGAAATATAGAGGCACTATGTCACTGGCAGAGCCTAGTACACAAATTCCATCTGCAAGACTTGTAGCAGAAGATTGGTTGGAACTCACTAGGCTCTTTAGTATCATCCGTGTCTGTAACAAGAACAATGGTATCAAGAGTTTCTCCTTAATATCTAAAGAATTATACAATTTTAAGGAATGTAAACTGTTATATCCCAGGCTGATAGGATAAACAAAGATTATAAAATAAAAGAGTAATTGTATTTTAAATACAAACAATATTTATTTTTTTGTCTCACCTTGATGCAGGTAGATGGAAAAAGATTAAAATTAATCTGAGTCTGTTTAAATGACAGTTTATCTTGTTTCTCTCCCTGTCTGGAAGTAATTTTCTGTACTGAAAATGAAGAATTCTTTCTTGGGTAGAATTATCTTGTCAAATATAAACAAAGTGATGAGTAGAGAGTGCAAATCTAGCATGTTCGGAGAAAATTAAATCAGCAAAATTTATTGATGTCCAATATCTTGAAAACTAGAGCCAATTCAACAGAATTAAGTACATTTTTTGGATTCAGTGACCTTGATTTACCCTAAAAGCATTCTAATATCACATTCTTTTTTGGTTGGCTCGTGTTATTGGCGCAATGTTTCAGATTACATGGCCCTTTTCTCTTAAGATTAAAGTTTTTTTTTCCTGTTTGATACTGTTTTCAGGTTTGCACTTAGAATAAAAAGAAATTCTTTAAAGATTCTAAACCTGAAGATGACCATAGTCAGAATTAGTTGAAACATTGTAGGAATAACCAAACACAAAAGAACAAATTCAATTATTTGGTGCAGTGTTTGTGAAATTGTTATCAAATTTATCAACGTATCTGTTTACAGGTAGAGTAAAACCTCAATTTAATATCCCTTGATTTAAGAAATGTTGGACTTAAGGAAACACTCATGAATCACATGGACCATAACAAAATGATTTTTTTTTATTTTTCACTAAACAAAGTTATATAAATGCTAGAAGAAATCATTCACAGAGTCCATGTTAAGTTACTAAGCTATAAGAGTTAGTTGTAAATGAAAAAAATCTTGCTGATCTCTGTGGTTTTTTTGGGTTTTTTTTTTTTTTTAATGTTCATCAAATACAAGTACCGCTCAAAGTAGAGGGTTACTGTTTCATATACAGTTTTTACATTGGTCATTTGCATATTGTCTTCAATTTAACAAAACAATGTTCATTAAATGCAATGATCTACAGAACTTGGTTCTTCTTGACAAAATGAGTGATTGGCTTTAAGGAACACACTCTCTCAGCAATTAATTCTTTAAATCGAGGCTTTACTGTATTTGTGATCATCAGTTTGATCAAATTTGACACTCAGCTCCTTGAAGGTTACTTGTATAAAAAAAAAAAGAAAAGAAAAAGCAGTTCCATTCAGCTGATACTATCAATCCCAACTCAAGAATATCTAAAGCTTCAACATATAAAGAAACACAAGAAACAGACCAATATAGTGATGCTGTATGGATTTCTTCAATGAAGATTTATAATAATTAATCTGGTTTGGCTAGTTTATTTGTAATCTTACTTTTGTTGCTTTCCATAACAATATTGAGAGTTATACTTTAGCACCTTTCATTATTCATAAATAATACCTCCCTTTCCATTGGAGGTATTTTTTTTTTTTTGCAAGACTCTCTCAATTGTTGTTACCCAATTTTTAATTTCAGTCAAAGTTGTTTTCTGTTGCCATAGCAGGAGATAACAACACAACTGCAAAATTTAAATATCATTCTGTGATTGGAATCACCCATACTGGCAAGACAAATATTTGGCTCAGCAAAGTCTTCTAAAGAATGCTAATATTTAAGCAGCATGAATCAAGGGTGGGGAAGAAAAGAGAAACATCCTTTGATGAGATTTGAACTCATTTCCTTTATTCTTGTGTGTCTAATATGAATGATGCCTTACTGATTCTGTCCAAAAAAAAAACAGCAAACAAAGTTAAATCAAAGTTAATATAGCTACATTCTTTCTCATCCAATAAATAGGTGTTCATTGTTGGGGTAAGAATAATCTTGAACAGAAAATCAACATTCTCTACTAAGTGTTCCAAGAAACAGGACTCAAAATTTCCAAAAAAGAACTATGATCTGAAATTGGAATGAAAGCAGTGACGACACATACCTTGAACCCATCATAAAAATCCAAGATGTGGAATTAGTAAAAACTAAACACTTCAAATACCTTGACATATAGATCAGTTATAACAAATTTAGTATTGGAGAAAAGGAAACGGAACATAGAATAGGCTGTACTAGAGGCAGCTTTGCCCAACACTGCAAACTGATACAAAACCAAAACATCAATCAGAAAACTTGTCATGTTCTTAAATAGCGTCAGTCAGATCAAAACTTTCACCAAAGCCGTTCAGAAATATCTAAGCTGTCAGCTGTATACAACCGCTTTCAAGATCAATGGTTAAAAATAGCTTTCAGCAAATGAAGCCTGTGGGTGTTAACAAAAACCACATTTCTTTGAACATTGTGAACTTGTGCTACAGAATCACAAACAAAGAACTGTACCAAATAACAGAAACCACATCACTTGAAAACACAACAGCAACAACAGCTAAAATGCATGTCACATGTAACTGGAAGAGAAAATAATGACATAATAAAGATGTTGACATTTCATAGCTTAAAATAGAAAGTTAGGAAGAAAACCCCCATCAATACTGGAAGTGAAATAACAGCTACTTGACTTAAATTGTTTAAGAGAAAGATTTTGTAAATTTCAACTGACAGCAGTACTGGCTGTTTAGCCAATGAATGCTAAATGCTTCCTTATAAGGAAACAGCTAATATCACCATTATCATACTGTTAGTTTGTACCTAATAATTAGATTTCAATTTCCTGCTGTTTGCTTTATGGTTGTAGAATGTAAAGTGACCTGACCATTATGATAAAAATGCAACAATAAAGACGAAACAAAAAATTTAGACAGCTTAAGACTATTATATCTACTATTACTAGATGTAAACATACTACAGAGAAAAAAAATGTAGAAATGTTACTAAACTTGAATTTTGCTTGCTGATGATTCCCTGTAGCAAGATGAGTAAGGCATTATCTATGTCAGACATTCTCCCAAGAATACATTTTTCTGTCTAAATCTTTGAGAAAAATTAACATCATTATAGACTGACCTTTTCAAACTTGTGCACGATATAGATGGTGCAGCAGAAATATCTCCCACATAATGGTAAGACATTAAGTAAATGAAGACACCAATGCCGCTAAAGTCTTACCATTATGTGGGAGCTATTTCTGCCTCATCTTGTAGTTACAATATTTTGGCATTTATACCCATCTCCTGCCATCTTCATTAACATTCTCAGAATTTTTAACTGAGCACTTTATTCAATCCACATGGATAGATTGTTCTCATTATTCTGTTGATACAAGGTAGAGCTGCTTTTTTTCTATTCTACTGAAGCAGAGTATATAGATTTCACTGCTTGATCCAAGGATTGAAATTCTAATCACTAGATACACTACACATACTTGACCAACATTTTTATTCACAAGGCCATTGTCCTGTTTGACAGACAGTGAATCCATACATCCTGGTACAGAGGAATGGGAAGAAGTGGCATCACGATGCGGAATGAACAAGAGGACAAAGTAATGGGGAAAAAAAAAAAAAAAAAAAAAAAAAAAAAAATGAAGTAACATGAGTTATCTCCCCTGGTATCGACACCACAAGGAATTAAATTAACTACAGGGTGCAGCAGAAATACCTCTCACATAATGCTAAGACATAAGCTAGATGAAGACACCATTGCCACTAATATCTTACCATTATGTGGTAGGTATTTCTACTGCACCGTCTATATTCTTAACTGCATGATGCCACATTATAATGGCCAAAATGTGCTTACAAAAATACTTGTAGAAGTTTTCCAATCTCATCAAAAATTACTACTTTTTCTCTTTACCCAAGCGATACTGCTTATTTGTGATAGAATTTAAAAACAACCTGACAATTTCAATAAAAGGCAAAAAAAAAAAAATAAATAAATAAATTAGATTTAAAACAAAACTCTCATCAATAATGAATAAATGTTTGTGTACAACTTCTAAAAAGTTTTGACTTATTGCTAAAAAAGGTATGAAATGGTTTTTAAGCTGATGGTCAAGAAATTTACTTTCAATAGCTTGTTTAAAATTAATGGTTAGATCTATTAGGCTTAGTTATAGATAGAATGGGAGAGAGCTATTTTGCCATGGGTTCTATAACCTTAAAACTTCTTGACCAAATATCATTGCTTTTAACCCTAAATTATCAATTGACACTTTAAGACTAGTTTTGGATACTTCATTTTTTTTTAATTCTGCTAAACTCATTAAGGATAATCAATTCAGCAATGACTTCATTACAATTCAGAGAGTTTTCATAATCAGCTATTTAACTCCTTTTGGCTTTATAACTTGTAAAGGTTAATTATAAAGTCAGGGTGGGGGGGGGTAATTATAAGTTTACAACCTCCTTAGAATTAATTGCGTTGGTTTAACTTGCATTTAATTTGACTTACTGACAGAACACGATCTTTGAGAAGAGACTTAGCTGGATGAGAATTCATTGCAGATGCCAATTGGGATTTGGTTTGCAATTTACCACTTTTTGTGTTAAAATTTCATTTCGATTTTATTTCAGAAAAAACAACCAAAGAATCAGTATAATTTTTAATAAAATGTCTTTTACCAAAAATTGCCAGTCGTCTTCTTTTGCCTGCAAGATTTACTGGGCAAGTTTATTTTCAATGAAATTCAATATGTCCTCTTTTGATACTTTGTTCTTGTCCTGAGCAATGTCCTGCAGATCATGCACCTTGATGCCTTCTTCCCATGTCCAATGGAGTCTGTTCAAACGGCAATCCCTTCAAAGAAAAAAAAGAAAAAAAGAAAAAAAAAAGAGTAACAAATTCTTAATAACAGATCACTGTGCTGAAAATAAGTTTTTGAATTATACATTCATGCTCCATGCATAGACTATGAATAAAACAATGGAAATTCCACAAAGGAAGAATGTTAGTCAATTAATTTTTTTTATGGCTTATCAACCTTTTGCAGGTTATTTAAAGCCAGAAAATATTTTTAGATTTAAAAAAAGATTTAAAAAAGACTATGAATAAAACAATGGAAACTCCACAAAGGAAGAATGTTAGTCAATTAATTTTTTTTTTATGACTTATCAACCTTTTGCAGGTTATTTAAAGCCAGAAAATATTTTTAGATTTAAAAAAGACTATGAATAAAACAATGGAAATTCCACAAAGGAAGAATGTTAGTCAACTGATTTTTTTTTTATGACTTATCAACCTTTTGCAGGTTATTTAAAGCCAGAAAATATTTTTAGATTTAAAAAAAGGTTTAAAAAAGAATACGAATAAAACAATGGAAATTCCACAAAGGAAGAATGTTAGTCAATTAATTTTTTTTTTATGGCTTATCAACCTTTTGCAGGATATTTAAAGCCAGAAAATATTTTTAGATTTAAAAAAAGATTTAAAAAAGACTATGAATAAAACAATGGAAATTCCACAACGGAAGAATGTTAGTCAACTGATTTTTTTTTTTATGACTTATCAACCTTTTGCAGGTTATTTAAAGCCAGAAAATATTTTTAGATTTCAAAAAAGGTTTAAAAAGACTACGAATAAAACAATGGAAATTCCACAAAGGAAGAATGTTAGTCAATTAATTTTTTTTTTATGACTTATCAACCTTTTGCAGGTTATTTAAAGCCAGAAAATATTTTTAGATTTAAGAATTTTTTGGGAGATAATAATAATGATTTTTTGCTAAGTCCTACTAATTAACTCAGAGCTGGAGGCAGGGAGAGAAGAGTTGGATTTATGCCTTCCCCAAAAGTATTTGTGCATAAGTGTATATAACAAACCCGACTGGAATTGGAACTTGGGTCTCTGATTTCCAACTCCAAGCCATTATCCAATACACCACCCACACATCTAAGCTTACAACACCTTGTATTCCCAAGCGGTCATTCATTTAGGTACTGACCAAGCTTGATATTGCTTAATTTCAGTGATTTTTCAAGAACTGGTGTTTCAAGGTGATATGTTTATAAGCCTGTGTTAGTTAAACTAATGTGTGACGGACAAAATGAAAGCAAAGTACACATCTCAAAAGCAGGGGACATTAAAGTGTTTGGCACTTAAGTAGTGAAAGTAGTCTGTTTCAGACTACCATATCAATATCTATTACCATATATTAATTGTATTACCATTCTGTGACCATAATTACCGTTTCAATGATGAAAGTAGTGAAAATGTTAATTTAACATTCTTTGGTACTAAATATGTTAAGTTTTCCTATCAATGGAGACGTGTTTTTTTTTTTTTTTTTTTGTTAGTAATCATTTCACCCCAAGCAAGGAAATAAAAGCCACTAGGATGCAAGGGGTTACCGAGACTGAAAGGAACATAGATGAATGACAATAAATGAATAGAAAAATGACAATTGCATTGCAGTGAAATTTTGAAAGATTGTAGTCGACAGGACAGCAAGAAGCTGGAAGAAAGTTCCACAAGTGAAAAATGTGAGCAAAGAAACTATTAGCATAGAATTATGGTTGCAATGTAAGCATGGTCAGTACCTACATGGGTGATCACTTGAAGATATGACGTGCTGTAAGCTTGGATGTGTGAGTGGTATAATGGATAATAGCTTTGGAATTGTTAATCGGAGAGTTGAGTTCCAATTCCAGTTGGGTTCATTATATTCACTTATGTGCAAATACCTTTTGGAAAGGTATAAATCCACCTCTTCTCCCCCAGCTATGGGTTAATTAGTAAGACTTGTATCACTAAATCACTATTATCTCAATAAAAAAAAAATTCTTACAATATAAAAATATTTTCTGGTTGAAAATAAGCTGCAAAGGGTTGATAAGCTGTAGAAAATGAATGAATCAATCAAGGTTTTAACTAAAAATTTCAACACTGAAATTATTTATAAGACTTGTCAACCTAGTACTTAATTAAGTATGTTTAAATTCATGAATTTGAGCTACTAATGAGGAAAGTTCATCAGAACAATTACCTATATCTATAGAAGAGGAAAAAGGAAGCTACATCATAGAGCTGAGAAAGTGACTGAAGCCGAGATGCCAGGTCTGATAACATTGATGATGATTCTTTGGATTCTATCAAGAATCTCTAGACACGTTGCAGAAGCATCAGACCAGATGTGGCAGAAATACTCAATACACAGACAAATAAGTAGACTTATAAATGTGCAAGATAGATTCTAGTGAGAAAAATTCTCTAGCACCACATAGTGATCCGACTTTCTGAGCATCAGACTTAGCAATTGATTTAATATAACCATTCCACTTCATGTCAGTGGAAAGTGTGAGACCAAGAAATCACAGTGAGTTGCTCTGGCGCCATGCTGATGGAAAGCAAAAAGGGTTCTTCAAGATGATTAAATTTAATGCCTCTAAACTTGTTAACTTTAACGCTTCTAAAATGAAGCTGGTCACTATTACAGTTTCATTTTAAAGTGTTAAACTTAAACTGCTAACAGATTGGTAGTATTTTCAATGCGCCTACATGCAATTTATTAAAAAAAACTAGCAGTATAACCTGACTTTGACCGGGTCTTTCATTACTGGGAATTTTTGCCAATCATTTGTAGCAGTTTAATTTTAAATTCAGCCCACCCGAAAATCAATATTAGTAAAAACATTTGGGTGCAACTGAGGCACATCCCCAAATGGGGGGTTAACAATTTGAATTGTGGGGGGGTCCTGAAAGGGAACTGTATAATAATAAATAATATTATTGTAATAATTTAAACTATTTTTATTAAAGTTTTTATGAAAGATATATATCCAAGAACAGATAATAAATAGTAAAATGTTGCTGAGAGTTATAAAGAACAGGAAGTAGTAGAGAGCCATCGTCACCAATAATTTGGTCTCAAAACTGGCACTGAAGAATTATCTATCAAACAAAAAAAATTTCATCAAAATTGGATGAAAACTGTGGAAATGCATAAACAACATCTGATCACACACACATTTTGAGAATTATAGATTAGAACATTTTGGATTCTGTATCCAATGCTGTGTTAACATTTACTATGTAAACAAGAGACTCAAGAGCTTTCAAAATGTGGAATATGTTAATGACTTTTCTCAGAGTTACAGGCAACACATTTTGGGATACTGTATTTTCAAGTCAAAGTTTATATTGTTAATAAGCTTAAAAATGTAGGTTTTTACTTGTGTCAATAATTCAAGTTCTTGTAAATGATCCTTAGTAAATTACATGATATACAGTGAGGTTGAATAAGTGATTGTACACATGAAAATATTTCATATTTTTATTTGTAACATATTAAATTAACAAAACGGGAATATATCTACTGTATCAGATTGCATACTAAAAATGTATGCATATAAAACTAAATAATATTCCATGGTTAAGAAAATATAGCAATATTTAATTTTTTAGGGGTTTAAAAAATGATCGTACAGCAGAACAAAAGCATGTTTTCTCCATTTAATATTTTGTAGCAAAACCTTTATTAAGTTCAACAGCAACCAATCTCTTCTTGTGTTCTTTAATTAGCGATTCGTATACTTTAGTAGGTGTTTTGTCCCATTCTTCATGAGTAATTGTCTTCAGGATTTTGATGTTTGTTGGACCTCTATTGGGGATCTTATTTTTCAAAAACCGCCATAAATTCTCTATTGGATTCAAATTTGGCGATTGACTGGGCCATTGTAAGATGTTGATGTTGTTATTAGCAAGCCAATTCTTCGTACTCTTAGCAGTATGCTTGGGATCATTGTCCTGCTGGAAGATCCAATCAGGAGGAAGCCCAAAATTCTCTACAGAAAGCGAAAGCGATAAATTTTCGCTCAGGATTTGTTGACATTTTTCAGCATTCATTCTACTGTCTATAATTGCTAGTTTGCCAAAACCTCGCATCGAAAAGCAGCCCCAAACCATGATACTACCCACACCAAATTTGACAGTTTGTATGGAGTTCTTGGGTGCGTATGCTTTGATGTCATTCCTCCATACATGATCAGGGAATTGCAACCAAACAACTCAATTTTACCCTCATCTGTCCAAAGAATTCTTTCCAAATAAAAATTTTCCTCATCTTTATGCTCTGTCACAAATTTCAACCTGGTATCTCTATGCCATTTCAGGAGTAGCGTCTTTCTTGGGGAGCGCCACTTTATACCATCTCTGCGTAGTTCATTACTAATCGTTTGCTTAGTTACGTTAACTCCTGACAAACTCAGATCATTCTGAAGGTCTTGTCTGATGGACATTGGGTTATTTTGGATCTGTCACATCAACTTTCTTCATAATCTGGGAAATCTTCCTGGGAGCACCGGGTCTGCCTTTGTTCTCGACAGTATTACGTCTTAACTCTTGCAATAAATGAACCAATTGTTGAAAAAGGTATGTTCAAGATGTTTCTGTAACTTTTTCCAATTGTTCCATAACTTAATAATTAGCTCTTTTTGAGCACAAGTCATTTCCTTACGTCTAGCCATTATTAGAACCGTTATCAGTGAACACTGACTGCAGAATGATCCAATTTTGAACTGAATGTTGCAATAGAGTTACTGAGAATATTCTAGAACAGTTTAGAATCTTCTTGAAGTACAACCAAAATTTACCATATTATAATGCAAAAACTGATAATGTACAAACACTTTTTCCACTATTTGAAATATAAAAATTTGCATAACTATCACTTATTGATGAATTTCTAATTTTAAATTGCAGATTCTGATTCTATGCCCGAAAATACATATATAACATTGTTATTTGAGGTTTTCATTCGCTGTAAGTGAGAATAACAAGCATTTATTTGCTGTACGATCACTTATTCAACCCCACTGTAAATTAATAACCAAATATTTTGATTGTTTACTTAGTTTCCTGTACACAATATTAGGGAAATCAGAAAATTGTCTTTGAAGTTTACACAGCTTGTGCAGTTGGTCAACTGAAGGGCATCATTTATAAAATTTAAGAAAATTGTTTTGACATGAAAATAACACTGACCTGTATTTAAACACATGTCATTTATTTTTTGGTTGAGACAGAAAAAAAAATTATATTTGGGGCAAAATAATCACAGACACTGAAGAAGTGGTTTTAGTAAAAGAAAAGAAAAAAAAAACAGCTTCAAAACAGCCTTAAACATTTCAAACTAGATAGGAATTTATTTTTAAAAATACCAAATACCTTTAGGACATAGGCAATCAGGGTCCTCTACAGCTTCTGTTTATTAAACCCTACATTAGTCACCTCAGATTTCCAAAAGTGGATAATACCCTGGCATCTGCCACCTGCTACAACTGTGCCACACCATGTGCTACACACCCTCACTGAGTCAGTGGAGTAGTGGCAGGGAGCAAAAGAAACAAGTTACCAACTAGGAATTATGAGAACTTTAAAAATTGGGGGGTAATGAAACATCCCATGTGACTAACATAGAGTTTATAACTGAATTGCTATCTCCATAGTTTTGAATTCAATGTTGTCCTCCACACACACATTGGTTACTCCTACCAAGGCTAAAGAGCCCAGTCCACACGGCTGTTTTACCAATATCTGAGTAAAGAAGGATTTATGCCTTTCAAAGTAGCATTGGTGTGAAGTGAATGCAACAGCCTTCGTTAGAATTAGAACTTGGCTTTCTGATTCCATTTTTGTCATTTATAAACATTACACCACCCATGCAGGCAAACAGGATCTACTGAGAAAATAGTTAATGTTTGATGAGAGATGAAGGAGGATGAACACGGAATAAACTACTGCTGCAGTGAGCAACTGGCACATTTGATTGACAGAGTGAAACATAGAACAGCTACACAAAATCTTAAGAATAATTTATTAGGTTGAAGCAAAAGTTGCCAGAAAAAAAATTTACACAGAATTAAGGAAACTGTCTTTGAAGCTAATTCTTTATTGCTTGTGCAATCAGTTACTTGCAATATGTCATTTTGCAAACTTAAAGAAGCAAATGTTATTTGCAATATGTCATTTACAAGCCTAAGCAAAGCAAATATTTATTTGCAATATGTCATTCACAAGCCTTAGCAAAGCAAATATTTATTTGCACATGTCATTCATAAAATGGTAAAAAGCAAATATTTATTTGCAATGTCATTTACAAGCCTTAGCAAAGCAAATATTTATTTGCAATATGTCATTCACAAGCCTTAGCAAAGCAAATATTTATTTGCAATATGTCATTCACAAGCCTTAGCAAAGCAAATATTTATTTGCAATATGTCATTCACAAGCCTTAGCAAAGCAAATATTTATTTGCAATATGTCATTCACAAAAGAAATATTTATTTGCCTTCAGTTTTAGCAAATATTTATTTGCAATATGTCATTCACAAGCCTTAGCGAAATAAATTTAAAAGCCAGGAAAATCAGTTCCACTTAGGGAAACAAACATTACCATATTTTCGTGTGTTTAATACAAGAAATTTTGAACAGTAATTAAAGGCAAAAATAGGGGTTCGTGTTATACACAAGTACACATTTTCAAATTTTTACTTGGCTTAAAAAACCTCTTACTTGAAAACAGCAAATTTTTAAAGACACTCAGCACAAAAAAAATTGAATATAAGTTTTGAAACAATAAATAGAAAAAACATACTATTTCTAAACATCCAGTTAATTTCTATTCGTTAATATTTTGAGGAATTAAATATTTTAATGAAATATATGTATAACATTGAGATTTTTGTGGATATGGTACAACTTTTCAAGAAAATTTACATAGGGATGGCTGTACTACAGGGTCATATTATACTTGAGGATGTACTTTATTTCCTATTTTTAGCTTCAGAAATATGGAGTTGTATTATAAACAAGAAAATAGGTATCTCTAAACATGACCGATAAAGAAATTATTACCATCAAATTTGGAGAGAAGATCTAGTTATCCTATAATGATAATTCATTATTCCAGAAATTCAAACATTTATAACTTGACATATAACTTATTGTAATTGAAGCTACTATTTTTATACGAGATTTCAAGAAATGGAGACTGATTTAAGCCATTGTGCCTTTCTTTCACTTCTTTCAATGTTGTCCATATTAACCTGTTGGGAATTTGAAATTTCTAACTTTTAAATCCACAATGGTATTTCAAAAATGTTATTATAACAATAAAAAAAAATAAGAATCAACACCTGGTATTAAATATTCAACTTTGCATTGACAGAAATGAACTTATGTCATCGTATGTCATTTGATGTGGATTAAAGAAAAAAAATTGCTAGTGATACTAAAAGTGGATCAATAATTTTCCAAATAGTTATATTTAGGTGTAAATGTATATGCTTAATTAAAAAATAACAAAGAAATTTTGATAAAATCTACTGCTTTGGAGTTATCGACAATAGAAGTTTGAACTCATTCGTTTTGCAGCAGCCATTACTGGCATTGTTTGCTGATATTTGCTGCGGAATAGCCTTTCTTTATTGCACACACAATGAGTCCTCAGTTGTGCAGTAATTCAGTCAAGTAAAAACCATAAAAAGGCTGTTAACAATGTAATCTTCCGCACAAATCTTGGGGGGGTGGCAGGGACTACACTTTCATCAAAGGTAAGAAAAGAGAACAGTTTTACAAAAAAGTAGAATAATAATATTGTTTTTCACTACAGAGCCATTGAAGAATGTAATGGTAAACATTTTAGTTGGATTTTTACCTGGTCATGGCGCTGCTTTCTGGTGGGTAATGATAAGTGGACTTTTTGGTGGTTTTGTTGAACCAATATTTCCAGTTGGATGATTTACTCCGACACATCATCCATGGATCTGGAAGAGAAACAGATAAGAATACATTTTTTTTTCAGAGTGAAAAAGGAAAATTTTTTTCTTATGTGATTGATTTGTTTTTTTACAGTTTATCAACCATTTGCAAGTGAGTCAAAAAGTAATGCAATATATTTTATTATATAAGAAACAAGGAACATAATCAAAATATATATTCACCAAACTTCCATGTCTTTGGTCCAACAAAATAGGCACTGAGGGTCAAAAGTGATGGTGGCAATGAAGAAGTGAAAATTGCTCTAAGGAATTGGCTACATGACCAGCAGCCAGCTGAGTTTTACAAAGCTGACATCCATGTCTTTATTTGTAGGTGGAACACTGTCACTGAAAGATGGTGACTCTGTTCAGAAGTAGGAATGTGAACCTGTGATGTATAGCTATTTCTTGATGTATGATATACTTGATTGCATTTATTTCTTATAAAGGGTGTTCCAATAACTTGGACCAATTTTAAATGTGAATTAAGTTTAAGCATCTAATGATTTTTTTTCTTTTTCTTTCAGATTTGGCAGACATTTGGGTGATATTTCACACATAATTCCCATGACTTAAATAGCCTGATCCAATAGAGAAATAAATACATTTCCACCAATAACACTGATTTATTTACTGCTGACTTTGATCCGTCTTAATGAAACACCCTTATTAATAAAACAAATTGCATTACTTCTTTATTCAGTCATGTATTTTAAATTTAAGAATTTTTTTTTAGAGATAATAATGATTTAATGATGTAAGTCCTAATAATTAACCCACAGCTGGAGGGAGGGAAAAGAGGTGGATTTATACTTTTCCCCAAAGGTATTTGCATGTAAGTGAATATAACAAACCTGAGGGGAATTGAAACTCAGCTCTCCAATTTCAAATTCTGAGTCATTATCCATTACTCCACCCACACATCCAAAATTGCAGAACACAGTATTACAAAGCAGTCAGCCATCTAGGTACTGACCAGGCTCAATGTTGCTTAACTTCAGTGATTGTACAAGGACCGATATTTCAGTGTGATATTGCTGTAAGCCTTTAATGACCCGATAAGTTTGGTGTTGAGGATTACATTTTAAATGTTCACCAATCTCCAAAGAAAGCAATAAAGAACTTTTTTCAAATTAAAGAATTTCATGACCTATTCATCATCTAAATTCAATTCCCTCCATTGACATCCAATTTTGATTAACAATTGTATTAGGAACATAGACGGCAAACAAAAGAATATAAAAATGCAAACAATATTAAGTTTAATGTCTAAAATTTTGATATAGATTGCTTATTGCTTCTTTGAATACTATAATCTTAACCTTTTCAAGTCAAGGGTCAATCACTATCTATTCTCCTTATTCTTTTTGTTTTTGTTTTTTTTTTTTTTAAATCAATTCACCCCAAGCAAGGTGATGACACCACTAAAATGTACACAAGGTGTTACTTACCATATATATTCGAGGAATAGGTTGCACTTTTTTTTTACTAAAATTTTGATAAAAATCAGAGGTGTGACCTATCCACTCAACATCAAGGAGAATCTGAAGTAGACTGTAGCATATCAGTATTCCAAGTGAGTACTCCGGGCTCAAGTATAAGCGAGAGCAAGAGAGAAAAAGAATTTTTCCCGGCATTTTGATTTTACACAATCACTTCTTTCAACAATGTCATGTCACACATCAAATAAAAGCGTTCAACCTGATTTATGATGAAAAACTATCATTTTCAAGTGATTTTAAGACTGAAGCAATTACCGGTATCCAAATTTTCGTATAAACAGAGCATCCCCACACTCAATAAGTAAATACCATACAATTACAACCAATCACTTTTCTTATGTTTTATGTAAGCAAAGTTTTAAAATACAGGTTAATATTTGAAAATATTTAACAAATATTAGTTATATGTATGTTAAAAAAGGGCCATTTAACTCCCCCAAATTATAGTGTGACCTATCTGAGTCAAACTGCAAATACCCACTTTGATAACCCAAAACTAAGGATATGACCTATCTACTGGTGCAATTTATACATGAGTATATATGGTACATTCAATACACACATGTGACTATTGAGCTTGGTATTGGGTAAACTTTAGTATATATATAAAAAAAGAAAAAGAAAAAAGAAAACAGTAATGGTATTCCACTAAAATTCCAATTATGATAGTTCAACAGAAAAATCTAGCTCAGATTTAAGAGCAGCAAATATGACTTTCTTAAATACCTTAGAATATATTGTAAATATTAATAAGAAAGAAAAAGCCAACCATAGAAGCAACATGTTGCATCTCAGCTTCTTTATTGAAAATCTTACAGATTCTTTCCATTTACACAACAGGTTCCAGAGACTCGATTTATTTGTTAAACTTTCATCGGAGAACCAATGAAATGAACTTACAGTTGTTTTCCAAAATACTAACAGAAAGATAATACATGAATTATATAGCTAAATAAGTACCTCTTTTTCCATTAATTTAGCTACAGAGGTTGTGTTGATAGGGTAAGGTTTGACTTACCTATCTAAGGAATGCACATTTCTCGTTGGGTCTTCTACAAATCTTTATCTGCTAACTTCTGTTTCATACCCAAAATGTCAACAACAGTCATTTTTTTTAATGGAATTTTATCCAACATTATTTTTTATTATTATTAACATTTTTTTTTTTACTGGGTACACATATTTGAATTGTTACCCCATATTTTTTTTTTTTTTTGTTATTTACTTAAAAATGAAATTATTAACAACCAGCCAAGGATTGAGAAGTCCTAATCAAAGAAAGATTGTGCTCCTGACAAGAATTGAACTTGAATCTCCTTTTCCATAAGGAAAACTGCTTCTATAGCCGAAACGAGAAATGTGTGTTCTTTAAATAGTTAAATCAAACTTTGCTCTATCATGGTGTACTGCATAGTCGAATTGGTAAAGACAAGTTTTGGCTACAATATTAAATATGTGCATATACAAAATGAAAATATTTCGCCACTAATCTCCTATTTTCATTACTATTTTCATGTGTATTACATTTATGTATAACATTATTATTCCTCTCATATATGTGAATATTTCTTCTATAATTTTGTTTGTTTTTATTTTGACTTTTCTGCTTGAGCTTTTTTTGTTTCGTTTTACCAAAGTTTATTAAAGGGAAGTAACTGAGGAATTGTTTTATCAAGGAAATTAAAAAGCGTGAGTTACGTCCACTTGATATAATTAATAATCATTATGTTAGTAATATTTTATTTTTTCTAATTATATTATTTGTTTACATCTAGTACTAATTGATGTAATAGTCTAATTTATTCTAATTTCTATGGTTCCAGTGGTTAGTGGACAAAAAAATCATCAGGAGCTCTTATTTTTTTCTGATCTGAGCTGCTCACTTAAAGTTATAAAATAAAATGCAAAAACAACTTGAACATTGCAATAAAAAGCAACAAAAATGAAATGATATCTACTTAAAAAGAAATGACAATGTTTCATTTAAGTCTTAACAACTAAGATTTGTAAACAAGCAACAAATATAAGATAAAAAAAACAAGTGAAACATTAATAATAATGAAAAGGTTTCATATAAAAATTTGAACACCTTAAAAAACTAAGATTGTTTTAAGGTGGGAGAGAGCAATCTGCATAGGAATTATTGCTAAAAACCACCCCTCCCCAAAATTATAGACAAATTCTACAGATGCATGCTTGGATTTCTTTCTAACTAATCTGTAATCTTTTACTTCAAATAGCTCTTGGGCCTTGTACAAAGTGAACATTATTGTAAAAAAGTTAAACCTATTTTTTTTCAATCAATTCACCCCAAGCAAGGTGATAATACCACTAAAATGCAAAGGAATTCCTAAGAGTGAAAGAGAATGAGAAAACTTTAGAAGAAACTGGAAACTCAATCCTAAACAGGAAACAAAAAATAAACCTCTACTTATGTTCAAAAAACCTATTGAAGGAATAAATAGTAAACAAAATTTCAGAGTTTAGGCTGAGACGTTAGAAGGAGAGTAATCCTAAACAAGAAACAAGGGATGAACACCCACTTCTGTTCAAAAAAAAAGTGTCGGGAAGAGTGGGGAACTGGACAATAGGCAAACATATCTACTCCTATTGAAGAAAAAATAAAATATCAATAAAAAACCTAATTTCAGAGTTTAGGTGGAGATGTTAAAAATATAGAGTTGAAGTAGACTTTAGAAGGAACTGGAATCTCAATCCTAAACAGGAAACAAGGGATAAACCACTACTCCTGTTTAAAAGTCTGAGGAGGGGTGTGAAGTGAACGATAGGCAAAACTATCTACTCTTATTAAAAATTATGAAATTTATACTAATTTTCCTTTTCATCTTTCTTTTCATTTCCCCTATTTTTGTACACAAAAAAGTAAATAAGGGCTTCTTTGAAATTTATTTCCTCAAGTAAAAATAGCCATATTTTCTTATTATTTTATTTTCAATCACAAAGTAGTTTTTTTTTTATTCATGTATAATTAAAGATATATAAATAATTACCTTTGACTGTTTTGATAAAATGTACACCTGTTGGTAAGAAATACCGGTTTTTCTCTCGACAATAACAAAGACGAGACTGACGGGAATGTCCTTTCACCAATTTCATATCAAGTCTGAAAAAGAAAAAAAGTGAATTCATTTATTTTCAAAAGATTCTTATGAGTCTGTCTATATTTCTGAGATGAGGTATTATGTACATTATTTACATTAGTCGGACTATTGTCCTCATCTTTGTTCGCCATATTTATCACAATGTTTTGGCCGTTGTACACTCTGGCCTTCTTCAGGTGGTTCGAATTTCGAACTGAACCCTTTATTTTGCTCACTGGGGTAGACTGTTCTAGTTCCACATGCCATGTTTGATGGATGTCAGTTATCAGTTATCTCCTGCTAATTTCCCTCTGAAAGTTCTCCAATGCCTTAACTGGGTATTGAACTCACACTCTTTTTCTCCAACACCTTTATCCACTGTGCCATGTGTCCTTGAGGACATCTGGGTATGAATTTCTGGGTATTATAAACCTAATGTCTTCAGCACCATTTTTACCAGTGCTCATATTGCAATTTTGCTGTTATCATTGCTTTTTCTTTGGCACTCCTTATTACTGGTTCCCATATTGTATTTATTTCTATGCTTGGTCGGCTCAGGAGATTTTTGTGGCATAGCATATGTGCTGATTCCTTAAGTTTACGAATTTTCCAATTCCAGATTCTTATGACTTGAAAACATATCTAAATGTGAGTTTATAGCACAATACAAAGTTTCAGAAAAGTTACCTTTAAATACAAGTGGTTGCTGAAAAGTTCACAGCCCAAAATGCACTACCCAAGACTGATTCAAATTCCCAACAATCAGATTTTATTTTCTGGAAAGGTCTTAATAAAACCTAAATAACTAGGTTTGGTCATAAAACCAACAAAATGCTACTATAACTGAAAATGAGCTGACAACCAGAAGTGGTTATGTCCCGTCCTTCCCCCCTGCAAAAAAAAATAAAAAAAAAAACTGACCAAGTACACCAAATATTTTGTTGTTATTTATGGCCTCCTTTTGAGTGATGATTTTTTTTTTTTTTTTTGATGACTCCTTCTAGCCGTTTATTTTTAACAAAAGCTCATTTTACAATTTCTTGAATAAAACAACAGTGATATTTCCCCATATAAACTTCAAAACAGTTTGTTTTAAAATCCAAAGCAGTTAAATGAAATAAACTTTTATTTTACCAAAAAAAAGTTCTGCATATAAATGCACACACAAATTTAAAACGTTCTGCAAAATAAAATAAAAAAGTTCTGCATATAAACTTTACATAAATGCATACTAGTAACATAAAAGACATTTGAAAATTATTTTATTGCATTAATTTAAGTTTATTAGAACTAAAATATAGAGGGCAACTGGCACCCCATCAATCCCAATTTTTTTCTGTAGTCCCCATAAAATTTACCAGAGCATGCTGGTTAAGAATGACTGATCTAAAGTATTTATGTCTATATGATACTGAAAGAAGCTGTTTAAAATCGTTATAAAATTTCAATGATTTTTCCCCAACTATGTCCCATTGAAACCGTTTTGATTTGACCACTTCTAGTTGATAAACAAGAACAATAAAAATAGAGGGTGTCCCAAAAGTCTCCTAGGTGCTTAAAAATGTCATAACACATTACATTTACATGAAAGAGCCTAAATTAACATGAGGAAATTACCCATGGAAAAAAAGGGTGTCCCAAAAGTCACCTAGGTGTTTAAAAATATAACATGTTAGATTTTCTTTTTTTCGGAACTAAGATTAACATGAGGATATTGCCCATGGAAAAATTCATAACTGAACAAAGAACCAAAATCATACAATGTTAATTTGGATTGAACCAAACATTTGGCGATCAGATGTTTTCATGAAACATCGAGATTTTATAGTCACCGTGTTCTCCTGATCCAACACCTCCCGATTATTTTCATTGGAGGGACCTTAAGGAGTATGTACACATCAATAAATTGCAGAAAACTCAGCAACTCAAGGATAACATCTGTGCAGTTAGAATATACAGTTATGGAGAATATTATCAAAAGCACACATCTATATGAAATCCAAAATGGAAGATATTTATTTCAGTCTGAATTTCTGGAATGAAGAATTACGTCTACTTAATTAATGTTCGCCCCCATTTCCACTGACTCCCAGCACACACTAGCTGGCCCAGGGATTGAACTCACCATTACTTTGTCACCATGTTCTCCTGATCCACCATTACTTTGTCACTAAATTCACAATCCAATACTTTAATCTACTAGGCTATTTATTGTCCCATTGGAACAGGCTGAGCAATAACTGAGCAGCACTAAGAATAAGAAATAGACAAGATATCCCCTTGACATGGACAGTAGAATGAGAACAGTCAAACTATGTAGATTAAATAAAGGGTTCAATTTAGAATTCCATGTAGGTTACTTGGATTGACATACACCTGATGAAGGACAGAGGGCACAACAGACGAAACATTATGATAACAACAACAAAGATAAAAACAATAGTCTGTATATAAATAGTGTAAATGAAGATATTTATGTTGTATTATGTCAAAATTGGAATATATTTCCAGTATTTGCATTTTTATGCTGCACAAAAGTATTTTAGAATAATAAAAAACAAATGTTTTAAATCCTTAAATCACTTCTGGGATATCCTGTAATAACAAATAAGATGTTTTTTTTTCTAAAAAATTAAAAAAAAAAACATAAAAGATCATAAAATAAAAAAAAACTAAGAGATGTGTTCAAAAAGGATCTAACCTTTGTGCACAAAAAAAAAATCAATTTTGTACCTTTCATAAATTTTATTTAACCACATTCAAAATACTCACCTTGGGAATTCAAACAATTCTCCCAGTGGTTCTGCTACTGCTGGAAACACCTCTGGAAATCCTTCTCTGGAATGCTATGGAACTCTGCCATCACTTTTCTCATAATTTCCTTTTGCAACTCAAATCACTTCACCTTTCAGGTTTTCAGATTGGGGAAGAGCAAGAAGTCACACAGTGCCAAGTCGGGAGAGTAGGGATCCTGAACAAGTGATGTGTTGTTCTTGACCAGGAAATTTTGGATTATATCGGTGGAATCAGTGGGTGCATTTTGCTGACACTCCTTACATGCACAAGTCCTCAGTTAAAATGAAATTCACTGATTCTGTACTTATTTCCACTTTGTGAGCAATCTCCTGTATTTTTACATGACAGTCTTCCATGATTATTTGCTGAACCATGTCAACTGACTTCTCAATTTGGCTTGTGGATGACCTACCTGAGTGTGCCTCAATCTCCACAGAGGTGCAACCATGTTTGAAGTGGTTGTACCACTCCTTGATCTGACTTGATCCATGGCATCATCCCCAAAGGCTTAGTAAATGGTTTGAGCTTGAGTATCACCAAGCTTTTGGCAAAACTTGATGCAATATCTCTGCTCGATGCATTCAGTCATCTTACATGAAAACGAAAATCTGACGAGCACACACTACATATCTGTACTCTAGGCATAACAGCTGGGAACTGATAAGGTTTCCTGGCATGAAAATTTTCACGCATGTGCAAGAAGTTTTGGCAGGAAGAATATAAAGTTGGATATTTTTTGAACACATCTTGTATTTTTTCTCTGTTCATACAAAATGCTTTTTCTTCAAAAATAACAAGTCATATTAACGATAATACAAACATTGATATACCAAGAAAATCATTAACTTCCTATGGGTAAATCAAATATTGATTATAAACACACATGTTAAGTTCTGAATCTTATCTAGTGATCTAATTCCTATCCTGAAATTGTAAGGAGGAGAGTTGGGAGTTTGGTTTTCATTGTCACCTGGTAAAAAAAAGTTCTCTTGCTATAGAAATGCCAATAGGGGATCTAACAATCAATGAGGCAACTTTTATCACTTACTGAAAGCTTATATTACAAAAGGGCTGGAAAAATTCCTGTAACCCCTTGGGGTCATGGTGGCACAACACATACTACAGCCATAGCAACAGTGGTGTATGATGGACAGAGTGAACCAAATTTCTTAGCAGCTGACCTAGCAATGGATTCAATATAGTCTTTCCACTTCATGTCAGCTGAGAATGTTAGTCTGAGAAGACACAAATAGTCACTTTCCTGGAGGTTAGCATCAGCCATACCGATGGAAAGCAGAGAAGGGTCACCCAGATGATTAATGGGGAGATACAAATCAATATATCAAACTAATAGTGGGTAACTGAATTGCAAAGCGGAAAAGAAAATCTTGTTAGGCATTTTGCCTCTTGAAAGAATTTCTGCAGACTAATAATGGTTTTATATATGTAGGGCAGGAAAATGCCAATTATAGTTCTACACATATGGATATGTGTGTAATGTAAACTGTACTAATAATGACCTAAAACTAAAGTGTCTATTACAAATAAACTAATAAATATGATCTCAAATTTCTACACTCACCATAACAACAAAATAAAATCCAGAATAATTATCAATAATGACAATTTGAGATAAAAAAGCAGTCAATTGCTGAAATTTTCTGATGAGTGGACCAAACAATTACAAAAAAGTTTGTCTATGAAACTCTGGATCTGAGGTGCTGAATATAACATCAATCAGCTAGTGACAAATTTTATTTGTATTGATAATTAAGTGACATAAACAAGAGAGTAAATGATGATGCTTTTCAAATATCTCCATTCTTGAAAGAATTACTCCTTTCTGAAGTCAACATATACAACTATAAAAATGTTACAAAATTAAAGGAAAACAATTAAATTCATAACCTTCTATTATTTAAAATATATAATACATAAATTTATCCCATACTAAAATAATTTAAATATTAATTGCATAAAAATTCCTCAACATGATTTACTCACTTTTGTTTATTAGACATTAAATTATGTCAGCATCCTATACTTGTTGCAATATAAAATCCTTACATTTAAGAGGACAAAATGTGTTGGCTAAGGTAATTTTTCCTTCTGTCTATATATATATATATATATATATATATAGGAAATCCAGTTGATATATAATCCAAGTAAATCTTATTAATATAAAATAAAAACTTAAAACTGATTCACAGAGAGAGCTCAATGTTTTATTCAAACAGACTATATAAATTATAAACAATTGGAATTAGGATTACTCCATAAGAGTGATGATGATCATTTCACCTTATAAATTAAAATTAAATTACAAGGATTTTCATAACTGATATGTCCCGGAAAGGGATATATTTGATCGAAGTAGCTAAGTGGTTTGGGCTACTGTAACCAAGTAGTACACGGTAGCAGTAATCGACTGGTACTCATTGTAGTTGCAGGCAATAGGTGTAGACCAATAGGATAGCCAATGGCTTAGTCCAATGGATGTCATCATAGACTTAAACTCTGTCGTACCTACACATCTGTCTATATTTATGACGGACACCAGCCAATCATATTCCAGTGAGGAGGAACACAGGTGTATGCATATTCCATTATATCAATAACTCATCAAGTTAACAAGAAAATTTAATTTTCATTTTTTTTGTTAACCTGATGGATTTGAAAAACCTTGTAATTTAATTTTAATTTACAAGGTGAAATGATGATCATCAGTATTATGGAGCAATCCTAATTCCTATTGTTTATATATTTATATATATAATGAGAAAGAGCAAAATTTTTAGATGAAAACCTTTTGACTGGAAATGAAAAAAGAGAAAGAGGAAAAAAGTTGAAAATGGGAAAGAAAGAAAAAAAGAAGGGTGAAAGAAACAAAAAAGAAAAGGATGCACTTTGGTGCATGTAAATTAATCATAATTGTTCCATAATTGTTGTTACATTTCCAAACACATTTCGTAAAGTAAATTGAGCAACTATTTTGGGAAAGAATATATTTTTATGCTCATTTTTTGCTAGTACCTTTTACTCTATCAAATTACAATTCATGATTAGAAAAGTAAAAACAGAAACTTAGTTTTGCTTACTTCTCAAAAACTTTGTGAATTTCTTCCAGCCTGTAAATATCTGGCACACTGACAGGAGCCAAATCCGACCGAGTTGTCTTGGTGATGGCTTTCACAAATTTTCTTAGTCTGTCTATCCTGAAAAATAAACAATTCTAAATTGCAAGGTGTCTCAAAGAAATGTGTATACATTTTGAAGCTTTCTCAAGAAATAATTCACACAATCAAAACCAATCACGTCTAATTTAAATAATATGTAGGAAGACAGTATTTATTATAAAAGTGTGCACTTAAGATTTTGTCATCACATTTTCAAAATGATGTCCATTACGATCCAGACAATACTGACAATGCGACGCAATTGAATCACAACCAGCAAGCAACATTTCAATAGGTATTTAGCTTGATTATTGCTCTATGGAGACTTTCATTTTGAAGATTGTTGCCAAATTTGTAGCAAGAATTTTATCATAAGTATGCCCACAAGAAATTTTCTAAAGGGATGAGATGAATGAACAAGGGGGTAAAAGCTTGCATGCATTTTTTGAGTCAACTTGTATTTATTATCTACAAATATATTTGATTTTCATGTATTCAAGTAAGTTTATTGAATAGCATGATAATTAGAATAGTTTTAATATCTGTCTATACTTCAGAGATAAGATATTGTAATTATTTACATTGTCTGGATCCAACCAATACTTATCCACTGGGCCAATGGGCCAGTGACTTGACCCAAAGAGTTGTGAGTTCAATACCTGGCTATGGCAGTGGTGAACAAAAACTAAAAGAGTCGATTTAAAGGGAGATAACTGAGATATCCAGAAGCGGCATGGCATGTGAAACTAAAACAATCTACCCAGTGGACGAAATAGAGGGTTCAGTTTGAAATTCTAATCATCTGAAGAAGGCCAGAGTATACAATGGTGAACAAAACGATAATGATGAGGACAACAGTCCAAATAATGTAAATAATAGAATGGTATGGCTTCAATTATTTTGTCTCTGGGTGATTATGACTCTCCACAAATTCAAATCCCTTGTAATCCTTAACAACTTTTGTCTATTTGCCAAACTGTTCCCCATTGATCTGCCACTTAATCGCCCAAGTTTGTCAGATAGGTAGCCCCCTGTCTCCCACTGTCCAGTTTGCCTACAATATGCCATGTGAGTGTCAAATTCTCTAAGCCCTATTTCCTCATTATGCATCAAAGAAATTTCAGCTGTCTCTTTCCAAAACACACCCATATAAATGATAGTCTTAACACTGAAATAGAATGACAATTGCATATATCTGTATTTTCAAATGCATGGATGTGTATCTGCACCTAACCACAGATTATTTATATGGGTTTGTTTGTACAAACTAGAATGTATACACCTGTATGTATGTATGTATGTATGTGTGTCTATGTATGTGAGAGTGCCACCCCAAACAAACACAGAAGAAAATTCCTCCTACCACCATACACAATGGTGGTAGGAGGAATTTTCTTATTTCTTCACATAATGAAACACAAATAAGCATAGATCCACTTTTGAAAAAATAAATTAGTTTGTCTGATGATCGCAAAAGCATGAAACCCAGAGTTACAAACTATTATCTCTACAACTGAATATATATATATATATATATATATATATATATGGTTATTCAGGAAGTAATATTACATTTGAGTTAGAAAAAGAATTATCATTATTACAAATGAAAAAAAAAGCCAGCATAAAATTAACTGCTTTCTTAAGGAATCAAACTTATGTCAATATGTAAACCAAATGCATAAAGATTTGTTGAGTAGTTCATCAATGCTTAGGCAGAACAATTACAGTAGATAGTAAATTGATTATAATCCTTTTATGTGAAAAGCCAAAAAGACACACAAAAAAGACGCAAAAGAAAAAATTGAAGAAAATAAAAGCAAAGTCAAAAAGAAGAGAGAAAAAGCAAAGAAAAACAAGCAACGCAAAATAGGAAAAAGCAAAGCAAAATAGGAAAAAGGAAAAAAGCAAAATTGGAAAAAACAAAAAGCAAAGCAAAATTGGAAAAAGCAAAAAAAAAGGAAAAAAAGTCAAAGAAAGGAAAAAGCAAAGCAAAATAAAAAAGGAAAAAACAAAGCAAAATAAGAAAAATAAGAAAAAGGAAAAAACAAAGCAAAATAAGAAAAAGGAAAAAAAAAAGCAAAATAAGAAAAAGGAAAAAAAACAAAGCAAAATAGGAAAAGAAAAAGGAAAAAAAAAGAAAAAGAAAAATAGGAAAAAGAAAAAAGCAAAGCAAAATAAGAAAAGGGAAAAAAAAACAAAATAAAATAAGAAAAAGGAAAAAAATAAGAAAAAGAAAAAGCAAGAAAAGGAAAAGGAAAAGCAAAAAAATAAAAAAAAGGAAAAAAAAAAAAATAGGAAAAGGAAAAAAAAATTTAAAAAAGGAAAAAAAAAAGGAAAGCAAAATAAAAAAGGAAAAAGCAAAAAAATAGAAAAAAGAAAAAAGGAAAGCAAAATAAGAAAAGGAAAAAGGAAAAAGCAAATAGGAAAAATAAGGGAAAAAGCAAAAAAAAAGAAAAGGAAAAAAGCAAAAAATAAGAAAAAGAAAAAGGAAAGCAAAATAAGAAAAGGAAAAAGCAAAGCAAAATAAGAAAAAAAAAGCAAAGCAAAATAAAAAAAGGAAAAGCAAAATAAGAAAAGGAAAAAAAGAAAAAAATAAAAAGAAAAAGGAAAAAGGAAAAAAAAAAAGCAAAATAAGAAAAAGGAAAAAAAGCAAAATAAGAAAAAGGAAAAAGCAAAGCAAAAATAAGAAAAGGAAAAAAGCAAAAAAAATAAGAAAAAGGAAAAAAGCAAAGCAAAATAAGAAAAAGGAAAAAAGCAAAGCAAAATAAGAAAAAGGAAAAAAGCAAAGCAAAATAAGAAAAAGGAAAAAAGCAAAGCAAAATAAGAAAAAGGAAAAAAGCAAAGCAAAATAGGAAAAAGGAAAAAAGGAAAGCAAAATAAGAAAAAGGAAAAAAGCAAAGCAAAATAGGAAAAAGGAAAAAAGCAAAGCAAAATAGGAAAAAGGAAAAAAGCAAAGCAAAATAGGAAAAAATAGGAAAGAAAATGCTAAGGAAAAAAGAAAACACAAAACAAAAAAGAAAATGTAAAACTAGAAAGAAAATGCAAAAGAAATAAGAAAATTCAGAGCAAAAAAGAAAAAAAGCAAAATAAAAAATATAAAAATAAAGGGAAAAAAAGGGAATATGTAACTTCTACAACCATATATAATATGCACATGAGACAGGCCACAAATCATACTGGCCTGTTAAAAAAAAAAAAAAAAAAATAATGAAGATAACAGTTCATGAAATATAGACACACCTTTCATTAAAATGATAATTCCGTACATCTGTACCACAGAGATAGTAAGCATCCACAGCATGAATTGTATTTTGTTTCCTCTGACCTTTACCCTTGATTAAAGAAAAAAGAAAAATATATAAAACAAGACATATGCAATAACTAGTTGGTAGAACTCACAGTTTAACATGCGCTGCAAATGTTTTTCATAATAAAACCAACATTTCTTTAAACTAGATATTTCACTTTAAATGTTGTATGCAGACCACGGTTAATGGAATCTAATGGTTATTGACACTTGTATATGTGGTATATTGAGAATATTTCGCCTAAACCACAAATTCTAAAGGCTTAACTGGAAAGTGATGGAACCAACGACCCAAAAGATTGCTGACAGGCATTAAAAAAAAACAACTCTTTCTGATATTAAATAACTGATATTGATTTGCCATTAAAACAAACCAATCGATCAAAGTGATTGACAAGCAGGAATGAGTTTTAATAAAAAAAAATACATTAAGAATAAGGATAACTGACCTCTCCTTGAAATTCTTGGACAATTTCAGCTTCAATCAACGTTTCTGAAGGAAGTTCAATATGGATTTGTTGTTCATCAAGTTTTCTCCATTGATTCCTTGAGTCGACATTCCGAATGTAAACATGTCCACGCTTAGAAAACAATTTGTAAGGAGATAAAACTCTGTGGCATAGAAAAGTTTTGTATGTTCATTTTTTTTTTTTAAGTGGTTTAATATATATATATATATATATATATATATATATATATATATACAATAAAATGTTTAATTTAGAAATTAGGCACAATAAAAGATTAACAATAATAAAAAGAGAAAATTTTTTAAAATATACTCAAATAAAAGTTATTTGGCAGATAGAAAATAAGTTTTTACTGAAAATCTTTGTTCACAGTCTCCAATTTTTTTCTTTCATACATAAATTTGACAGCTTTTAATTTTAAAGAAAGCACTTTACAATTTCTCTTTTTCATATTCAAATTGCCAAAATCAATCCTCTTAAAATTCTTCCTCATTGGCAAAGTTCTAGATACTCTAATCAATTCTGAATTGGTTAATCATCTAACCTTGGGTGTTCTTTCAGATAAGAAATATGGCTTTCGCTTCTCTAGGTCAACTGCTGATGTATTAACAGTTATTAATGGAAGAATCTATCAAGCTTTAAATAAGAATGGTGAAGCTTGTGCTGTTGCTTTGGATATCTCAAAGGCATTTGACAGGGTTTGGTATATTGGCCTTCTTCACAAGTTGAAAGGTTATGGTATTTTTAGAGAAATTTTTGAACTGATTCAGGCTCTCTTATGGAATCTCAAAATAAAAGTCGTCCTGAAGATCTCTCCTACATCTTTTTGTAATAATGCAGGCGTCCAACAGGGCTCTATTCTTGGACACACGTTGTTCCTAATTTTCATCCAACTTCCTGATGGTATCAGTTCTCAACTTGGTATCTGTGCTGATGGAACAACCATTTATTCCTGTTTTAATAGGAAGTGTGAGTAGTTCGATAAGGTCAAACTGGCAGTTAATCTAAAGAATGATCTACTTTCTGTTATTAACTGGGGCAAGGAATGACTTGTTAATTTTAACACCTCCAAAACGAAATTGCTCTTTTAATTGTTTGAGAAAACCCTTTTTATCTTCCATCAGCATGGTTTATGCTAACCTCCAGAAGAGTGATTCGTTGTGTCTTCTCGGATTAATGTTTTCTGCTGACATGAAGTGGAAAGATTATTATGAAATCAACTGCTAGGTCTGCTGCTAGGAAGGTTGGTTTCTGGTGTTGTGCTAGACAATTTTTCACACCAGAATCTATCTTACATATTTGTAAGTCTATCGTTCATCCTTGCTTTGAATAGTGCTGCCACATATGGTCTGGTGCCCCAGTTATATATTTAGAGATTCTTAATAAAATCCAAAGAAGAATCTGCAATGTTATTGTTCCTGCCCTGGCATTTTGCCTTCAGTCACTTTCAAACTGCCAAAATGTAGCTTCCCTGTACCATTTCTATAGATATTTTCATGGTAATAGTTCTAATGAACTTTTTTCTATGGTACCTAGACTTTATGAATTCAAGTTCAGTAATAGATTGGCAGCAAGGTCTCGGCATTTTACAGTTGAAATGGTTAGATGTAACCATAAGTTCTGTGCTAAGAGCTTCTTCTGCAGCACTTCTCATTTCTGGAACTCTCTTCTGGCTTCTTGCTTAACTTTGATCTTCAAAAAAGTTTAAATGTAATGTCAATCATTATCTATTGACTTCTTAATTCTTGTTCTTTTACTTTTCTCTCCTTAATAGTATTTATTTTTTCTTTTTCATATTCTCTAACACACAGTAATCTATTGTGTCTTAGTGGTTTTGTTTGGGGTGAAATGATTAAAAAAAACATATGGAATCATTTTTAAATCTTTATCTTTCTGGGATTCATCAATGAAAACCATATATATTTTTAAAAAAAAGAAAAAAAAAGAAAAAGGCAAACCTTACAACAATTATAGTCATATCTGCAACTTTTGTCAACAAGAAAAGTTAGCTATAATAACATTTTCCAGACTCCAAAAAACTTGTGCGAGTATATATGCCCCAGTCGACGAATGGGTTTATAAGGTGATCACACACCAACTAGGAGATATATACATTCTCACACCTGTGGAGAGATACAAGCTATCTCTCCCAGATTGTGACAATGGACAATTGGCAAACAAAAATATTTTTAAGACCACTGTTCGATTGGGATAATCAAACAGTAATCTTTCCCAGGTCCAATTCGTTTTCAACACAAATACTGATCCACAATACAAGGATGAACTATAAGGCTTAGTGATTTTTGATACAAGAATTTTAACATGTACAAATATACAAGAATTTTAATATGTACAAATATACAAATATCAAAATAAAAGAACAGATAAGTATGAGTTAAAACATCCGATGACCAGATCTCAAAACTTACGTTGGGATATCAAAATTCGCCTAACACCAAATGGATTCAACTGAACCCGAACATACAAAAATATAAGTATGAATTACTATGAATTGAATGCAGAAACCAACACATACACAAAAGAGATGTGATAGGAGTTACAGTTATTGTTTTTACATGTGGAAAAGTGTTTGCAAGAACATAATATTCATGGATGTATGTATATCTTTCTGTTATGGGTCCAAAATATGATTACTTATCTTTTATGTTCAGTTCTCTTTTTTTTATCATTGTTCTTTCTTTTCTTTTCTCGACACAAACACAATTTCACACACTGTCCGGCTGTAACAGAGGTATACACTTTCTCCCTCTCTTTGTTTTGCCTTTTTCTTTCCTTCCCTTTTCTTCTGTAGAAAGTTCGGTTTCCAAACCCGACTCACTGCAACAGGGATGTACACTTTCTTCCTCTCTTTGGTTTTCTTCTTTCTTTCTGTTGTGATGAGATAACCCAACTTCCCCATTCACGATAATGGACGGTCTGGTGGCCGATAAAGTACGACCACAGGCAACAGTAGGAAGAAAAAAGGTCTTCGTTTACTAACACCATTGCGGTTAGCTTACTCCTGACTCTGTCTCTGTATTTTGACATACCTACATCCGATTATAAAATTATTATTGAAAACCACACTCGGGTTTACTTTGTTTATTATATCTTGTACGAGATATAACACTTTCCTTCTTCTTCTTTACACAATTCAGCTTATAACAGAGGTATACACTTTCTTCTCTGGTTTTCCTTTTTCTTTCTTTACACAATTCAACTTGTAACAAAGGTATATACTTTCTTCCTCTCTGTTCAACTTGTAACAGATGTATATGCTTTCTTCTCTGGTTTTCCTTTTTCTTTTCTTTACACAATTCAACTTGTAACAGAGGTATACACTTTCTTCCTCTCTTTGGATATCCTTTTTCTTTTCTTTACACAATTCAACTTGTAACAGAGATATATGCTCTCTTCTCTGGTTTTCCTTTTTCTTTAAACGCAGGCTGAATCCTCAGCGTATAAATTTCTCTGCGTCTTCAATTTGGGGTTCTCGAACAGGAATACTTCTTGTTATATTTCTTGTCCGGAGTTGCCTGGGTTGAACTGGATAAGTTCCATCACTATCAAATGAGTCTTATCTTTCTGTTCATAAACCATCAGCGCTTCAACTTCAGGTCTTGCCTCTTCAAAGTCAAGATAGCAACTGATTCTCGAGTGAATCTCTAACTATCACATGTCTTAAGTTTTGGCGCGAATTCCAGCTTACATCAGTCCCCTGTCTAGCTTCTGTCTAGACATTTGTTGCTACGGGTAATTGGGTCAATCAACCTTTTGACCTGCCTTCCCAAAATGTCATAAGACTCCCACATGACCTTTATTCTGTTGCTAGGCAGAAATTAACCCTAATGTATGCGTGTTTAGGCTATCTGCTTTCGTCACAATAAATATATAATATAATATATATATATGTGTGCATGTTTGTTTGTTTGAGTGTGTATGTATGTATATATATATATATATATACATACACACTCAAACAAACAAACATGCACACATATATTTCTTTCAAAGGCCATTGAATTTATGATGGCATTAAAAGATTGTATTAAAGATATCTCACCTCAAGTCCCATAATGAAGTGCCTTTTGTTGCTGCCTGTAACAAAGCACCGGTAATCATACAGACTTTGGATACTTCGTAACTTTTGGTGGCTGAGAACTTCATGTTGAACATCAAACATGTTATTGTCTTCCTGCAAAAATACAAAGGCAATATAAAATACCATAGCATTTATAAAGTGTCAAATACACCAAGCAGTGTGGAGTTTTAATGCTTGAAAAATAAATGTACCGCTGTGTATTTCATATTCAGAATGTTTGCATTATTTTGATTCCTTCATTGTGCCTGCTTAAACCAATTCATGGATATATGTCTTGAGGTGTCAAACCTTTTCCTTAACATCACATTTTTATCTATCATTGGATTTTATTAAATGATTTGACCTTCAATCTTTACTGACTAAAAATGACCTATTAGTATACAAAGTGTTTAGTGTACTGACTGAAAGAATTTCTAGCTAGTAAAAGCTTGAAAAGTGTATATATATATATATATATATATATATATATATAAAAAGAAATATAATATAGTGGTTCCAACGAGAGAAAAGTATGTATATTAAAAAGAAGAGAAGAGAGGTGCCAAAACGTTTTTTGGTTGTAATGTGGATTTATTTAGAAAAAATATTATGCTTTGTTTTACATAATATATTTCAGTCAGTACATATAACATTTTTAAAATTATTTAACCTTTTCCAGACTGAATTTATTTCTAATTTTTATCAGTGTCAAAGTAATTCAAATTCAATTTATAAGTTATTTGCACAAGTTAACACCTCTCTCTCTCTCTATATATATATATATATATATATATATATATATATATATATATATATATATATATATATATATATATATATATATATATATGTATATATATATATATATATATATATATATATATATATATATACATACACACACTCACACAGTGGGGACATAGGGATCAACACTGCATGGTGACTGTCAATTTTACACTTCAATGCAATCTTCAGATAAAGTCATATATATACAAGCCCTTCACGATTGTGCAGTCTAAAAGTACAGTAGTTTCCCCTATATATGGGAGACACCAATTCAAAATCTGCAGAAGAGTACATTCTCATGATTAAAGACTTGAAAATGCAGGCAGTAGTCATCAATTACACTATTTGAAAAAAAAAAAAAAGAAAAAAAAAAAAAAAAAAAAAAAGAAAAAAAAGGAAGAAAAAAGGAAAAAAGAAATAATAATGAAAAAAAAGAGTTGTCTACTAAAACAAGAGTATGCACTAAATATAAAGTTTATAGTAATATATGTTGTTTTTAATTTATTTTGTTAAAATGTTATTTTGGATGGATACTCATATTTGAGTAGAAGCTCTGTTTTTAATTAAACAGTATTTTTTTCCTAGTACATCTTCTGGCCTGAATATTCGAGAAATTTTGTCAGAAAAATATGTCTTCCTATTTTTCTGGCAAGATTTCTTTTCAATTAACATACCAAATATGTATGAGTGTTCTTAAATTTGGAAATTTTGAGTAACTGTTAAATATGTATTTGTTGCAAAATAAAACCATCACATTTGCCTTGATAAAGTACAAGTGACGAAACATGTAGACTAAACTAAGTATAGTTTTCAAATTGTCTTTTCCTGTCCTGGATATGACGATAAACTACGTCCGCCTCCTGGGTAAGACGATAAACTATGTCCGACAGCAAGGCCTCTGATCAGGAGGCTTTGAGGAGTGTGGAACCACCTCTTAATTGTTGGTGTTCCCAGGTCCACCCTGACCCAGGGTGGTAGCATTTGTTAGGGTCCCAGCGATACGCAAATAGTTAATCCTGAAACTGTGGTAAAAACACTATGAAAGTGTAAAAATAGGTTTTAATACCAGAGATACTTTGTAAAAAATTATTACCAGCAATAAATTTTTGTAGAAAAAAAAACCAAAAATCTATTATCAGCAATATACTTTTGAAGGAAAAATATTACCAGAAATAGATTTTTGACAAAAACAAAATATTACCAGCAAAATAAATGTTGTCGGCATTAAATAACCCATTGATGTTGATATGCCGTTTCTTTTCATTCATTTTTGTTATTTCTACAGATATACTCCACCTGAGAATATTTACACAGTGTTGACATGGAAAACAAAAACAAATGCATACTTAGTCAGAAAATACAAACAGTTACTAACATCTGCTCGTTACTATAGAAACAGAAAAAGCTTTCTCAAAAATTCCATTGAGGAAAAAGTTATTCCCCAATGCACACACAAACTCATTAAAAATTCACAACATGCTTTCCCTCTTTATGGCCATGAATTCCTATAGTCATCAATACAGCATTGGAAAGAAAAAGAATCTACACTTTTCCACAAGGCACATATAGCAGGAACCTATCTTAACAAACACGAATAGACCATGATAAGAAAATCTATCAGTCAAAACATCTAGCCTTGATTGTTTCCATGGAAAGAAAATGAAATAAAATTGCAATAAACTGCAAACTATATTGTAAATAAATGTCCTTGGCCTAATACCAATGCTGTAAAAGACAGCATTAGAACTAAATTCGTATCTATTTCTCTCCTGCCTCAAATTTCTCATCAGCTATATTGGTAATTTGAAAGCATGCCACCATTTCATGGAAACTATTATTTTGTTTTGGCTGATTCAATAGTGTATAACATTTTATGATCAACTGGTATTATTATACTTAGTTATAAAGAAAAACACATTTTTTTCTTTGGCCAGATCAGATTTTGCAAGTCCATCTGGAAAATAATTCTTACCTTCATCAACTCTTGAAACACTCTTTTAGGATCAGGTTTTGGAGGTTCTGTTCTTGCTTTGTCAGGAATCTATACCAAAGAGAAATTAGAACAAATAGTCCTTTCAATAATAATCTGGCAAAATAAATTTAAAAAAACGGCAAACTTCCAAATCAACTGAGATTATGTACGATCCTTTTTTATTATAATTTATAAATTATTATATTAATTATCTTCCTAATTGTTAAATTTTCATATTATTATCTTCCTAATTGTTAAATTTTCTGAAAAAAGTAATGCTTTTACTCAGACCAAATAAATTTTGACAATTTAGCATGTTTACATATTACAAAGTTTCTTTGATGTAATACAAGACTGCAATTTGAACTACTTTCTATTGTTATTAACTATAAGTTTAGTGACTTAGTCTAGCAGACTACAGTGAGAATGATCCTTACTGAGTGCCAAATATTTATGACATACTAATATTTTTTTATACTAATGTTTGCCCAATACAAGGCCCAAGAACCACTCAAAGTAGAGGGTTACTGTGTGGTATTGTATGAGCATAAAAAAAAAACAAGAAATGAAGTTTATGAGGTTATGTAGGAAAGATAACAGTTAATCCTAGACTTGAAGGGGTCAAGATTGTAGTGATTGAGAAAACAACCTGCAACAAAGCTGCAGTGGTTGGGAAGAATTGTCAGAGTGGATGTTACTTCTTACTAATAGTATACGAAGGGAATGAGGATGATTCATCCTTTTGTATGTGGCATGACGGGTTCCAAAAGGTTAGTCATTTATACTGGTTTTATATAAGAGAAAATAAAATTAATTTCTCTCACCTCTCCAGCACGTTACTTGATCATTTATGAAATCAGTATAAATATTTATTTTACATATATATATATATATATATATATATATATATATATATATATATATATATATATATAATAAAAAGTATTTATACTGATTTTATAAATGATCAAGTAGCATGCTAGAGAGGACAGAGAAGTTAGTTTTATTTTCTCTTTTTGTTTATTCCATACAAAACACCAACAGTAAAATGTAAGCTAATAAAAAACACAAAAACATGTAGATCTTTAAATGATCCATGTCCTTTGTGCCTACATGAAAAGTTATATATCATAAAGTTTATGAAAAATAATAACTTATTAAATCAAAGTAGTGAAATAGCAGTTTTTGTAGACATTATCTCATATTTTCCTTAAAAAATAATTATAAAATAATTTGCATAATTATATATCTATTATTTGATCATAAATAAATTAATTTATAAATGCATAATTAAATTCTAATATTTTAATTATGCAATACCATATATAGTTTATTAGTAAATAAAACAAATATAGTATTTTAGATCTTTATAAATAAAAATATTAGTAATATGACTTAGTCATATTTGAAAAACTGTTTAAGAAAATCACGATGTAGATTCAGAATACAAGAAAATTAATAAAAAAAATAAATATAAATGCCAAATGTATTGTAACTCAAAATAAAATTTAAAAAATGTGACATTGATCACAACTCCGCAATAAAGGAAGTAAGTATCAACAGACACCCTCACCTAACCGTAACCGACTTTCAATTTGCCACATAAAAATTATACTTGTACTTTCTTTACATTATTCGGACTATTGTCCTCATCTTTGTCGCCATATTTATCACAACGTTTTGGCCGTTGTACGCTCCGGCCTTTTTCAGGTGGTTGGAATTTCGAACTGAACCCTTTATTTCGCTCAATGGGGTAGACTGTTCTAGTTCCACGTGCCATGTTTGATGGATGTCAGTTATCAGTTATCTCCTGCTAATTTTCCTCAAGGGCACAGTGGATAAAGGCGTTGGTTAGATCCAGTGACAGGACCCAAAGAGTGTGAGTTCAATACCCGGTTAAGGCAGTGGAGAACTTTCAGAGGGAAATTAGCAGGAGCTAACTGATAACTGACATCCATCAAACATGGCACATGGAACTAGAACAGTCTACCCCAGTGAGCGAAATAAAGGGTTCAATTTGAAATTCCAACCACCTGAAGAAGGCTGGAGCGTACAATGGCCAAAACGTTGTGATAAATATGGCAACAAAGATGAGGACAATAGTCTGAATAATGTAAATAATGTACATAATACCTCATCTCAGAAATATAGACAGACTTGTACTTTCATTTGGCAAAAAAGCCAACACTCCTTAATAAAAAAATTCTGAATTCTCATTAGCCCACCAACTTAAAATATATAATAGTATTTGGCTTATAAATAGAGTAAATCAATTTTTTTTAAGGTTATTCTCAGGATTGCTTGAAAATGGAACAAAACTTCAAATTTTAAGTTTAATTTAAGATTTGGTTTCAAAACAGTAATTTCTGTGTCATGATGGAAATATATATATATATATATATATATATATATATATATATATATTACTAAAGTTTTCTGTAACCTGTAATATCACAGGAAGAATTTATTATGTGTGTGTGTGTATGTGTGTATATATATATATATATATATATATATATATATATATATATATATATATATTTAAATCATATGTGTGTTAGTAATATGTAGTAGGCCATGCTCATACAGAATATCGCTGATAATCACAAAAAGCAATAACTGCACAATGTATACAAGCTAGTAGAGAAAATAACAGATATCTACTCGGAGTGGGCAATTTTAAAATCCAATAGGTATTAATAATGGCTTTAATACAAAAAGCAGTTTTGTTTTTTTCATTCTGACTAGAATATGCCAGCCTAACACTTGGAGGTGAAACATGTCATTGAAAAAGCTTTTCCTTTTCCTTCACATAATCATATTTGATCATATCTAAAATATTAAAAGCATAAATTGAAATTCATGGAAAAATATTCATATAGAAATAAATAACAATTATTGTTGTTTACTCTATATAGTATGAAATCCTAGCAAAGCACATACTATGCATCTAATGATAGGATTGTGAAGTTTACAACATTGACTACGACCCCAAGTACAGTTGTTTAATGAACCAATTAATCGCTCTACATATATAGTAACAAAACAAATATATAGAACATATATAGGAATAAGCATATGCGATAATTTCCCCTGTCTACTTATTATGTGAAGAGATACATGGTTAAAGCCATATAAATATCAAATATGGGTAAATAGATATTAAGAAGACCATAAAAGTAAAATATAAATGGTAAACAAAGAGTAAGAAAAGAAAAAAATGGATTTTAATGATGGGTAAATCATAATCCTGATGTTTCTATGTCCTCAGCATAAAACCTTAATTGAAATGTTTCATCACTTCCAGCATTATCTTATATAATACATATTTCAATGGAGAGAGATTTATAATTCTATGTGCAGAAATTTTTAAAAACATAAGATCCAAACCTCTAATTATATAGACATTCACTATATATATATATATATATATATATATTTGTAAATTTTTATCAGTAATTATAAAACTGTTCTTGAGTTAACCAAAATATACACACAAACAGAACTGATTTCAAAATTCAAAACAGCATGCTGAGTAAGAAATTAGTCCATTTGAACAACATAAAGAACTTTGTAATGGTATTTGAACCTACCTGCCACTTATGTAAACACTGTTTCCTTATCTTTGTTTGGCGATCTTCATGGAGAGTCCTGAGATCCAAAAAGAAATAATGGTCAATTGATGTACTTCACTAGGTCAGTAGACTAATAATAATTCCTCATGCCAAAAATAAAAGATTAATAAGTAGAAAACAAATTGCTGGTTGAGATTTCTTGACATCTCCAAGAAATAGTTATTTAGAAGTCAATTCATTAATAAAGTAATGCTTTCCACTTACATGAAGTGAAAAGATTATAGTGATTCAATTGCTACATCTAGTGCTAAGAAAGTTGATTCATTGTGTCATGTAAGACAATTTTTCTCGTCAAATATGTAAGACTATCTTACACATTTATAAGTCTACCATTCATGTATGCATTGAATATTGCTACCACATCTGATCTGGTGCTTCTGCTATATATTTAGAGATTCTTGATAGAATTCAAAGAAGTATGTGTAATGTTATCGGTCCTGACCTGGCATCTCAGCTTCAGTCACTTTCCCACTGGCATAATATAGCTTCTTTGTGCCTTTTCTATAAATATTTTCATGGGAATTGTTCTGATAAGCTTTCTTCTTTGGTACTTCAACATTACAAATTTAAGTGCAGTACTAGATTGGCAATTAGGTCTCGTCATTTTACAGTTGTAATTACTAGTTGTACCTGTAACTTCTATCCTAACAATTTCTTCTCTCACGGCTTCTTGGTTTTTCAACCAACTTTGATCTTCATGTGACACTGAGGCCATAAATTGATTAGATGTTTATTGCGAGCAGGAAAAAGTTAAGCCTAAAATGGAATATAAGCTGGAAGATAGTGAGAGAAAGAGAGAGGGTGGAGGTGGGACAGTCTGGATTTCTTCTTTCCTGAAGTTTATTTATTTTTATCTATAAACAGTCTGGCATGTGGATGAAAAGAAAAATAATTTTGTCTTTCGCTCAGAAATTTAAATAAGAACAAACTTTTTTTTCTTGTGGGTCAAATGTACAATAGGGTGGAAGTTATGAAAACAAGTCAAGTCAAAAGTGATCTGGTTTATATTTTCACTAGACAGAGATAAATCTAGGAATTGAGAAATAATTTTTATCTCTTCTTTGAGGAATTAAGAAAAGGCATATCATTAACAAAGACAGAGGCAGACATGGCTTATATTTTCACTGAAAAATATATTTGGGAAATTTAAACAAAGAATGAACACTTTATGAGGATCAAAGTTATGAAAACAGGTCCTGTCAGTGATGAAGAGGTGATCTGGTTTATATTTTCACTGATGAAAATGAGTTGGGAACTTTGAGAAATGTAAACAAGGAACAAACCCTTTTTAAGGGTCAAAATTATGAAAACAGGTCCTGTCGTCAACAAGCAGGTGATCTGGTTTACTTTTTCAGTTGATAGAGATAAGTCCAGGAATGGAGAAATAATCTGATCTCTTCCTTTAGGAATCAAGAAAATTAACAACTAGAATAAAACTATGCCCCTACACCAACATGCTTTAAAAATTAGATTTGTCACAAAGATAGTTATACTTGCCCTGGGAGGTAGGATGAGGTTAAATGACAAGGAGGAAGAGGAAGAATTTAGCATCATGTGTATGGAGTGATGGTATGAGATGTAAAGTGAAGCAGGTTAGAGTTGAAGGGAAAAGCAATCCCTGTAACTACTCCCCACAAAGTGGATAATTCTCCAAATTTAAAAAGTTGAGAAAAACAGAAGTAGGGAACAAAGAAACCTTATTGGGATTAATGTAAAAATTGAGGAATCAACAAATTTCCAGAAACTTTCAGCCCCACATCAAATTTTGGGCCAAAGTACACATAAGCAGATAAGCATTTAGAGCTCAAAGATTTGTGCTGCAAATACCACATTGAGTGCCTCTGGAATCTATGCCAACTGCTACCAGATTTCCTGACTCTCTGAAGAACTTTGAACCCAAAACTTTAGTCAAGGTCCAGTGTCACTATAGAGATTGATGTAGGGAGGGTTAATTTTTGTTGTACCAAAAATTATATAAACTAACTGAAGATTAACCCAATGAATTCAATTACTACGACATTCACGCTTTCTTCGCTCTGAGATCAAGAACACAACATAGGCAGAATTTGTGTGAATTGAAGTGTTCAGTGACGAAAAATCAGCTTCGACCAGTGTCAGTATTGACCAGTGCAGAATTAGCCCTGTAGTTAAAACATCATCCTATGACCCTGAGAACTGGACAACTAAATGTGGTTACACCACCGAGTGTAAGTGGTCATAAAAGGGTTTATATTCAAAAGTTTAACTATAATGCCAATAGTTATCTTCTGTCTTAATTTCTGTTCTTTTATTGCTTTCTCTTGCCTTAATGTTTATCTCATATTCTTTCTCACACCATAACATCTTGTGCCTTAGTGGCTTTATTGCTTCCCTTGAGGTGAAATGATTAAAAAAGAAAAAACAAATATTTCAACTACACCACAAGTATTTCAGACCCACAAGTATTTGGATCCACCTACTACAGTAGGCACCTCTTGGAATGTTTGGGAGGCTTGCACAGGGAGGAAATCCAGAAGGATCTCAACTATGAAGTTATCATGTTGTCCTTATCTTTCTGACAGACACAGTTAAATAAAAGAGTGGGATCATTAAGTCTGTAGACTGACATGTAGCTCTTAGCAGAATTTTGATTCATTTCAGTTACCTCAATACCATTCTCTTAGACTAAACTGACAATTTTAACACAATTATATATGTAATTATATAAAAATATCAAAAAGCATAGATCAAAATGCACTGAAAAATATTTTATATAGAAATCACTAACAATTATTGTCAATTACTCTACATAAACTATGACCCACATCTAGTTGTTTAATCAATCAATCCCAAGGAATCTAGATTAATGTTTGAATATAAAAATTTTTTCTGGACAAATTATAATGAACGAACACAAATTATAAATTCTGGGGAAGCTTCTCTTCAAACCAAATGTTTCTTTTTCCTAACTTTTTCGTTCAGAGCGATCTTTAAATGTTATTTCAATGACCACCCGGATTTCTTTATCGACATGTTTTTTTTTCTATTTGACATCTTCACGGATACATTAATGGTTTCTTTCCCATTGGCGGGAAGTGGAGAAGGACAGGTATTCTTGCTTTTGCTCACTCTTACTGAATTTTGTCTAGTTGAATTTGGTTCGATTCTCCTTGGAATTATTTTAAACATGATTTTTTAATGCATTTCATTTTTAATTTTTTTCTCAACTTTTCAATCCATCTTCCTGCAAGTTTCAACAATTACCATCCAGTTAGTAGACTCTTTCCTCTTCCTTCTTTCTTTTTTTTCTCTTTACTTGTTTGATCAATTCCCGGAAATCTCAGTGTCACACAGTTGCCATAAAAATATTTGTAGAAGGGACAGAAAGACGCCACATCACATCAGTGAGAAAACAACTGAAGTCAAGATGCCAGGATTTTGTCAAGAATCTAGAGATGTACAGCAGGAGCATTGTACAATTCTCCAAAATGGTACTATATTGTATAAGTATTTCAAATATGAATTGTTAATTTTTATACTGTCATATTAAATAAAAATAAATAAAATGCCAACTTACGGGTCTTGAACAAATGTCTGAATTTTACGCAAACCTTGAATTTGTTTTTTGCCAAGCCTGTAAAAAAAATAAAAATAAAATAAGAAATTAAAATTAAAAAAAAAAAAAAAAAAATCATTAATAATACAAATATGAATTAAGCAAATACAATTATCCTCAATAATTACCCTTGCATACACACACACACACACAAACTCCATGGATTGAATATACAGTGTCTATTAAAAATTCAAAGAATGCTACCAAATAAGGTAAGCATCAGAAGAAAGCCAAAGTTTGTAACAACCATTCTACTTTTCAAAACAGTTTGCTAAGTCCCTTTTTTGGGATTGCCATCTTGTATACAGTCTGAAACCACATCTTCCCTTTCAGCCAAACATTGCACAGAGCCAAATCAATTCATGGAATTTATAAGGTAAAAAGCTTTTTTTTCAGTTCTTCATGATAAAGAGAGGATTTACCTCTTGTTATGGGGAAATATTCTGAGTAACAAATACCATTTGTAATCATTTGGTGTAATACTAGTTTCTCTTATTATTAATGGCACAATTAGAATAATATTTTCATAGTATTTCTTCATTGAAAACATGTAGAGGAGCTTATTTTCCGTGAAAAAACAAAATGGCCTACTTGAAATGGAAATCATGATTTTGAAATGGAAATTTTTTTTTTTTTAAACAGCTATGTCAACTGCCATTTTTATTTGTTACTATGTTTGCCTTTCTTAACTCACTCGTCCGACAAACATCAAAGGATAAATTCGGCAATGTTTTAACACATCCCCCTTGGCTACTGTCTCCCTACAGTTTACAGTATTTAGGAACCAAGTTTACCAAGTTGGCTTGATTTAATAAAAAAAAAAAAAGGTTTTGCAACAAAAATTTTGTCTTTTTGTTTTATACTTTCTTTTTCTTATCACATATAGTGATGGAAGTGGGGGGTGCATTTTGTCTTTTCAGAAAGCCATATTTTATGAATTAGACTTTTTTCAAAAATGTTATTTAATAATTTCAATAAAGTGACCAAACGATAGATGACTTTTCAACAATTAATGAGTATTAATTTAAAACTGGACTTTTTCTGTTTGCCTACTTTAGTTTTTTTTTTTTTTTTTGTTAAACATTGTTTGGTGTTTTTACTGATTTCAACCTGACAACCCTGTGCACGCACCCAAATTAGTTTTACTCTTGTAAGAATTCAAACAAGATATTTTTTTGTTCTTAAAAAAAAAAAAAAAAATAACTATAAACTCAAATGATGCATGAAACAAAATAAAATATCTTTGGAAGACGAGATGTATTTTTTTTTTTTTTACTACAACATCCAGTTTTGAGTGTGTTAAATATTTCATTTTGTTACAGTAAACATACATAAACCTTTCCAAAAAAACCAAACATTTTTTAAATTCCATGTGGAGTGAGTAGCTATGGTCAAATGCAAAATAAAGAACAAAACTGTCCAACAAGCAGAATTTACAAAGTTTGCAATAAAAAGAAGAAGAAACAGGGCCAAAAATGAAATAATATCAAACAAGCAAGTGAATAATATATATGAAGGCAAATTCACAGTAAGGCGGCAAAAAGTTCATAAACTAAGAATTGACATCTGTGTGACACTATGAGTTGGATATATGCGCACGCGTGTGTGTGTGCACCCGCACATCTGTGTGTGTGTGTATGTATGCGCACACACATATGTGCGAGAAGATTAGTTAGATTTGACCTGGGTATCAAACCCAATGACTAGATTAGGAATCTAGATAAAAACATGTTTTGGACATATGGCCAAAAGGGTAGATAAGTGTTAAGTACTTGTCAAAATACGAAGACCGGCTCTGGTCAAAACTTAAAAGGGTCTGAATTTAATGTCCCTGAATCAGAGTCAGCTAGGCTAGGAAATATTTTTTTGTCCACTTTTCTTCAAAGGGAGAAATGGCCATGAAAAAGTTATGGGTTTATTTGTGGGTGTCCCTTCCCCGGAAATGATGACAGAGGTCTCTATATATATACGGGAATGCTTGGGTTAGTGGCAGACTTAGTTTAGGTTCGAGGAAGGGATTCAGGCCGTAGCAAGTTGCAATGAAGAGCGACACCCTAGCAGCCGGACATTGTTAGTTAGGATATATTTTTTTTGCCAGCCGAGAATCAGCCCAGAGTTAACTATCCACAAAAGGTCACACGCCCTCCCTCCTCTTTTCATTCTACCCAAGTTTGTAGTTGTGTTTTTCTTTTGCATGTGAACCTGCCTTTCGCTCGATCCACCGCACAGAAATTCTACGACGTGGGGTCTATATCTTGTGCAACGAGTGCAGAGGTGGGTAGTCTCACATCTGGTATACATTGCATTTCTGTATTTGTTTCTTTTCCTAAGTAAAATTTCAAATTATAAAAGTAGCCAGTCTTTGCTTTCACAAGTTCCCAGGGTTTCATTCCCCATTTTGATGGCCTCTTGGTCATGTACTGCAGAGATTCATCCTCCCTTTGAAAGTCATCATACTTTCATCTAAACTTATTTCTTTAGTGGGGGTGTAGTACTGTTGCCAAAGTGGGAGAATAGTTTCAACAAATTGTTTAATTTTGAAGTTTTTTCATATCGGGTTTCATCTCTGGGTACTGCCATTGGATTATCAACAAGATGAAAATACAACAGAATTGATAGAAAACAATTCCTACTCATCACATTGTAAAAGTCTTGCATACATGAAAGGATCTATTGTCCAGTAAGATGAATATGAAGATTGCTTTGTCGAACTTATCAACAAAAGCATGACCAAAAATAATGTTTTCATTTGGGCTTTGCTGTGTCACGTAACTTTGTTTTTATTCCATTTGCATACTGGTTAGTTAGTTAGTTATTATTATTAATAATAAGAAGAAGAATAAGAAGAAGAATAAGAAGAAGAATAAGAAGAATAAGAAGAAGAAGAATAAGAAGAAGAAGAAGAATAAGAAGAAGAAGAAAGAAAAAAAGAAAGAAAGAAAGAAAGAAAAACATCTAACCCATTAGCTTCTTGATCAATATTTGTAGGTACAGGAGTATAGAAAAACTCTGGTAGCCAAAGGTAATCGTATGCTTGTGATGGTTCAAAAATTCCTCCTTTTGGTTGGAATTACACATATCATCTTTATTTGCGTGGGTAAAGCCCAGAAATTCTTCTTTGTCACTCTCACTGTCCATGAAAACCTCCTCTATTGGCATAACAGATCCACACCTCACCATTTTGATTGAAAAAACAAACATTTTTAAAACACTTTTTTTTTTTTAATTTACTGATAAAAACAACTATTTCAGAACAAAATGGTTGATATCTGGTCATTCCCAGTTCATACCACAAGCTTAATGATATCATTTCCATAGTAATAGGTAATTTTTTAGAAAACGTAATTTCCCTTTGAAACAAAGGTCTGTCACTTGGCGAACATGTCTGCCTGGAGAATATTGAGAAAGAATATCACCGACAGACATGTACGCCTGCAGAGTTGTAAAGGTTAATGTTATCAAAACATGACACATCCCTTTATTGTTCCCTTTATTAATTTTCTTAATCAATTTCAGTGAATTTCCTGTCTTTGAGATAAAAGGCATTCACTTATGCTGATTCCCAAAGAACAAATATTACCAACATGTTAAATGCCTTTTGTAAAAAATAGTTATTAACACCTGCCTATTTTATGTTTTATTATCTATTGTGTTAAATGAGTGTATTTGCCATCTTGCTGTTTCAAATAAGAGGTTTTTTAAGCAAAGTAAAATTTTCTGAAAACATGCACTTGTGTATAATACAACCCATTTTTTATATTTCATTTCCGTTCAAAATTTCTCATATTATACTCAAGAAAATACGGCAAACTAATTGCACATCTTGCATAGACATTAGCTAACCAAATTCTTCAACTTTGCATATATAACCTGGGAGATATTTTTTGGCAGGATTTATTTCTAAACTGCAAATAGGCATCATTGAATGAAGAATTGTTATTATTATTATTATTACTAGCCAAATTTCTGTCTTAAGAACATTCAGCAGTTAGATGCTGTGCATCTGAGAAATGGCACTTTCATCTTGTCACAATAAATTCAAGGCTTTTTGGCTAAGATCAAAGTGTAGTATCTGTTCTTATCAGCTTACTCTGATTCTCTCCCTCCACTTCTATATTCCCTTCTTTCTTTCATTTTCCCCACTGAAACCAAGTAGCGTCCCCCCTCTTTCCACATGATCAAAATGGAATAGTCTGTTATTTATGAGGCATTGGCAGGGTGTAATGGTCATGCAACCTAACAAAGAGAGGGACAAACACAATTATCACAGGATTATTGAAGTGCTAGGGAACTGAAGCACAATGTTTTATTTATTACTTCTTCTGGTATATCTACAGATAACTATCTATAAAGTTTCTTATACTTACAATTCATTTGAATTCCGAATATATTCATAGAATACAGTATCATCAGTGAGCACATTCAGAGGAACAACTTCCACAACATCTCGTTTGGGGTCATTCCGAGTAAACTCGGATAAATCAAGGTTGATCTCATGCAGGTAGTCACCGATCGAGCCAGCATCCTCCCGCAACCATTTACAAATAATGTATCTAAGAAGAAAAAGAAGAAAAAGAAAGACATTCGAGACATAGTAAAAAGAAACAAAACTAGCAAGGAAATGCTTTCAGACGGTGGATGATGTTCTGATCCGAGAATCAAACAGCAAAAATCAACAACAATTTACATTTCAAAATTTAATTTAATAATATATCCAGGTTTAATTCTCTTGTTATCACTGAAGTAAGAGCATTGATCTGAAAGTTGGTTGGTTGTTTTGCTTAGTGGCATTGCTTATGGCTTATTTAATGCCAAAATCTAAATATGAAAATTCAAACTTTATAATTACTTCAAGAGAATGACATTATGTCATGATTAAATTATAATTACTGTTATATACTTATACCTATGAACACTGCTATCTGCTGGTTGGTTTATTGTTTTTGTTTAAAGGCATATCAACATCTATATGGGTTATTTAATGCCAAAATCTAAATATTTTGTACACAATTTTATTTCATTTTTGGAGATAATGATGGTTTTGTGAAACAAGTCCTACTAATTAACCCATAGCTGGGGGGAGAAGAGGCAGATTCATAACTTTCTCAAGTGTATTTGCATGTAACTGAATATAGGTAGCAAGAATTTTGATTTTGAGATAATAATCATCATTGCAGGAATTAGAACAACCAAAGTTAATCGTGTTACATCCGTTGTTACAATAATGTTTCATCTGATCTGTGCTTTGACTACTTTCTGTAAAAATTAATAACTACATTTAATTGCAATAACAAAACTTGGAACAAAAAATGAAGATACTATTTTGAAGAATTCTTTGAATAAAAAAAAAAAATTGACAAAGGAGAAACAAAGCAATGGTTTCTGCAATACAAAGATATTGTTTAAGTCTTGTATTTAAAATCAGAAAGCAAACAAGACCCACCTTTCAGAATTAGCTGGTCGACTAGTAACTGGTTTACAAATGCATATTTTGTTGAATGCAAGATGCATCAAATAGATAAGGCCAACACTGAAGGAGGTGAATAGATCAAAGAGTTTGCATACAAAATGTCCATCTGAAAGGTAAAAATAATTATTAAACAATGGATACCCAATTAACACAGCAAAACAAAGAAATAACTGTTGAGAAAACAGATAATCAACTTGATTTTCACAGCATTAACTCTTCTGTATCTTGTCAAGGATGACTATGAGATTAACAGCTACAGTCTGGGCAGATTAGATAATTATTGTTAGGCTAAGTGCTTCCTTACTTCTCCTTCAGCAATTGTGGTGTGCCAGTGACAAGAGGTTTGGTTTGGTTTATTAATGGGTTATTTAATGCCGACAAAATTTTTATTGTTGGTAATATTTATTTTTTTTCAAAAATATATTTCTGGTAATATTTTTTCCTTCAAAAAATGTATTTCTGGTAATATTTTCCCTTCAGATATGTACTGCTGGTAATATTTTTCCAAAAAATGTATTGCTGGTAATATTTTCCCTTCAGATATGTACTGCTGGTAATATTTTTCAAAAAAATGTATTGCTGGTAATATTTTTTTTTCTCAAAAATGTATAGCTAGTAATATTTTTTTTTCAAAAATGTATAGCTGGTAATATTTTACAAAGTATTTCTGGTATTAAGACCTATTTTTACACTTTCATAGTGTTTTGACCCCAGTTCGGGGTTAACTATTTGATCATAGCTAAGACCCTAACAGGTGCTACCACCCTGGGTCAGGGTGGACCTGGGAACACCAACAATTAAGAGATGGTTCCACACTCCTCAAAACTTCCTGATCAGAGGCCTTGCTGTTGGACGTAGTTTATCGTCTTACCTAGGACGTGGATGTAGTTTATTGTCATACGCAGGACAGCAAGAGGTTTTCTTCTAAGATAACCTTGTGATTTGACAGAGTGCAGGAAGAAATGCAATAGAAAAACGAATTAGTCTCAGCCAAATGTAACCAGTACTAAAGTATAAAGGAACGGCACATTCTGAGATGTTGTTCTTGTCTTTTGCTAATTTAGTCTTGATGCAAAACTAATTTAAATATAAACAGTGGATTTGCCAGCAGATATTTGACACTTTTGAAACATTCTCCAGGTGATAAGTGCTATGCAGAGCCGGTGCATATTACCTTCGAACATCCCGATTGGAAGGGCCAAGCCTGATTGGGGTTACAGTCAGTGCTTTGTGACCCCCTCTCTCTCTTATCAATATTTGATTCTTTCTACCTACATTTGTATAAGTTACAAAATAAACTAAACCCAACTACTATATTCTGTCCAGGGCATCATTTTCTTTTTGTTCAAATTCGTGAATTTGTTTTACTCACGCTAAGTCTTGAAAAATACCATATAAAATTCACTATCTTTTATTCATAATAAATTCAATGATTTCGAGTTTTTCCTGTAAACACAGAAAACAGGTTTCATATCATGATCTACATGTAATAGCCATTTTTAAAAATTTCCATTTCATCTTAGAAGTCCTATTATCATATTATTATTATTACAGTCTGGGCAGTTAGATAATTATTTTTTAGGTTAAGTGCTTCCTTACTTCTTCTTCAGCAATTGTGGCGTGCCAGTGACAAGAGGTTTTCTTCTAAGATAACCTTGTGATTTGACAGAGTGCAGGAAGAAATGCAATAGAAAAACGAATTAGTCTCAGCCAAATGTAACCAGTACTAAAGTATAAAGGAACGGCACATTCTGAGATGTTGTTCTCCTCTTTTGCTAATTTAGTCTTGATGTAAAATTAGTATAATTCAAAAACATACAGTGGGTATGCAAGCAGATATTTGCATACTACCTTCGAACATCCCGATTGGAAGGGCCAAGCCTGATTGGGGTTACAGTCAGTGCTTTGTGACCCTCTCTCTCTCTTATCAATATTTGATTCCTTCTACCTATATTTGTATAAGTTACAAAATAAACTAAACACAACTATGGAAGGATGAAAAATGTCCAGATTTTGGCATCGTTCTGGCATCTTTTTGTTCAAATTTGTGAATTTGCTTTGCTCATGCTAAGTCTGGAAAAAACCACCATATAAAATTCACTATCTTTTATTCATAATATATTTGATAACAGGGTTCATTTAAAGATCTACATGTCCTAGCCATTTTTAAAATTTTCCATTTCATCTTAGAAGTCTTATTATAATCTTTTAAATTCCAAAAATATTTATAAAGTGATGTATTATTTAAGTACTATTAATGAAGGACAAGCTATGTTGATACAATGTAGTCTTGAAAGAATTCTTAGTACAACCAATATAGAATTTTTCAACTGTCAGATTCTCTATTGCAGAGATAGTACTAAGACAAACCAGAGATTTAGTTAAACATTTGTTTGGCAATGGACATTAGTTAGAATTCCTACAATTACATTGGCCAATATTATTAATATTTATCTTGGAACATGTATTATGATCCAGAGTATTAAATTGGTTTATAATTTTATTATTGTGTAACTTTATAATTTTCTCAAGATTATTGGTGCAAAGATGAATATGTACATATATTCATGAAATAACTTATAACCAAGATGAATTTTTAAGGATTTTCTTGACTTATTATTATATTGCTCTGTTATTTACATTGAGCCCTCTTTGGATTAATGTCCTTATTTAAATTACTCCTACCAACCACTATATATATATATATATATATATATATATATATATATATATATATATATATATATATATATATATATATCCCCAAGTATAGGATCGGTGTATATGGAATAAATTCCAATATCCAAAAAATACTATTCTTAAAAGAGTGCTCAATACAGAGTAGAGCAAATATAATTTATTTGAAAATTATAACAAATATGTTATAAAATCGCTACAAAAATAGCCATTTTGTTTCAACATTTCTGGTGTCTTATCAAATGATGTTGTTGAATGTAGAATAAAGGGTTTTAAAAGGTTCAAATCGACCAAACAACCCTCGCTAGGGAAAATGCTGTTACATAAGCTGCAATGACTAATCAAAATACAAGTATATGAGAATTCAAAAAACTTGACAATGAACCTTGGTTATAATAATTAATGCTTTAATGTTAGGGTTAGACTAAAATAGAAATCATTCTAAATAATATTAAATTTTACTATAAAATTGAAATTGGCAATTTTTAATTTTAGTGCCTTTTCTGTAAATATTTTCATGGTAATTGTTCTGATGAACTTAGCTACATGGTACCTAGAATTTACGAATTTAAGCTCTGTATTAGATTGACAGCAAAGTTTCATCATTTCACTGTTGAAATGGCTAGACGTAACTGTAAGTTCTATGCTAACAGTTTCTTTTATCAATCTTCTTGCTTGTGGAACTGGCATCTTGCTTCACAGTCAACTTTGATTTTTTAAAATTTAAATGCAATATCAATAATCATCTACTGTCTTCTTAAGAGTGTTTTTTATCATATTATTCTCTAACACTCAGTAACCCGTTGTGGCTTAGTGGTTTTATTGCACTGCTTAGGATGAAATGTTTAAAAAAAAAAAAAAAAAAAAAAAAAAAAAAAAATGGAATACTTTGAAAACTCTTTAAAATTCACCTTGTAAGCCAATAGATATAGTAATTACCACATTTTATGGCATACAGACCCCACACTTGGCTATTTCAATTTTAAGAAAACAATTTTAATGCATTTAATGTTAAAATAAATAGCAAGAGTATAGTAGGAAAAATCTTTAGACGTACTATGCAACAAAGACAGCAGGAAAAACTGCTTGATTTTGGTGTTAAATGAAGATAATCATCTCAGAATATACAGTTTTAATTTTGATGCTAATTCCATTTTAGAATTATATAACAGGGTGAAATTGCTGTTTCAATGCTTTACTACATGAAAAGACATTGAGCTAAATGTGATTTATATAATAAATAGGTGTAATCAATGAACCATAGATACTACTGAATATCTAAAAATATAAAAGATAATGAATTAATTAAACAGTTCATTGGTTGCTATTTTAATTGTGAATTCTTTATCTTTACTTTATTGAATCTCAGTACATTTTTTCAAGATGTCTGTTTCCTTCCATCTCACTATTAGAACTTACTAACAACTGCTGTCATTTTTGACAGCCCAGGTACACTAGTAATAATGATAATACTAACAATTGTTTAATTTACAAGATAAAACAAATCAGAAATGGTTCTATGAACACGTTCCTTATTCTAGTTTATGCTTACTTTGTTTGCAATTGTATAGATTAAGTTCTTTCATCCTGATCATCTTGATCTTGATTTTGGTGTTAAACAAAGATATTCATCTCAGAATATACAGCTTGAATTTCTATGATAATTCCTTTTTTATAATTAAATTCCAATAATAATACTGATCTTAATTGATTGGGGGGGGGGGTTACTATGTACATATTTTGTGCTGTGATTTAAGATGGCCTACAACTCACTCCCACAGATCTGTTTGTGTAATCTGCAATATCATAGTCAGGATTTATTAAACAGATAAATCAAACCTAAATAATAAGTATTTAATGTTACTAAATAGCAAAAGTAGAGCAGAATTAAAAAAATATTCATCTTTAATTTCTTGTTCCAGAATCTGCTGTTTTTTATTCCAATTTAATTAAAAAAGAAATATTCATCTTAAGGATGCTTTTTTATAATTCAAGTACTTGTAATAATAATAATAATAATAATAATAATAATAAATATATTTATGTAAATAATACTGCAGAATTATAAAGTTAATAATTTTTTAAAAATATTCATCTCAGAACATTCTACATTAATTTCTTACAATAATTCCTTTTTATAATTTCTATCTGAATTTTCTGGGATGAGGAGTTATTATGCAATCTATTGTGATTTGAGTAACCTACAGGGAATTTTCGAACCAAACCCTTTATTTAATCTATGGAAGTACACTTATTGTTCCACTGCTTATGTTTAGGGATATCTTGTCTAGTTCATATTTTTAGTACTGCTCAGTTATTGCTTGCCATGTTTCCACTGAGTGCAAGTACATACTTCTTATCCCAAGGAGCCTTTTTATAATTAAAGTACCTGTAATTATAATAGTAATAATAAATATGATATTTAGTAAATAATGTTGCAGAATTATAGAGTTAAGCTAGTAGTGGGAGAATCTGAGTAAACATTAGCCAACTAGATAACTTTGTATATAAAACCCAGTGGGGTATTTTTTAGGCAAAACAGTATGCATTTATTGATCTCAAAATGGAGTGTGATAATAGTAACATTTATGATACGCATAGTAGCAAAAAAAAAAAAAGAAAAAAAAAAATCATTACTTACCATTTCTTAAGATTTTCAGTGCTACAAGGAACTGACAGAGATAGAGTTGCTTTGATAATATTTCTTGTAAGTTCTCTTGTCCTTCTACAGAAAAACCCTAAAATGAGAGAGAGAGAGAGTAAATAGGAAAAATAAACACATTTTATCTGATTGCTAGTCGAATATTAAAAATAACAATGTCTTTGTTAAGTGAACGCTGAAGTCCTGTGATAAAGTTTTTTCATTATTCAATATATTTTTAGAATAAATTGTTATCATTTTTTTCTTGGAAATAGAAACTTTCCATTGTTCATGTATCAAGTTAATTTTTCAGAATTTATACTTGGGGTGCCTCATGTCACGTCCCCCTGAACTGGAGGAATGCATGGTTTGGTCTAGGTATTGTACTCACCGCCACAACACGGTATAAAATTTATGAACTATAATGCTGGAAATATGCTGTACATCAAGACTTCCAGCAGATTAATCTAGCTCTGGAGGATTTTCCGATGCTCTGCCAAGACCATGAAAGTTGGAGAGAGAGGGTGGCTCTTGTGAGCTCAATGCCTTGATGGCATGAGATTTAGCAGCACTTTCTAATGCTTAAAAACGTACAGATTACACAGCAGAGAAAGGTCAAATGGTAACAATAAAAATAATATGAATAAATCTTTAAATGATAATGACTGAATATGGATAGTACACCCAAAAAATGCTGTAGCATAGAACAACCAAAATATTATAGTAAAAAAAATAGAAAGAAGAATCAGCAATATGATTGATCCTGACCTGGCATCTCAGCTTCAGTTACTTTCCCACTGCCATAAAGTTGCCTCCCTGTGCCTTTTCTATAAATACTTTCATGGTAATTGTTCAGATGAACTCTTCACTATAGTACCTAGGCTTTATAAATTTAAGTGAAGTATTAGATCGGTGGCAAGGTCTGATCAATTTACAGATAAATTGGCTAGATATAATTGTAAGTTCTATGCTAACAGTTTCTTTTCTCGCACTTCTTGCTTGTAGAATTTTCTCCTGGCTCCACGCTTCCCAGTTAACTTTGATTTTTAAAAATTTAAATGCAATGTCAATTGTTAGATTCCTTAAAAGAAAATAATGTCCGTAAAATTTTACACCTAATTAATTCTCTTTCAGCATCTCAAAAACATTAAATATTTCCACTTCAGGTTGTTGACTATGAAGCTTCAAATGATACCCACTGGAATGAAATATATTTATAAGTTTCTCAAAACTGAAGCGCATTAATTCATCCTCATTGGTCCAATGATCGAATGTGCTCATAGGGTTGATGCACAGCTAAGCACCTGACCAGCTCCCTCCTTATATCTCAGTTGCATGCCAAGGTCTCTATAAATGATCTTGCAGTCCACTCAATGACATTGTCAGCCCATTTTTTTTTCTTCTGTCTGCTTTCTCTTCTTTTACCAAAGGTGGTACCTTATAGGATGGCAGTAGAATGATTCTTGATTCTTATAACATGTACATAACATTTCAACTTCCTTTTCTTGACTGCAGATATAAAGTCTTCCAACAGGCCTGCTTCGTGTCTTTGATGGTGTCTTGCACTGCATCATTTGTGATGCACACTACATAAGAGATGATGAGGATGATTCTGTAGAATTTAATTTCAAATGGTTAGTATTTTTTGGAATAAAGTGTCACTGCCGACATTTGAGTTTGAACATAGATCCGCAGTGAGCAAACACAGGTGATCCGATTATTGAATTAGGTAGATCACGTGATCATAGAGAAAACGCATAAGTAGGAATTAGCATGATGTCTAACTGATCACTATTCTTAGTCTATCCTCTATACTATTTGGATCGCTATTTCTACTCTATCCTCTATTACTATACAGACTGCTATTCTCTACTCTATTCACTATACTATTTCTCTATTCAGATCACTATACAGTGATTACTATTTGAAAAAAAATTATTGAGCAAGTACTATTAGTGCAAGATTATTCGAAGGTGTTTGACACCAGTATTGTTCAACAGCGTTACTTTAGTCATATCTGTGATTACAAAGTCAGTACTACAACGAGCATTACAAAAGTGACGAGTATTCATTGACATTACAAAAGTGGCAACGAGTGTTCATTGACATCATAAAAGTTAGATTCTTAGAAATGAGATGCTACAGAATCAGCCTAACATGTGTTAATTAACTGAAGAAAAATAAATATTCTAAATTTCTCTTAGAAAAATCTACTGCTCTCTTTCTTCCAACCCACTTATTATTTCCATGGTTTTCTGATTTGAATTGTTAGACTTATTTTATTTCTTAAGTTAATGATTGCATAGGCTCATATTGCTATGAGCTTATGCAATCATACAACAATAAAATATCTGTAGAAATTTCCCTATCAAACTGTTAAATATTTGAGCATAACAACCTTAACAAAATATTGCAATAACAATCATGAATCTGAATGTTGGCCATAAAAGTAAGGTGGTAGAAACGAAAAGATATGAAATTAGCAACTTTTTCATTTCACCAAAATAAATGTTAAACACATGAGTGTGATATTTCAATCCCGGCTTGAGGCAATTGGATGTCTAGCCACACTGATGAGCTGTGAAACCATGAAACTGTCTTTCTGTGGATGACAATATATATACATGCTCCTGAAAAAATTATTTCAGTTGAGCTCTTCAGGGAGAAAAGTGAATTTGTAAACAGTGACTATTACTGCTGCTGATGCAAGACTCTTCATTAAAACAAATAGTGTTCTTTTTTTTTTTTTTTTTTTTTTTTTATAGAGGAAGGTATACGTGTAGCCACTTCTGTTTTGGTCAATTCTAGTCACAATAAACTAAAACCTGAACTAGTAAACTTCTGTTGTTCAGTCTTTTCTTCTTCCACTTTTTATGAGAGTTGCCTTATCATTAGTTCAGAGAGAAGTATAGAAAGCAAAAAAGAGAAAATGTTTTTTAAGGAAAGTAAATGCCTTATTCTAATGTTTTTCAATATTTTATTCTTATATTTTGGCACACCACATATAATATGACCCCAACCCTCATTTTTACCTTTAATTTTTGCTCAAAATTTCTCATATTATGCACATAAAAATATGGCAGGATCACTTGAATACATTTTTTTTTTACTCAGGTGGAAACAGGGTGTTACACACATGTAGTCGAATAATTATGGAGATATTAAAAAAAAAGGAATATTATTTAATTATTTAATTATTAGCTAAAAACATAATAAAAAATTTTTTTAAATAAATAACACACAAACAAGAGGGAGTTGAAAAGTTAATGGCCCAACCAAGAAAACCTTTAAAAACTTTTTTAAAAACAATAATTATGACAATGTTTATTTATTTGGCCAAATGTTGGGAAAATTATTTTATAAACTATCAGATTATTGCAAGAGGAGAAATATGCTTACACCATCTGCCATAACAAAATGGACTCCTTTATTTTCTGTATTTTGTTTCACAAAATCTATAAAGCATTCCTGGTTCTCTGGTTTAAAAATATCTCCATCACCTTGCAGACCACCTACACCTATAAGAGAGAAAAACAAAAAGAATATAAAATATATGTACTTAGGCAATAATCCTTCAATAATACAAGTTCGATTAAAGGTCACAAACAGGGAACATTCAGTATTAATGTTTTATTTAATCATTTATGTGGCTGTATGAATGACCATAAATCTTTAGTTAAAGTATTCAAGAACAGAAAAAACAAAAAAAAAAAAACACTTTCCTAAACTAAACAATATTCAGGGTGTGATGGGTAAATTGTTGCCATTTTATATTTTTAATTTCAGGCATGGTTGTTTTTGATTTTGTCGACCCGTACAATATAGCAGGGCTAGTTGGACACTGTGAGAAAAAGATCACCATGACGCAATTTACTCCGTCAGAAATTTGGAAACAGCATGCTGTACTGCATGGCATTGGCATCACAAGCTCCAATATGAACATTTCAGTGTGTTTGGGTGTCAATCTGAGGACAGTGCAGAGAATTCAGAAAGAGTTGAATATATCCAGTCAACATCATGGTGTTTGGAGTGATCACTAGTGATAGTGATGCTATGCCTCTGTAGTGATAGGGGTACCATTGTTGTTTATTTCCGACGGGATCATCAAATATGTAGCTGATGTATTATCATCGTTGTAGTGATTGAGTTACCAATATTTAACTTGGCTAGGAAAGATGAGATTAAGGACAATGCGTGAAAGCAATGCAATTTATACTTGACGTAAACAGCACATAGAACAAAATACAAAACTGAACTGAATGATTCCAAAACATAACAATTAGATTTATTAATGTTTGATGTACATGAATGCGAACTGAAAAGGTAGGACAGAGTCGTGTCCCTTTGACTTGGTAATATTTGTACCGGAGTTCATATTAAGAAATAATATTGAACTTGTAATTTAGAAGAATAAAGTTTGGAATTGTGAGTTCTAAAGTTGGTAAAAGTTCAGGGGTGATTTCAGAGTTCGTGAATATTGGTAATTGTCTTTAACGTCTGGCCAGCAATGACTAAAACGGGAGTTGGTGAAGGTTACATCTTGGCACTTGGTAGCAAGGAATGAAAAGTGCAAAAGAGATTAATGAAAAACTACTACTCCTCTTTAAAGCTCACATGTGTTCGGTTTATATAATGGTCAAGTGGCTCCTAGCATATGAGTAGGAAAACAGATTGGTCGCGTGCAGGCGGTTTGATTAGTCGGAACTGACCAATCAGCAAGCTAGATTGGAGGTGATTGACCAATGAATACTTGTTATATTGTATGAAAGTAGGATGTTACTTACCAGATAGGAAGAGTGCATTTCCTAAAAATAGGTAAGGCTGGTTTGTTGTGGAAGATCCCACACCTCCATTCATCTTCCCACAGGGCCTCAGACTCAACACTCAGTGCCTTGAGGAGGTAGTGCTGTCCTGAGTCAAAAGGGTGACTGCTTGAAGACCCTATGTCTAGCAACAAGGCTCTGCACCATACCCCAAAAGCAGGATAACCCATTCATGGCTCTCAGACAATTTCTGCGACTACATCTCTTACATTTGGCCACCTAACTCGCTAGACAGCAACCCCCTTGATTATATGTGGGGTGCAGTTGAGTGAGAGACCAACAAAATTACTTGTAACACTAAAGATGAACTGAAGTATTTCAAAATATTTTTGTGCAATTTTGGTAAATAGATCTGTTAAAATGAGATGTCAGTGTTATTTTCATTTTGCATAATTTAGACAATTTATCCATCACACCCTGTACATATCTTTTGAATCTCAAATTCCAAAATATCCCAGGCTGTAACCAACTACCTTTGATTATGATACACACACACTCTCTCATATATATATATATATATATATATATATATATATATATATATATATATATATATATATATATACACATACACACTGGTGTGAGATTGCTGGAAAATGAGCAAACGGACTTAAACAAAAAACAAAATTGTGTCATCAAAATGTTTATGTTACTATTAAGAGGAAAAGAAAAGTTTTTTAATTATTTAAAAAAAATTTTCTGTCTTTATTAGAACATTCTAACTTTTGATTGAAAAACCTTGTTTCTCTTCATCAGTGGAACAACTAGTAAATAACATAGCAAATTGTTTGTGCATTTTTTATGACAGACATTAATTTTGAAAATCTTGCAAAAATAAAAACAATTGTTAGATGTTAATGAAACTTTCAGAAACTATTCACAAATGATGGAAATTATTATAAATATGTTTATTTTTTTTAAAAGTCATGGTAGAACTTTTTTTTATATTTATTACTCCCACCATAACTAATTTTATGAAAACCTTTGAAATTCAAAAGTGTACATTTTTAGTGATTAATTAGTTAAAAGCACAAGGCTTTGAGGAAAGTAAATCATGTTTTGTTTTGTTTTTTTTAGTTGCCCGCCCTCTACCTTAAAATCAGCTCTGAATTGTAAGATATAAAACTTAATAAAACAAAGATATTATTTAATTTCAAAAGCTTTTAGTTCCTTTTACTTGTTTTTATGAATATGGATAATATTGTCTAAAAGCAAAAAACGTTTTAGATGAAAAATAAATTTTTACAACAATTATTTATTTCTGAAATTATTAATTTTTTTTTTACATTATAGTTGTTAAATATTTTAAAATTAATTAAAATGGTGTATATTTCATACGATGGTGTTATTATGTAGATATAAATCATTACAGATTATAAATTGTAAAGCTGGTTACAATCAGCAAACTCTAAATAGATAAAAATCTAACGTTTTTTTTGTGTCCATAAAACAGCTGTAATTCAAATATATGGAAGACCAGAAGCATCATGAAAAGAGAAAAAAATTGTATAATATTTCAAATGGTAAGGGTAGCTACAAAGTATTATGTACCTATCTTATGAAATTTATTTGGTCTTATTTTTATGTTATCTCAGTTATGACATTTTTCCAAAAATGAAATATCAAAATTAATAAATGAAGTGGAAATACAAATAATACTGTAAAATGTAATAAATGGATATTAAATTATATTTTATGTATACTTAACCTTTCATAAGAAAGGTACCTAATTAATTTTATGTATCTTTCTTATGAAATTTTATCTCACTTTCAAGTCTTAGTTTAAAAATTTTCCTTAAAAATAATGAGGTAAATAAGTTGGTTCAATAAAAGGCTAAATTATGTCACTTCTGCCCTTCCGTACAATAACTTATCCTTGTGTAAGCTGTCAATATGTGCTGAAAGCATCAATTATCACATACTCACATGTCGCTGCTGTTACGACCTGCTGGCTCTTGTTTTAAATTACATTTTTTTCGGTGCATAAAGTAACGTTTGTTTTAAAATATATTAAATAAACTTTAAAATTTCTAGTTTTGTTAAAACAAATTTTTAAAAAAGTATCATTGATTTTGACAGAATTTTAAACGGAATAATTAACTTTTGTTTACAAAATTGAAAAAAATGGCTGACAATTGATTTTGTGTATTGAGAAAAGACTCCATCTTGATTTGAAACCTAAACTTTAATTAAGAAATATTACCCATCTAAAAATAGCTACAAATTAAATTCATGAATTAGACTAACTGATAAAGATTTTACCTTAACAGTCATTCACAATATTAAAATATTACTATTAGTAAATTTTTATTTTTTTATTATTGTTGTTTATTAATATAGTATTCAACTTATATTAAATCCCTAATTTATTTGTAGAGAAGTTGAATATTTAAATTGCTAACAAGCATTAATTTCTTTGTGGAGTTTTTTAAACATTTAAATTAATATCAAACATTAAAATCTGTTTTTACCTAAATTGCTAAATTGCTTCCTCCAAAAACCCTAAGTACATCTCTTTTCTCTTTACTTCCCCCTTTTTGCTTTTTCCCTTTTTTTTTTTACTCCTTTTTCTTTCCCATATCATTTCCGTTGAGTTGACCGATTGAATAGGTCAATGTCTGATCCTTACCCCCTCCTCCCTCAATATTAAATATTATAATAAAAAGAAATATAAAAAGAAATTTTAAAACACTCTCTTCCCTCTCTAAACTCGACCATGTCTCTCACACCATCCCTCACTACCTTCTATGTCAACTTATATAAGCTTAATACTGCCCATCAAAAGTGTAAATTTTAATTTCATTTTTCGTTTCACCTTTTGAAAGTGATGTCTGAAGATGCATGGAAAAATAAAAGTTTCTGGTGAAATAAATTATTACAATGGAGCCATAAAGTGGCCTGTTTTTCTTTAAATTAAATAAAATATATAGATACTGGCTTGAGATTGCTGGAAAAATGAGCATAGCATGATAAAAATGGCCTTAAACTTGACGAAAATAATATTTTATTCTCTAAAGGTTTATGTTATTATAAAGAGAAAAGATCAAAGTATTTTTGATTATTTTTTTACATTTTTTAATCATGATATGCATACAGTATTGACAAAATCTTCCATATTAGTATAATATACATTTACATGGATTATTTTCATAAATTTAATAGCAATAAAAAATGTTGATAATTTTTTAAACTTGAATAAATGTACAGTAATTTGTTTTATTTCATAACTAATGATTAAATAAATAAACTAAAGCATACTTCAATAAACAAAAAGTTCAATAGAGTAGCAGGGTATTGCAATTAAACAAAGTTCAATAAAGGGTCAGGGTATTCAAATAGATGTTATTCTGATGAAGATTACAATCACAAGCTTTAAATTCTATAAATAAAAAACAAGAAAAGGTAAAAGATTAAAATATTGAGTCAGAAATTTCTTAATTCCTTTTCTTGCAAAACAATAAGCATATATGATGATTCTATATGGAAATAGTTATACTCATCCAACCAAACAGACACCTCATATCACTAGATGCTGAGAGATAAAAGGTACTTTTTACTAATGTCACTATGTGTGGAGGAAAAAAAGAAATGTCCAATACTTAATAATGAGGTCCTCTATTCATGGATTTCCTTTCACTTCTTTGTCAATATAAATTAGTAACATATTAGACTGTTTCCTTTTTTTATTCTTTTTAATGAAAAATCTTGACAAGATGACATTTTTGTTTTTCATAACTGTGGATCAAATTTGAATTCTGAAAGGTGTAAAACAAGACATTACATGATTGCTGATTTCTGGCTTATATCTCATCAGCTTTCACACCTGCTGTCAATAATCAGTTATGTGCTATAAAACTCGGTCTGTCCCGCTATTCACCCATAGCTGGGGGGGGGGGAGGATTCATACTTTTTCAAAGGGTATTAGTGAATGTAATAGATTTGACTGGAATTTGAACTCGGCTGTCCGATCCCTCAATCTGAACCGCTATTCATTACTCCAATGTGCCTCCTCTTGAATCCTATTCTTACAGTTATAGGTAATGGCAGGACAGACTGAGTTCTATAGCCTTGGAAGGCAACTGGTCTACTGCAGAAAGAAATGGCAACCGACTGCAGGAAAAAAAAATCTGCCTCGTCAGTCATGTATCAAAAGATACATGATCGCCTAAGCGTGTATCACACATGGCGCATAACAGACTCCTTTGGATAGTTAATTAAAATCTTGACAAGATGACATTTTTTTTTTTTATATAGCTGTGGATCAAATTTGAATTCTGAAAACACGACATTACATGATTTCTGGCTTATATCTCATCAGCTTTCACACCTGCTGTCAATAATCATCCAGTGATGTGCCATGTGTGATACATGCTTAGGTGATCATGTATCTTTCGATACATGACTGACGAGGCAAATTTTTTTTCCTGCAGTAGACCAGTTATATATATATATATATATATATATATATATATATAATGAATAAAAACAAATGGAAAACATCTTAGCCAATGAGTCTCCTCTGCTGATGGACTTTATCAAGGCAATTGTAAGGATTTTATTTTACAAAGTATTTATAAACAAAAGTAAAAATGTTCTTCAAAAGTTTTAAAATTAAGAGACGGTCATTAATGTTCATCATGTCTTAATAAAGTCCATCAACAGACAAAAATGTTCATCATGTCTTAATAAAGTCCATCAACAGGCAAAATGTTCATCATGTCTTAATAAAGTCCATCAACAGGCAAAAATGTTCATCATGTCTTAATAAAGTCCATCAACAGGCAAAAATGTTCATCATGTCTTAATAAAGTCCATCAACAGGCAAAAATGTTCATCATGTCTTAATAAAGTCCATCAACAGGCAAAAATGTTCATCATGTCTTAATAAAGTCCATCAACAGGCAAAAATGTTCATCATGTCTTAATAAAGTCCATCAACAGGCAAAAATGTTCATCCATGTTCTTAATAAAGTCCATCAACAGACAAAAATGTTCATCATGTCTTAATAAAGTCCATCAACAGGCAAAAATGTTCATCATGTCTTAATAAAGTCCATCAACAGACAAAAATGTTCATCATGTCTTAATAAAGTCCATCAACAGGCAAAAATGTTCATCATGTCTTAATAAAGTCCATCAACAGGCAAAAATGTTCATCATGTCTTAATAAAGTCCATCAACAGACAAAACACGTTGGCTAAGTTCTCCTTTTGCCATTTTCCATATTGTCCTTTTACAGATACATTTTAGTTATATCTGAAATTTTACACACACACACACACATATATATAAACTTTAAACATTATTTTTTTGGATAAACATATTTGAGTAGCTGTTCTATTTATTTTTAAGACTGTATATTTATTTTTGTCTACTGTCCTGAATGTTCAAGAACTCTTATTAAAGAAAAATTTGCGCTCTCTGGCAGAAATTGAAGGCTATAGAACCCAGTCTGTCCTGCTATTTACCCGTAGCTGGGGGGAGAAGAAGAGGATTTATATCTTTCCCAAGAGTATTAGCATGTAAGTGAATGTAATGGATTCAATTGGAATTTGAACTCGGCTCTCTGATTTCTCAATCCAAGTTGCTATCCATTACTCCACTGTGCCTCCGCTGTCAATAAGGTATCAAAATAGCATGGTAATAAAAATGTCTACCAACTTGTTAGTGTCACACTCTAGGTATACATAAGTACAATAAATCTGAGGTCTAATGATTAAAAAAAATAAAAGTATTTATATTGCACAATAAATATTCAACATAATATCCTTCCTTGTCAATACACTTAGTTCAATAGAAAATATTAATCATAGATTGGATTGAATAGCATGTGCAACTTGAAGAAAAAATAACAGCATAATCAAGATGATGACATTGGACTCTGCCACAGATAGAAATCAAGGAAGGAAGCCATCATCAACACTGAAAAGAACAATAAAAGCTAATTGACTTGAAAAACCTATTTCCCTGAAAGATTGTTTTAAGAGAAAGATTTTATAAATTTCAACTGAAAGTAACACTGGATGCTTGGTCAATGAATTCTAAATCTTTTTTTTTTTTTTATAAAGCTAATATTATCATTAGAGATGAGGGACACATATACTACACTCTGATCCCAGCCTGAAGGTCAAGAAGTGAAGAAAAGGGTTAACTCTAGTAACACTAGCTGCTTAGTCAATGAATGCTGAATATTTCCTTATAAAGAAAATGGTGAATATTACCATTATACAGTGAAAATCTGATATCAAAATTAAGATGTCACACTAAGAACCTTCCGATTCATTCTTCCAGCGGTCAGACTTGGTAGGACATAAATGCACAGTGGGTGGAACAGATTGGTTTACGGCATACCAACCTCAAGGGGTTATTTAATACTGACAAGATTTTTATTGCTGGTAATATTTTTTTAAATGTATTCCTGGTAATAATGTATTTCTGGTAATAATTTTTTGCAAAGTATTTCTGGTATTAAAACCTAGTTTTACAAATTAAGAGATGGTTCCATGCTCCTCAAAGCATCCCCTCCCGATCAGAGGCTGTTGGATGTAGTTCATCGTCATACCCAGGACATGGAACAGATTGGTACTCACCATAATGAGGTTCAAACATTTGACTGGGACCGGCAAAAAACTCTTCCAATTTGAAGTCATTTGAATCTCGCAAAGTCAGTCCAAAGCCCTTGGCATCACCTTTCCTTCGCCAGAGAACATATTCACTGAAACCTCCAGGCCCGGCACACATATCAACAAAATAAAGCAAGCTATGTGAACTTAAAACAGATTTCTGCAAGAAAAAATAAAAATTAAAAATAACAAATTGAATCATTAGAGATATCAAAAGTATTTTCATTTTTTTTAATCAACAGAAGTTTCTGGATGTTTTTGAAGCTCGACATCTTTCAATGAATCTATCTCTTTTGAAAATATTCAAGTGTTGATGGTCAAACTCTCATTTACCTGGCATTTTAAAATCATAATTGACAATCTTATGGTCATCCAGTTCTAGGTTTTATTTCAAATGATAAAGCACCTTTCTAAGAACACTTAATTCAGTTTTGGGCAGTAGGGGTCAAATATGGTTTCATTTACTTCCACTTACTAAATTCTGCAAGCAGCTTCAGTGGTTTTGAGGCCTAGTTGAAAAAATACTTCAAAATCTTCAGAATACTGGTATCCACCATTATACCATTTAAAAAGCACAGTTGAATAGTATTAATAATAGTATGATATATATACAAGTTAATGTTAAAACTATTTTGGATTTTCACCAAAAATCTGATCAAATTTTAATTAGTTGGGCCAAGAACTTCTCAGTAACCTACAAACAGCGAAAAGTATTGATTGATTTATTTTTTTTTTTATACCTTTGTGGGTTAATTAAAGTCAAAACATATTTTGGATTGTAAGAATAATTTTTTTAACACTTTTTTGGAGATGACAATGATTTTTTTAAGATACAAGTTCTACTATTTAACCCATAGCTGGTAGGAGGCAATGGATACATATCTTTCCCAAGGGTATTTGCACATAAGTGAATCTAACAAACCCAACTGGAATTTGAACTCATCTCTCTAATTTCTCATTCCAAGCCACTATCCATTACATCACCCACACATCCCTAACTTTTCATAAGAATTCAAATGTTGTATAATTATGTTAGCCATGTTTCCAGTTTTATTTTGTTAAGTTTTTTATTCCGTAGTTTTGGTTGTCGAAAACCCAATCAATACTGGAATGAGCGATAACAGTTAGTGGACTTAAGAAACCTATTTACCTGAAAAATTATTTTACAAGATTTTAGAAATTTCAACTAACAGTAGTTGCTCAGTCAATGAATGCCAAATATTTCCTTATAAGGAAACGACAAATATTACCATTACTAAAATATGAGAATGGCATTAAATAGAGCAAATATTTTAAAGAATAATGAAAATACAAACTTACATTATTTTTGTCTGTAGGTTTTGTAAACATGAAGTCAGTAAGTGCATCCATATTAGCCATTTTCATGGCAGCTCTGTAAAAACAAAGAAAATAATCTAAAAAAAGATCAATAAATGAGTTAAAAAGATAAACAGGTATTGGTTTTTGGGGGGAAATATGACAGCATGTTGAATAATCTGATTTGAACACAGCACAAAAAAAAAAACTTTAAATACGAGGGAGTTGACTGGAAAGTCCTTGGTCCAAACCATTTCAGTTTATTTTTAAATTTGTTTAACTGAACCTTGTCAACTTTTGGAACTAACCTCTCCTGATCTAAACAAACTCATGAATTTTGTGAATTTTACCAGCACTCACATTTTTTGGCATTATGCTTTTGGAACCTTAAATTCATCATTTGTTTGTTTTTTTTTTTTCAATTAGTGCTTCCCACATGCTGTTGACATCAATATTTGGTCTGTCGATTTCAGCATATTCTGTGAGTTGATTTTTTGCATCATCTTTTTCACCAGTGCTATTCCACAGATATTACAACAGACACATAAGCAATTCCAGAAAGTATAGTAACCAAAATTATTAAAAAAGGAAATCAGTTTAAATTAATAATAATACAATAATTGTGACACTGTCTCAAAACAATCCCAAGAATCATCATTTATCATCTGCATTGTGTTTGATTTGGTTTGATTTGTTTTATGGCATATCAACCTCAATGGGTTACTTAATGCTGACAAAATTTATATTGCTGGTAATATGTTTTTCTTCAAAAATCTATTTCTGAGAATATTTTTCCTTGATGAAATCTATAGATGGTCATATTTTTTTTCAAAGAATGTATAACTGTTTGTATTACTGGCATTTTTTTTTTTTTTAAGTATTGCTGATAATAATTTTTCTTTCAAAAATTATTACTGGTAATAATTTTTTTATTACAAAGCATTTCTAGTATTAAAACCTATTTTTACACAAGTTTCGGTGTTAACTATTTGCCCATAGCTGGGACCCTAACAGGTACTACCACCCCGGGTCAGAGTGGACCTGGAAACACCAGTAATTAAGAGGTGGTTCCATGCTCCTCAAAACCTCCTGATCAGAGGCCTTGCTGTTGGACATAGTTTATCGTCTTACCCAGGACGCGGATGTAGTTTATTGTCATACCCAGGACGCCATCTGCATTGTGTAAGCCAGGGTTTCCTAACCTTGACAATAAAAATAAATATCCCTGCAAACAACAAATATTTGGGTATTTTCTATAGTTTTAAGAAGGGTCATTAACATTCACATAGTTCTTCACATCAAATAACATTTTATTCAGATATAAATCCAATAAGGGAAGACCAAGAACAACAAAAAAAATATTCACTAAATTTTTATTAGTTGCTTGTAGCATTATACTCTTTTTAATTTTATAATCATGAATAAAAATCATTTAATTTTTTGCCAACACTTGCAATGCTAACCCTAAAATTAACCTTGACAAAAGACTATATATATATATATATATATATATATATATATATATATATATATATACACACTTTTCAATAGTCAAGTTTACTTTCATTTGTTTTTTAATAAAGCAGCAGCTGTTACATAAGTCAACATTATTTGTTATCTTCCTTTGGTATTTTTACTAAATCATAAAGTAAGTTTATGAATCAATAACAAACTTTTACCATACAATTTGGGGATGCTTTTTAATATTTACTATACAGGTAGGATGTGGAAAATCTTTCCATGTGAATGTGGGTCGATGACACAAAAAAGGTTTGGAAACCCTGATGTAAACCAATATTATTCTAATGGCAGGTACTTCATGGATTTTAGCATTTCAAAAAAAATTAATAAAATTCATGAGAAAAGCCAAATGTCATAGGACTTGCCTTTTTCAAAAAAAAAAAAAAAAAAATGTCTAAAAGGAAAAAAAAAAAAAAAAAAATCAAATGAAGATTTTTTTTTAAACATAATCGATTGAAAAATAAAATTGTGTTATTATTTTTTTTTACCCACCCTAGTACCTATCACATGAAGGAATAGTAACATATATACAATAATAAAAGGGAGTGCTGAAAACTTCATAGCCTATTTCCCCAACTCAGTATTTTAATGACTAAACCTAAGAATTCTATTATAATTGTGCTTGTTCCACCCTTCATTAGTTTGCACGACCATTACGCTCTGCCAATATCTCATAAATAATGGACTGCTTAGTTTTGATTGTGTGGAAAATGGGGAAAGACACTACTTGGTTTCAGTGAGAAAATGAAAGAAAGATAGAAGGTAGTGCTTTGCATCTCCTGCCAATACCGCATAAATAATGGACTATTCTGTTTTGTTCACATACTTTATTAATTTCAGTGTATCAATTATTGCTTTTTGGTTAGCAGTAAATTTTAAAATTGAAGATGTACAATCTTACAGCAACATTCCACTGAAGAGTATACATTTGTTTTAATATACAACTATGTGCAAACACTGCCCTAAATCCAATCACTTACCTGTTTTGAAAAATAACTCCTCGTATTGTCTCATAAGGATTGGATCTTGCTCGTGCCTTTCTCAGCTCTTCCCCATCAAGCTCATCAAAAATGTTCTGTCAATTAGAAACCTATCAACTTTAACCAAATCCTTGCTAAATAACAGAAAAACCTACCAAAAGAAAAATAATAAAAGTAATAAAAAACACAATAAAAGGATGAAAAATATTAATATAGTCAACACAGACATCACATGTACTTTGTAATGGGAATATAACGGGTTCTATCCCTGGACCCACATTGTTCCTAATTTTCATCATTCTCATATTCTCAACTGATCCATGCTGATGACACAACTATGAAAATATGTACCACCTGAACTGGCTCTTGTTCTCTCTAAGCTCTACAATAAATGCCTTGCTGTTTCTTACTTTCCTGCTTGTTGGAAATCCTCTTCTGTAGCTTCAGTCTTTAAGATCCTCAGGCAAAGCATTTGATCCTTCTATCAGCTTATTAGCCTTCTACCACTCTTTTAACTCTGAATTGGTTAAGCATCTCCCAGTACAGGGTCTTCTTTCAAATAAGCAATATGGATTTTGCTTCTCTCTGTCAATTGCGGATATGTTAATAGTTATTGCTAAAAGAGTATCAAGCTTTAGATAAGAATGGTGAAGATTGGGCTTCGTTGGAAAGGCATTTGACAGGGTTTGTCATACAGGTCTTCACAAGTTAAGAAGTTATGGTATCTGGACAAATTTTTGAACTGATTTTATTAAGTATCTGTCTATATTTCTGAGAGAAGGTATTATGTACACTAATTACATTATTCAGACTATTGTCCTTATCTTTGTCGCCGTTGTAGGCTCCAGCCTTCTTCAGGTTGGAATGTCGAACTGAACCCTTTATTTCGCTCACTAGGGTAGACTGTTCCAATTCCACGTGCCATGTTTAATGGATGTCAGTTATCAGTTATCTCCTGTTAATTCCCCTCTCCAAGTTCTCCACTGTCTTAACCAGGTGTTGAACTCACACTCTTTGGGTCCTGTCACTGGATCTAACTAACGCCTTTATCCACTGTGCCATGTGTCCTTGAGGACATCTGTGTATGAATTTCTGGGTATTATAAACCTAATGTCATCAGCAACCATTTTCTTCACTATTGTTCATATTGCAATTTTTTGCTGTTATCATTGCATGTTTTTACCAGAGATCATATTGCAATTTTGTTGTTATTATCGCTTTTCTTTGGCACTCCTTATTACTGGTTCCCATATTGTATTCATTTCTATGCTTGGTCAGCTCAGGAGATTTTTGTGGCCTAGCATATGTGCTGATTTCTTAAGTTTATTAAATTATGAAATGAATGTTGTCTTAAATGGCCATTCTTCTAGATCTTTTTGCATTAATGCAAGTGTTCCCCAGGGCTTTATTCTTAGACCTACCTCGTTCCTAATTTTCATAAATGATCTTCCTGATGTCATTAGTAATCAATTCGGTATCTATGCTGATGACAGCTATTTACTCTTGTATCAATGGTAAGTCTGATCAGTTCAATAGGGTTAAACAGGCAAATGACCTCAAAAATGATCTACAATCTGTTGTTAACGGAGGCAAAGAATGGCTTTTTAATTTTAACACCTCCAAAACAAAACTGCTCCCTATTAATTATCTTAGAGAATCTTTTCTACCTTCCATCAGCATGGCTAATGCTAACCTCCACAAGAGTGACACATAGCATATTCTTGGGCTAAGATTTTCCATTAACATGAAGTGGAAAGATTATACTGATTCAACTGCTAAGCCTGCTGCTAGGAAAGTTGGTTGTATCGTGCTAAATAACTTTTCTCACCAGAATTTAACAATATTTATAAGTCTACCATTCATTCAAGCATTGAATATTGCTCTCATATCTGGTCTGTTGTTTCTATTATGCATTTAGAGATTCTTGATAAATAATCTGCAATGTTATTTGTCCTGACCTGGCATCTCGGCTTTGGTTACTTTCCTTCTGCTGTAACATAGCTTCCCTGTGCCTATTCTAAAAATACCTTCCATTCAATTGTTCGAATGTTTCTTCTTTAATATTTCAACTTTACAAATTTAAGCATATTACTAGATTGGCAGCTAGGTCTCTTTCATGTTGCTAGTGAAATGGCTAAATGTAACCATAAGTTCTATGCTAACAGCTTCTTCTCTCACACTTCTCACTTGTGGAACTCTGTTCTGGCTTCTTGCTTTCTTGTCAAATTTGATTTTTAAAAATTTAAATACAATGTCAATTGTTATCTTCTGTCTTTTTAATTCTTGTTCTTTTCTTGTTCTCTCTGATTAATAATGTTTTTTCTTTTTCGCTTATTCTTTCACATACAGTAACCCCTTGCATCTTAGTGGCTTTATTGCCTTGTTTGGGATGAAATAAAAAAAATTATAAAGCATCACATTTTTTTTTTTTTTACTGGAAGTTATTTTAAATTTTCCATTTTTATCCATAAATTACTATTTTCACCAGGGAAAATACAAAGTGGACTAAAGCCTTGTGCCAGACATCAGCTATCAATTCTCACAACTGTAATTGATATTGATCGGTTTTTCTGGTCCAATCAGCTCATAAATTGTTAGATTTTCTAGTTCATTCTATGTTTGGGGATGTCAGTATTCTTCAATCAGCCGTTTTTTTTTTTTTTTTAACTGAAATAGAATATCTTTCATTTCAACACATACTCAGTAATGACTTCAGTACCTGTTAAGCAGTCAACAACTTTTTGCTTATTAATCTAAAGTAATTAGCCTTTAATGTTTTATTTTCTGTCTGCATATAACATTAGTCTGGAGTTGGATATTTTTTAATCACTGTGCACATTTTTCTTGTCCATAATTTTTGCTCTGGTCAGAGAGGGCCGATCAACTGGTTTTGCTTTTTATAATCATTATATTTCAGTATTACCAATTTAGAGTAATATACATTTTTTGTTAGAAAAATGTTTCATCTTCTCAGAAATTCATTAGCTACTACCAGTAGTAAGTGGAAGCTGTAAGAAATGAACAGGGCTTTATCCTTAAATATGAAAGGAGGTCCACAGTGCCTAAGACCCTTGGCTAGACATTATTCTAATCATCTAAATTGACAGTAAATATTATCTAACATCAATATCACAGAGAAGCAGTCAAGTTTTTGAAAGTTTAAAGTTAAACAAAACAATCATAAATATCGATAATTGCCAAATACGTACCTTGGAGCTAAGAATTTTATTAAGTGTATCCTCAGACACAAAATTAGTTTCATCATCAATAATTAACTTTTTCTGTAAAAAGAAAAAAAAAATTATTTGAATGTAGAATTAAAACAATCATTAAAAAAAAAAAAAAAAAAAATATATATATATATATATATATATATATTTAGTTTATGCAAAACTACGTAATCCGCATGGGTAGACCCAAGGAGGATGATATCCGGAGAGCTCAATGTAAATTCAGAGCAGATATTCAAACAAAATTATATATATATATATATATATATATATAAAAAGACATTTTTATGTTTATACAGTCTTTTTATAGATACAAATATTTAAGTAAATGCTCTGTTTATAATAAACAGTATTAAACAACATTTACCTGCCTGAATGTCCAAGAAAATTTCACAGAAAATATTCGAACTCCGACAGGATTCTGTGAAAATTTCTCGGACATTCAGGCCGGTAAATGTTGTTTAATACTGTTTATTATAAACAGAGCATTTACCTAAATATTTGTATCTATAAAAAGAATGTATAAACATAAAAATGTCTTAAAATAATTGTCGGACTTTGTCCAATTCGTAATATATAAAGAAACATTCTCATGCCTAACTTAGTTTCCACCAATTCCATTGAAGTAAACCCTTTTTCCCATGTATAAATAAAGAATAGTGGCAAACCATACTACAATCATTTTTCTTTACTGATACTAATTGCTTTATTAAGTTGCTGTATATGATCACTGAAAATAAAGACTGATAAACATTAATAATGGAAACTAATTTTTAATGGAAAACAAAGAAATGTAAAGGAGACATTTTCAAACTATACATTAAATTTCTTTTGCCTTGGTACAGAAATTTATGCAAAATGAATTTGAGACAAATGTAACTAATTCATTCAGCAATGTGGCTTGACGAAAATAAAAGCTTTGATTCATTTTTTTTTTTTTTATAGCTTATCAACCCTTTAAGGGTTATTTAAAGCCAAAACATTTTTGATTGTATGAATAATTCTCTTTTTTGCAATTGTATTAAACATTTTTTGGAGATAATGTTTTTTGCCGATATCAATCAGTTATGTGCCACGCTTAGGTGATCATGTATCTTTCAATAGATGACTAACAAGGCAGATTTTTTTCTACATTAGGTTGCCATTTCTTTCTGCTGGGTGTGGGAAGAAGGGTATTAGTACGTAAATGAATGTAACGGATTCGACTGGAATTCAAACTCAACTCTCTGATTCCTCAATCCAAGCCACTATCCATTACTCCACCGTGACTCCTCTTTGCAGATATACATCCTACTATTTAACTCATATCCAGGAGGAGGATAGATGGATTCATACCTTTCTCAAGTGTATTTGCACATAAGTGAATATAACGAACCCAACTGGAATATGAACTCTGCTTTCCAATTTCTCATTACAAATCGCTATCCATAACGCCACCTGCACATCCTAAAAGGATTTAATGAGCTTATTCAAGGGACACATTTCTTTATCATTTCACCCCAAACAAGGCAATAAAGTCACTAAGATACAAGGGATTATTTAGTGTTAGAAACAGTGAAATATCTGTCTATATTTCTGAGATGAGGTATTGTAATTATTTACATTAATTACATTGTTTGGATTGTTGTCCTCATTTTCATTGCCATATTCATGATGTTTTGGCCTTTGTACGCTCAAGCCTTCTTCAGATGATTGGAACTTCCAACTGAACCCTTTATTTCGTCCACCGGGTATACTGTCCTAGTTCCACTAGCCATGCCTCTTTTAGATGTTTCAGTATTAGTTATCTTCTTTTAACTCAACTCTCCAAGAAGGCCAGAGCGTACAATGGCTAAAACATTGTGAATATGGCAACAAAGATGAGAACAGTCCGAACAATATAAATTGTTCTTCAGGTGATTGGAATTTCCAACTGAACCCTTTATTTCGTCCACTGGGGTATATTGTCCTAGTTCCACTAGCCACGTCTCTTTTAGATGTTTCAGTATTAGTTATCTCCTTTTAACTCAACTCTCCAAGAAGGCCAGAGCGTACAATGGCCAAAACATTGTGAATATGGCAACAAAGATGAGAACAACAGTCCGAACAATATAAATAATGTAAATAATTAGTGAAACTGTTCAATGCGAGCAAAAACATATGAACTAGTCAAGTAGATGTCAAAATTGGGGGTCTTTGACTATAAAAATATATATAAATGAACTAATAAACCACAGAGTGCTAAAACATCCACATTTCAAGAGTATTTACAAAGTAATTGATTGTTCTGGCCTTTCAATGTCTGGTGCACTGAGGCATATTATGGGTGGAGAACTGCCACTATGTCATTAGAAGTGGTCAGACAATTTAAAATAAGCAAAGTTTGTTTCTTATTCAACTTAAAAATAAGTAAACAACAGGGTCCCTTGATCAACTTCTTTCTTTCTCTCTCAATTCGATATCTGAATGAATAAAACAAAAGTTATCAACTACTGAAGTCATTTTGTATTTTCTATTGCTCCTAAACACAACTGACCATTCCATGATGCTTATTACTACCCCTGGCAAAAATGATGGAATTAGAATATTTAGAGGATGTTCATGATGGTTTTGTATTTTACAGTAAATAAATCACAATTTAATACTACTGTTTTTTGCTGACATGAAGTGGAAAGATTATAAAGCCAAAAAAATATTTTTAGATTGTAAGAATTTTTTAGAGAGATAATAATGGTTTAATGATACAAGTCTTACTAATTAACCCATAGCTCGGGGAGAAGAGGTGGTTTTACACCTAATCAGAATTTGATAAACAAGAGATTATAATGTGAATACAAAGTGGAGGATCAATTCTATATTACAGTAAATATATAAATTGACCCCTCATTTTGTGGCCATGGTAGTTTCTATGCATTTATATTCCAGAGGCTGTAAATAAATCTAAAAGACATGTAGCTAATCAGTGATTGATTGGTTTTCTAGGATTTAACCCTTTGTAAGTTATTTAAAGCCAGAAAATACTTTTAGACTGTAAGAATTTTTTAGAGAGATAATAATGGTTTAGTGATACAAGTCTTACTAATTAACCCATAGCTCGGGGAGAAGAGGTGGTTTCACACCTAATCAGAATTTGATAAACAAGAGATTATAATGTGAATACAAAGTGGAGGATCAATTCTATATTACAGTAAATATATAAATTGACCCCTCATTTTGTGGCCATGGTAGTTTCTATGCATTTATATTCCAGAGGCTGTAAATAAATCTAAAAGACATGTAGCTAATCAGTGATTGATTGGTTTTCTAGGATTTAACCCTTTGTAAGTTATTTAAAGCCAGAAAATACTTTTAGATTGTAAGAATTTTTTAGAGAGATAATAATAGTTTAGTGATACAAGTCTTACTAATTAACCCATAGCTTGGGGAGAAGAGGGATTTCATACCTTTCCCAGATGTATTTACATGTAAGTGAATTGGAACTCGACTCTGATTAACAATTCCAAGGCATTATCCATTCCACCACCTGCACATCCAAGCTTACAGCACCTGGTATTTCCAAGTGGTCATCAATCTAGATACTGACCAGGCTTGATGTTGCTTAACTTCAGTACTTGTATGGGAACCAGTGTTTCAACATGATGTAACTGTAAGCCCGAACATATACAAGGGATTTCAAGACAGTTTCATTTAATAGTAGGTATCCCAAACTATTTTTTATTTTCATTATATTTAAAAGCTTTTCATATAGACATAGTGTGATAAAATATAAAATAATGGTACAAAATTTATCTTGCTAGCTCAATTAGCAACCAAGTTATGACAAAAGTTCTTCAGATTTTTCTGTCTTGAATACAAATTGGGCCAGAAGCCCATTTTAACAGTGTATATATGAAGATGCAAACTTCAAACAAGAGAAAAATCACTATAAATGCAATGTCATTAAGTCATAAAAGAAAAATAATACTAATGGAATTAACAATTATTAGATAAGACCGACCTAAATAAGGATGGGGGAATCACACATTCCATTCTAAAAAAAAGTGCAAAAATAACACAGGAAAGCAACTTTGACCATTCATATAAATTTCAATTCTACCATTAAGTCATTGAAACTTATCAAGATGTTTCACTGTATCTTATTATTCCTAATAATTTAATCTGTGAAATTAGGATCTAATCCCAAAAAATTAGTTAATAATTAGTAAATATAAAATAAATAGATATTTTTAAAATTACAATATTTTTTTACATACACAAATGTGAAATTTATATATATATATATATATATATATATATATATATATATATAAATAAAAGCAGTATGGTATTTTAAAATTACAATATTTTATTTCATTTTTTATGTACCTAAATTTTTCTTTGTTTTTCCATTGACAAGATTTATATATGTACATTTAATAATTACATTACAATATTTTATTTTCACAAAGTTTCTTTCTTCTTTTTTTTTCCATGGGCAAATATGAGCATGTAAAATTTACATGTATTTCTGGTTTATTTTTTAATGCCTATTTAGCTACACAATAAGTAATTTACTTGTACATTACAAGGAATTTGGGGTCTTCTTTGGCTTGTCTCTCCCACTTACATGTAAACAATCTCTCAGGACTTTTAGTTGACCATCCACTAAACAGAAGATTTTTAAATATTCATCATAAGTACATGTAAATTTAAAAACTTAAAGTAGCCTCCAGACATGGAGAGTACTAAAAAAACAGACACCCACAATATTGGAAAAAAAAAAAAAATAAATAAATAAATGTCCTAAATTTTATAAGTTTAGGCTTTCACTTTATAAAGAAAAAATACAACAATCAAAAATTTACATAAAAATAATTGAGCTGAAAATTTTAAAGTTACGTTACTTTTTCGAATGGCAATGTTTGCTCTTGAAATGTTATTGTTGAATTTAGGGTGTCAAAATTTATTTAAAAATATGCTTAAAAGTAAAAAAATTAGCATAAAAAAATATACTTTCAAAAGAAAAAAGAAAATAATTAAAAAACTATTATTTACTAATTACCAAAAATTAATTATTTTGTAAGAAACAAATTTAGTAGAAAAGTAAAAAAATATTTTCCGATGATTAAAGTAAAAACAATAATATCTCCCAAGATATTTTAAAATAAAAAAATTTTAGAAATTAATTTTTTGCGGACCCACAACAGTAAATCAAGTGAAAAATATATCCTTTTTTTTTTTTCATTTTATGTCTAGAATTTCCAGGTTTTGAAAATATGACTCATAACATCTGAAAAAATTTTGCTGACAACACAATTTTCTCTGCCACTCAGTTCGCAGTCACTTGACCACTTTGATATTTTCAATGGTATACCAACTTGATTCATCCTGGTGGCCTGAGCATTAAATGACATTGTGACTCTCTCTGTAAATCAACACCCAATTCTTCTGGGTATATCCTAGTTCAGCATGAAATCATTACCAGTCAATCACTCTCTTTAAGGGTATTAACACAAGGACCCTGCAATACCTATTTCAGGAATTTAAAAACTTACTAGAAGCAGTTGAAAATTACTGCCTTTAGGTGACATTGTCGCTCTTAGCCTAAATTCCTGGCTCTTCAGGAAAATAAACACTCCAAATCAAACCCAAATTATTACCAGTCATTCAAGATACAAATTTACAGCCACATTCAGCAAATAAATATCAAAGCCAAAGAAACCCTTCATCCAAATAAAACAGCAATATGGGAAGGCCACTTTCATAGAAGTATTATTTCTCTTTCTGGAGAATATTGTACCTACTCTGCATCAATGCTTTGCTTTATGAGTTTTAGGAACTTATCTGTTTTCATAACAAAATTTATATTTCCCTTAGTAATGATGTTTTATTTTTAAAAGAGTGTTTTTACTCATCAAGGCTAATTTGATTTACGTTATTTGTAATGGAATGGAAAGATTTTGATTTTTACAATGTGCATGAATGTAATCTTTTTTCCTTATTTCATATTGTGTTATTTACACTATTTATATTCAGACTTTTGTCCTCATCTTTGTTGTTGTTATCACAATATTTTGCCCATTTCCACTGAGTGCAAGTACACACTGCACGACTTGGGATTGAACTCACAACCACTGTGTCACCAAATTCACAAACCAACACTTTTATCCCCTAGGGCAACTTGGAATCTTTAAACTTAACTTGTCTGCTGATTAGGTTGCAATTGCTGCTGCGATTAAGGAGTTGCTGAAGAAGAGGACAATAGTCCAAATATAAATATGTAAGTAATGATAACTCCTCATCCCAGAAATCCATTATTGAGTGGTGCCCTGGGAAACAGTTACTTGTGGCAGGACCTCCCTCATTGCACTAAAGAGCGGGAGATCAATAGGAGATATAGCAAAGAGTTAAAATTTACTAAGGGCAACAAAGGACAAAAAACTGTCGAAAACCATAATTGCCAATGACCTGAACGGACATAGAAAAAGATAACTTACCGCACCCATCCTCTTCCAGGCTCGTAGTTCATCAATAACAGGGACTGAACCAGAATAGGAAGGTAACCATTCAATGGTTTCTTCTGCAGATACCTAAAGAAAGATATAAAAATCATTTTATTGAAATATATATGTTATATATAGGTACTTTCAAAGATTCACTAAAAAGATGAATGTAGATGATGAAAAAATGCCCAAACTTAATAAAAGCAAAGTTTTATTGTCAACATTTTTGTTATTATCAAGTGGAAAGATCAAAGGATTTTTGATTATTAAATAATATTTTTTAATCCTTTTTAAAGCCTTCAAAATTTTTATTTAAAATTTTGTTTTTCTTGCATCAGTGGATAACCGTAAATTAGTATAAGAAATTTATAGCATTTTTTTGCAGTGAAAAACACACTGATTTGGAAATTTTTACAAAAATCAGATAATTATCAGATTTTAATGAAACTTCCAAAACTTATTCACAAATGGAAGATATTATTTTGTAAATATATATATATATATATATATATATATATATATATATATATATATATATATATATTTTCGTTTTACATCTTTTACAAATTAAGTAAGTGGGGGTTCATTTAGTTAATTTTATCAAATTCCAAGAAATTCTTTTTTATAGTGCTTAATGTTTATATTTGTTATAAGAACAAGTCTTAGGAGAATTTAAATCATTAAATTTTTTAGGTCAAACAGAACTCCCACTTACAGAAAATCTGCTCTGAATTATAAAATAAAAATGCAATGAAACTAAGACATTATTTAATTAGGAAAGCTTTTAATTGCTTTTATGTATAAAATATATTATGGACACTATTGTCAAGAAAATTTTTTTTCAATAATGAATTTTAACAAGAATTGTTTTCATTTTTAAAATTTTAATTAGAATAATTTATAATCTTTTAAAATTCTGTATTAATTTGTAGCGTTCAAGTTAAGTCTGTATTTAATAATCTTAAATGGAAAATTTTACAATTTAATGATCCCCAATATTTAAAGGAAAAAGAATTTTGAATTTATTTTATGTGTGAATATGTCCAAACATTTCAGAAAATAAGAGCAGTAACTATAGGAAAGTTAAAATTTAAATTTCTAGGATATCTGTGTAGTTAAAAAAATATTATATAAAAATGGCATTCACCTTATATTTGTCAAGTAATTGCTATAGTTATGCCCCACTTAGAAAAAAACTGCCAAACATTCTCTAGTAAGAAAGTTGTCAAGTGTTTAGAATGAAAGTTTAAGGCATATGGGGTTTTAACTATCAAAATAGGTCCTTATAAGCACTTTTAGTGGGGTTACAAGCATTTGCAGATTCTAACTATTTGCAGCCACTTGTGGTCACTAACCCCTGCAAAAACAGGGAACTCACTGTATTAAATTACCATATTTACATTTCAACATATTTCCTATATACAAATTTCATTGATTTGTTCACAGATATTTATTTTTAAATTTTATTAACTGTTAATATTTTTTCAAATTAACAATTAGCAAAGTTGTCATGGTAATGATTTTTCATGTTGTCCTGAGGATGCTCATACAGAGCGAAATGTTAACAACAAAATAAAAGAATTTTAAAAATGCAAATGGTTTTCACAAATTCCCTCTTACATACTTATTGATACATTTACTGTTGACATCTACAGCTTTACAGTCATAATGCCTTTGTTCCTAAAAATCAATTTGCCAAAATACAAATCAAATGACAACAAAAATGAAACTTACTGTCTCTTCATCAGGATTCCACTCAATGTTTGGCATCTCAAGCCCCTTAATGTGAAGACCAAGACCTCGTCGGCCTCTTTGCTTTGAAGCTTCTACAATCTCCACACGGCCCTGCTCATTTTTACCCAGACCTTTGCCTTCTTGGTAACCCATTTTTGCCTGTTTGAAAGAAAAAATAAAAATAGATTAAAAAAAAGGAAATACTAAGTACAAAAATTGATTGATTCATTTTCAACAGTCTATATATAACCCTTTGTGGGTTATATAAAGCCATAATCTATATATATATATATATATATATATATCTGTTTTTTTTGTTTTGTTTTTTCCTTTGGTTATCTTAATCTTTTTTTTATACAACTCATGACCAAGTACAACCACATTTTTTATACCAATTTAGTTTTCCTCAATTCAATTCAAAACCAAACTAACAAATTATTTACCAAAAACAGTTATATGGATGAAATGTGCTCAATACAATTTCAAATCAGGAAACTACAGCACAATTTAAGACATAAAGCATTGTAAAAAAATTAATAAAAATAATGGTTGATTAAAATCAATTATTAGCTTAAATTACCTTGCCTATATATATATATATATATATATATATATATATATATATATATATATATATATATATATATATAGATAGAGAGAGAGAGAGAGAGGTTGAAGTTTTTATATATATATATATATATATATATATATATATATATATATATATATATAAAATTTTGAAAAAAACAAACAAAAATCCTTAAATGTAGTTAAAATGAAAGAAATGTCGACGTCTGACGTTTCGGGTTTAATAAACCTTTTTCAAGACAATATTCATCAAAATACAATTCAGTTCAATATGACAAATACGATGGACATAAAAACACAAGTCTTATTCAGAACAGATAACTGAAAATTTTTAAAATGATCAGCCTTCCGTCTAACATGGTCACGTGCCGTCACACATGGGCGACGCTTTCATAACGTATTCCTAAAAGTTTGTGATTATTTTGAAATGAAAAAAGAAAATGAAAAGAATTCTATTAGGTTCCAAAATTTTATGTATGCTGCTTATCGAGCATCAATCTCGCTAAAAAGGGGAAATATTAAAGAAACCAGGTCTAGTATTCACCGTCGTGAGATGGATATTATACCTGCTTCATAAATCCTCCTGAGATTTTTATTATGAAAATATTTTAATACTTTCACGGAATCGAAATCGAAATTATGATCTGCTTTAGTTGTGTGTACAACTAAAGCATTGTTAAAATTACCGAGACGAATATCTCGTTTATGTTCGAAAACACGAGATTTTAAGGACCTACCTGTTTCACCCACATATTTTAGGTCACAATTTTTGCATGATATTTGATAGATGCAAGCATCGGATGTAATATGTTGTCTGCTGGTGCTATTTAATAAACTACGGATAGTCCTAGTAGGTAATATAGTAGTTCTAATTTTTAATGCATTTAGATTATGAGAGATACGTTCGGTCAAATGGTTATTTGGTAAAAAGATGCGACCAAACGAAATATTATCAGAGGCAGCTGAAATTGTATCTTTCATTGATCTAGTTGTAGTGGCCTTTGAGGTGTCATTTTGCGCTGATGAGTGAATTTTCAACGCTTTATTTTTAGCTCTCTGTAATTCAATTGATATATTTGAAATCCTTTTGTTTATTAATTCATTCATTGTCTTGAATTCTAGGATTTTCAGTTTCTACTTCATACATAGATTGCAATTTCTTCCTCTGGTTTTCATCATCATCTTTTAATTATATTTCCATTCTAATACTTGTGTTTTTCTTTTCGTTTTTAGTTCCCATATGCATTTTGACAACATGGTGTTATTTCTATATATGTTGTATACAAATGCTGGCCAATGGTTTGGAACTTGTTGCTTTTGTCGGTACTTCAATTTAAAATCTACTGTTAATGAACAGACAAAAATTAAGAGAAAAATTAAAATTTTCTCATGGCTTCATTCCATCATATAAGACAAAACTTTAAAGAACAACAATTTTGATCACAGACATCTTTGTATCTGCTCGTAATGATTGTAAACATACAAAAACTTAGGTTTCTACTACAGACAGTTTATTCTTTTTAACTGTAGGGAAACAAAGTTCTCGATGTCTCTTCGGTATGTCTGTTTTCTTTTTGGTTCAGAAGCATGTTACGGTAAGTAAGGATAACAATGGTTAAAATGGTCAATCTCAAGCCAGCATTGCGCAGAGTTAGAACAACCAATTTACTTACTTCATGAGTAGGGCTACAGAGCACATCCAAACAAAGTCATAGGAAAGTGGAAAGAGAGAGATGTTTCTGTTTTTTTTTTTTTTTTACAAATGGGGTCATAAAATTGCACAGGTGACCAAAAACCCTTTCCAATTTTTTTATTACTTGCATCATGGGAAAATAAATTTTTTTTTTTTAATTCATCATCATTATTTTATTTATCAATTTTATTTCATTTTTCAACAAGGCTAAGTTTTTCTTTGCTCACAAGTTTTGTTCACATAACTACTGATAAGAGTGCCTTAAATAAGAGTAAGTCTTCTAGCCTCTCTTCACTCAAGTTGAAGTGTTTTGCCTTTAAATTCTCTTCCACCTCTACTCTTGACTGCCCTTGAGTATCTTTGAGTGACTTTCCACTTAACTCTGTCCATGGTTTCTGTTATTATAGATACCCTCAAAGCATGTAGACTTGATGGCATCCCTGCAACAGTCCTTAGGAAATGTGCTCCTGAACTGACTCCTGTTCTCTCTAAACTTTACAATAAATGCCTTACTGTTTCCTACTTGTTGGAAATCCCCCTCTGTAATTCCAGCCTTTAAGAACTCTTGTCTGATCCTTCTAATTGTCAGCTCATTAGCCTTCTAATTTTTGGGGGGCAAAGTATTTATGAGAGACTCTAATCAACACCAAATTATTAAGCATCTTATCACACAGTCTCTTTCAAACATGTAGTATGGCTTTTGCTTCCCTAGGTCAACTGCTGATGTGTTAACAGTTATTGTTGAAAGAGGTTATCATGCTTTAGGTAAGAATGGTGAAATTCAGGCTGTTTCTTTGGATATCTTGAAGGTCTTCGACAGGGTTTGGAATGCTGGTTTTCTTCAAGAGTTAAAAGGTTATGGTCTTTCTGTTCGAATTTTTGATCTGCTTGAATCTTCCTTATCAAATCGTGAGATGAAAGTTATCTTGAATGGCCACTCTTCTAGACCTTTGTGCATTAATATGGGTGTTGCCAAGGGTTCTATCTTTGGACCTATGTTGTTCCAAATTCACGTCAATGACTTTTATGAATCATTAGTTCTTAACTTGGCATCTATACTGGTAACACATTACTCCTGTGTTAATGACAAGCCGGATTGGTTCAATAAGGTCAAATTGGCAGCTGATCTCAAAAATGACCTACAATCTGTTAACTGGAGCAAGAAATGTCATGTTCATTTTAACACCTCCAAAACAAAACATTTTTAACAATGATGTTCACTCTATACAACACATTACTCCTGTGTTAATGGTAAGCCAGATTGGTTCAATAAAGTCAAATTGGCAGCTGATCTCAAAAATGACCTACAATCTGTTGTTAACTGGGGCAAGAAATGGCATGTTCATTTTAACGCCTCCAAAACAAAACATTTTTTTAACAATGATGTTCACTCTATACAAGGCCTGAGAGCCACTCGAAGTAGAAAGTTACAGAGTAACAAGCAGAGTTTATGCAGATATGTGGAGAAGATAATGGTTGACACAAGACTTGAACAGGTTAAGATTGTAGTGATCGGTGAAGCATCTGCTTCAGAATCAGTTCTAAAGAAGAGCTGTTTGTGGGGAACTCAGCAATGGAATAACAAAGGAATGAAGGTGGTTCACTACAATATTTATAGCATGGTGACTTTTAGTCATGAAAGTTAAAACTGGTGGAACTAAAAAATGTAGTTCATCTCAACACTTTCCATGGAAATAGCAATACCGCAGCGAAAGACTTGCAATGTTTCACCTGTGTAAAAGGGTTGTAGAGTGAAAAATTATTTGTCACCCACAAGGACGAGGAGACTCTTTTGGACTATCAAAACTGGAAAATGAACATTAGGCAGCTCCTGCCCATATGGCAGCAGTACTCCATTTTCAGCCTGATCTGGCTCTTGTAAAGGTAAAGGGTAGCAGGAGAAGTCAGGTACTTTCAAAGACAGTACACATTTTCCAGCCTCTTTAGCAACAGATAGTATGTAGGAGTTCCACTTGAGGTCTGGGTTGAGTTTTAGTCCCAATAGGTGCTCAAAGCATGGGGCCACCCTTTGGAAACATTTGTTCATCATGATTGGCAAAAGTTCTGGGTCTGATTGGCAATGATGGAACATAAGTAGTTTTGTTTTCAAGGCACTGAATGTGACCAGCCAGTTTTTCCACCACTCAGCAGTTAAAGCTTGATCAGAGGAAAGATCAGCTGCCAATCTCTGGTCATCTAGAGTTTTGGAGGTGCTCCATATAGTGTTGTATCATCAACATTGATATTCACAAATGATTTTCTTTCAGATTTAACAACTTAAGTCTTTGGCAATTTCAACCATGGAAAGATTAATAATCAAACAGCGTGTTAAAGTTTCAAGAGTGCAATTGGAAAAATTGTTCGTAAATTCAAACAAACTGGGTCGGTGGCAGATGTGAAAACACAATTGCGTGCTCATTTATGCCCTTCAGCTGAAAACATTACTGGAGTGCATGAGAATGTGGCCAAAAATCCAGACCCCTCTATTCATCATCGCACGCAGGAATTGAACCTCTCCACAACAACGTTACATCATTACCAACTGCACTCTTGGTTGGTCGATTATGTTGACCAAAAAAAAAAAAAAAAAAAAAAATATTGCAAAGTACGCAAAATGCATTTCTATTTGAATGCTCATTTTTGTAATAGGCTTCGATAACTTTAACACGTTGTTTGACTGTTCATCTTTCCATGGTTGAAATTGCCAAAGACTTAAGTTGTTAAATCTGAAAGAAAAAGAAAAAAAATCATTAGATGCTTAAACTTAATTCACATTTAAAATCAGTCTAAGTTACTGGAACAGCCTTTACAATGTTAAAACAAAACAAGAATAAAGAAAAACAATAAAATAAATGAACAAAAAAAAAATGAAAAGAAGCACTAACAGGAAAATAGCATCAAAGAGAAAAGACAGAAAAATGTCTCAAAAGTAAAGAAGAATACCATCATTTTGAAAACGTTTTTGGCATAGGGTCCACTGCTGGCAGTTGGCATTGGGGAAATTGTGGCAGCAGGCGACATATCGATCTTTTTAGGCGGCGGTTCGTCTGAACTATCTTCAGAGCGCCGTTTGGAAAAATATCCACTGTAAGGTTCTGGTTTGTATTCATCATTGCTGTCACTAAGAGCACTGCTTTCATGCCCGGATGCTAAAGTGAGTTGGTCTGCATCACTTTCAGAATCTGAGAAAATTAAAAAAAAAATTATATATATATATATATATATATATATAATAAAGTAAAAAACAAATAGAAAATGTATTTCAATCTAACATGTTTCACTTTTACTAAAGCTATTTTATTGTAGCAAAATATACATGTATAAACAAACAATTAAATTAATCTTCAAACATGGATCTACAAATTTTAATAATTCTTATTTATTTGAGTATTATTTTTCTTTCAAATTAAAAGAAAATAATTACAAAGATACCCTGCAAGCAACTTCATACAAAATGTTAAATGTATCTTTTTTACAGTACAACTGAATGAATTGCATTAGTATATGATAAACAAAAAATGCATCTTCATATGAGCAGATGTATATGTCACAAGTGCATTGTGTGTATATGAAATCCCAGCGGTCAGTCACATGAAAGTAAGGCAATGTTGTACCATGTAAACAAACTATTGCTAAGCCATATTTTTGTAATGTTGTATACTCGAATAAATAAGCGAAAGATATGAGTAATTATTTGTGAGAATTTCAGTTTCATTTGTCTGACAAATGACCAAAAAAACACCCTGGTCAAAGGTTAAGTGAAAAACTAGTTAGTGACCAAGAACTGATCATATCTATAGGTAGGTTATGGTGGAATATAAACTATAGATTTATTAATTGCAAGCCTATTGGCTAATAAATATTTTTAAATATTTTAAGAATGAAAAATATTGTTGAACATATTCTGAAGTTGAGCCTCCAAAATTTCATTTTAAGATATTTTATCACCTGCCAACTCAAAGAATAGTGTGCATCTCATACAATGTCACTGGTTGGTTATTATATATGAAAAAAAAGATTCATATATTTGGAGCTTCACAATGTACAAAAATTGATTTACTTTTGGTGTGATGAGCTTTCAGTACTTAAATCTACATTTTTCTACAATTCTGAAACAGGACTCCACACACACACACACACAATAAAATAAAGAACAAATGTGAAACGTATATCAATCTAACATGTTTCACTTTTATTAAATCTTTGTCAGCTTTCTTTCAATCTCTGATGAAACTTTACTAAAAGTGAAACATGTTAGCTTGATGTTTCCTATTTGTTCTTTATTTTATCATCCTGTCGGATTCCAAAACATATTTGACCTTTTTTTATATATATATATATATATATATATATATATATATATAAGTAATGAAAGTTTTTTTTTTTTTTAATATATCTCACACAGATAAAAATATAAAAAGTAAGAAGTTGAAAAACAACTGGAGTTTTTAAAAATATTTATTTACAGTAACTTTACCAGTTTCACATCTGATGCAAGACATATCACGACATAGCCACACATCTCTCCATCTCAATTTAACTTTTACAAAGCACAGAATTGTGAAACTGGTAAAGTTACTGTGAATAAATATTCTTAAAAACTAAAGTTATATTTTCAACTTCTTTTTATGACTATATGCGTGTGTGAAAATTTTCAAATATAACTACAATATGGCTGTAAAAGGACAATATAAATAAAGACAAAAGGAAAACTTATCTTAGCTGACACATTTCATCCTGACAGATTCTAATGCAAGTATAAATAGACAAATGTAAAAATGTTTTTACAAAATTTAAAACATGCTCATAATTATTCAACAGGTTAACTGAAATTCTAGGTAAATTATGGAGGATGCTAAGTGACATAATTTAATGTCTATTAAACAAAAGTGAGTAAATGATGATGTTGAATTTTTTATGCAATTAATATTAAATTATTCTAGTATGGGATAAGTTTATTATATTTTTTTAAATAACAGGCGGTTATGAATTTAACTGTTTTCTTTTCATTTTTAATATTCTTATAGTTATGTTGGCTTGGGAGAGAAGTAATTCTTTTAAGAATGGAGATATTGGAAAAAATCCAAAGCGCAGATTTATATTTTGATAAGATTCAATAGCAGCACTAGCAGAAACAGTAATTCCTTGTACAAATTAGTATGCGCTTCCATAAAGCGATATGTTTTTTTCTTTTTTTGTACTTAATTTAAGAAAGTTAACTTTCAAATATATGTAAACATCAATAATTAAAAAATAAAGTAATTTTTTTTTTTTAAGAAGAAAGTTAACTTTCAAATTAGGGTTAGGTGTTTTTTTTTTGGTTATTCTTTTATTTTTTATTTTTTTTTAGAAGAAAGTTAACTTTCAAATTAGGGTTTAGGTGTTTTTTTTTCTTTTCTTTTGTTATTCTTTTATTTGTCGATGTTTACATATATTTGAAAGTTAACTTTCTTCTTAAATTAAGTACAAAAAAAATCGCTTTACGGAAGCGCGTACTAATTTCTGAAAGAAAATATTTTAGAAAGTCCTTGGGGCGGTACCTATATCTTTCCCATTGGCGCAAAAGTGAACGTAACGAACGCGGCTAGAATTCGAACTTGACTCTAAATTTCTCATTCCGAACCAAAGCACTATCCATTCAGTTGCACATCCTCATGTTATGGAATAACGAAAAAATAGGGGTCCTGTTTAGCATTAAGCAGTAAATCGACCTGCATCCATTGAGAATTTTGTAAATTTAATCAAAAAATGGAAATTATAAAAAAAAAATACGTTCCCCACCAAAAGCAAGCACTTTTTAACCAAGTCTTTACCAAAATGTGTGCTAAGAATATGAGTCTAGAGAGAAATCTAAGGGAGGTAAATCCGTATTTGCTGGAGGGAAGAACATCAAGATCTGTTGTTTTTTATTCAATTTTTGAAAGCCACATTAGCCGTAAAGCATTTTTAAAAGTTACCTAAAGAAATATATACTCGTGTATAAGACGAGAAATGAGGAGAGAAAAAAAGCTGATAAAATGAGGAGTGAGTTTATATTCGGGTCAATACGGATTTTCATCATCTTCAACAAATATAGAAAAAAAGCGCCAAAATATCTGGACTTGGAGTGATTGCTTTTTTTACTTTAGCACTGATGGTAGCAACGTATGTACCTGATTGGTATTGGGGAGAACATTACAAAGAATGGATACAGCTTTTTTTCTTTTTTTTTTTTGGAGACTTTTTGAACTTAAAGATTTTCAATTGAAAATATTCTAAAACTGAAAGTGACTACATACACCAGTTTTCAAAATTTTTCTGCGAATTGTAAAAGTAAAACTAAGAACTTTTAAAAACTTTTTTCTCACAAGATCTTTGTATGTAGAAGATATTGTACAATAGGAAAATAAAAGCTTTAAATAACTTCACAAAATTGGATCTCTACACAATATTCAACGCATGTAGGACGTTACAAAAAAATAGTTTCCAAGTTTTTTTAAGGCGCGCATTTCATTCGATTTTTATGTTGAATAAAAAATATTATATTACATTCGGAACATGGTGTCATTGTTGTCTACTAAAAAAAATTAAAAAAAGAACTAGTAAAAAAAAAATTAGAAAGAAAACTTGCTGAAGTTTTATATATTAAAACATGAAATGCTAAAAGAATCATTGTGAAACGAAAACTATGCCCCAAAGTCTAAATGACACTCCTTCCTTACAAAAACATTAAATAATTTAAAACTTCATAAAAATATTGTCTACTGGTAAGAATTTACAAAACACGCGCCATCTGAACGTAGTCGTAAGTGAAATGCGTTTATTATTAGCTTTAGTTACCCATATCTCAAAAAAACAAAACAAAAAAAAAAAAAACAGGGAAGGCCGCAGCTTATCACGAGTATTGTTCACGCAAATACACGTGAAGAGCCACTCAAGTTAGAGGGTTACTAAATGAAGTTGTACAGAAGTAGGAAATGTAAACTATGATGAAGATATATGTAGAATAGAGATGTCGTAGTCATTGGGGAAGAAAGTAACTCTTTCAAGTTTGAATTTGAACCAATTTTAATTGAGAAAGCGCGCTAAATTTCTGTTTCACAAAAAACTCAAAAAAGAGATAGCGTACCCTCCTTTTTTTATAAAGTGAAAAAAAAGCTTTCTGTTTGAGCATGTAATTAAGTAATAGATACTAATTATTGTACTATTCTGTACACAAGATCACGAATAAAGAAAGCGAGAAGATCTTTTTTTTTTTTTTTAAAATACGTGCGTATTACAATGAATGTCGTTCGCTGATTTCTCCAAAGGTTTAAAAAGAATACCAGGGTAAAAGAAAACACCCTGTTTTTTGTTTTGACTTTGAAAAATAAGCTAACCAAGTACAAAAAAAAAAAAAAAAGTTTTTATTACAGTCGTGGAGAGATTCTTCCAGACTCTTTCACTTTCCTGGTCCAAATTTATAAAGTTGTACATATTATTTTTTTTTTTTTTTGACAATCTCTCTTAAATCGGCATTTAATGACACAACGCAAAAGTTTTAATTAATTAATTAAAATATTAAAAAAACAATACGATAATTGTTTTCTGCTAAAAAAAATTTAGAGCTACTTTCAGTTTAAAAATGAAAACATAATAATTTTTCTTGCTTTGTTCACATTCTGTCATGAAAAAATATAAAAATGATAATTTATAAATTTTTAAAAGACTTTTCAGATTTTGACTTTTTAAAAAAAATTGTTTTGTATTTTGAACTAAAAAAGGCTAACTAAAATAAAACGTTGATAGTTTATTTTCACTGTAAGAAATCGTACACACTTGTCGTCAAAACATGCATTTGAAAACTAGAAAATTCACTTAAAAAAATTTTTTTTTTTCTTAATCAAAACTTTATGTCCAAACATTTCAATTTGAAAAACAATACGAATTTTAGCTTCGTTGGCTTTTTTTTTTTAAAGGATTCAGTGTTTTTAGTTTTACTTTTTAAAACATGCTCAAACAAAAAAAGTATATATATATTTCAATCGGAACTACCTACCTGAAAGTCTCTCGACCTTTCCGACAGACATCGGGACGGTTTTACACGGCTCCCTGAATTTAATAATCCAGGAAAATTAAATTGCTTGGAAATAATAAACAAAATAAAAGTTCGAAAAATATTAACTAGAATTTTCGTTTGATGAAAAATTTAAAATTTAGTTCAATTATCTCCCCTTAGAAAACGAACGGCTTTTTGCGGTGCAAACTTTATTACCTCCCCTTGATAGCACCATTAAAAGATGTTTAAAAACTACTTATAAAATTATTATTCAATATTTTAAAAGGATATAATTTTATACTTCTGATATGGTAGATTGGTGCAACACAATTGTCCTGATCCATTCTTTCAACTCTATATGGCTCATAACATAGTAAGCTAGTGTTAATTTTACACCAAATGTGGTTAATAAATGTAAATATGCTGATAAAAAAACAAATTTATAAAATAGTCCTATAAACTACAATAAAGATTGTTTTGTTAGTAAGTCCTATATTGCACTGTCACAGACAGGTAAGACCTAAATTAAAGATGCCAACTTTTTTTGCATACCTAAAAAAACTAAGCTAAATAGATAAAAATTTCTTAAGAAAGTGGAAACTTACAATAGTAGCTGAAGTCATTAGTCAACAGTGTAAAGTATCAACAACGTGCTGTCAAATTTTGAAGGGTCATTTGTAACAAGCATGCGCGGATGATGATGATGATGAAGCCCCAATGGTATATATAAAATCACAGGAAGAGCACACTTCAGAGAGTAGTGTGCCTAATGAACCTATGCAGGATGAGCTCTGTGAGACATCTGAAGAGAGCACCACTGAGACGGAACACCAGGCAGAAACGGCCTGCCCCACATTGCCATTTGTGGGATCTCGAGATCAGGGAGGAGTGTAACGAGCATGCGCAGAAGCGTCCTCAGACTGCGTGTGTGTGTTGTCGCCGGGCACACCTTGGAGTACCATAATGGACTCGACCAAGGACTACAAGAAGATGCACTAGTCGTTTGGCGTCTTTTCTTGGGCGACAAAATCCGTTGCGGTCGGTTGTCCGTCGGCAGCAGTTTTGGGTGCCATTTTGCTTGTTTGCTGCTGTAAAGTGTTCGTTCGGAAGAGAAGGCATTCGTTTTTGTGTTGCAAGAAGTTTTTTTTTTTTCCTTTTTTCCAATTTTCTCGCACATCATTCAGGGGTTGATAGGTCAACGCAAGTGGTAGGAATATCTGTTTGTTGAATGGAAGAAGTTGCAAAATGAATGTCATTTCTAGAAAACTTTCAGCAGTTGAGATAGCATTGTATAATTATAATTGGACAGAGAAAGTAAGAGAGAGATCTGACTTTGTATTGTTAAGGGAAACCCGGTCTGGTTGTTTGTTTCAGAGAAACATATTCAAAATTACCTGTTATTGTATGCTGTCCCAGAGTTCTTTGCGAGTCAGAGAATCTAGCATCCTCATTTCTCAACACACTGCTAAGGTAATTTGATCTGCTGACCCATATTGTTCCCTGACAACACACTCACAAGCCAAATCATTATGACCAGTGATTAAACTGTCAGATATAGTGTCATATCAATCAAGCTCAGAAGCAAAGCTTATTAAAAGAAATATCATCCAAACACCTCATTGGTTAGGGATGTCTTTACTCTAGACAGAAGTAAAGAGCAGTGGTATGGTGGACATAAGCGGTAAATTTTCATAATGTTTACCTACAGTCTCAGTTATAAACCCAACCAATGTTTACCTATAGACTGAAGTAGAAACTTGACAGATTTTTACTGATAGATTCAAGTATAAACCCAACCAATGTATAGGCTCAAGTATAAATGCAACTAATGTTTCTTATAAACTCAAGTATAAACCTGACCAATGTTTATGTATTGACTCAAGTATAAACCAACCAATGTTTGCTATAGACTGAACTATAAACCCAGCCAATGTTTATGTACAGACACAAGTATAAACCAATGTTATGTATAAACCAATGTTTCCTATAGATTCAAGCATAAACCTGGCCAATGATTTCTATAGACTCAGGTATAAACCTGTTGACGTTCAGTGTGTTCCTCCCACATTTCAGTAGACATCGGTAATTACACCGCTCACTTTAGCGGTAGGTTCGAAGCTAGCGTCCAGCTTCCAGACAAAAATAAACAGAGTCGTAACTTAATACGAAACTCTATAACAGTGCATGTCACCACAGTCCCAGCTGCACTGCCAGCCAATGTCCCAGACCATTTTTATTGACCAAAAACATGGTCAACGCACCAATCATCGCCGTTGGCCTCGTTCTCAATCCGAGTCGCCAGCTTGACCAATCAGCATGCAAACCGCCACTAGACAAATCGTGCCAAGCAGCATAAAATAAATGTCAGAGAATGTACTTTTCTTGGACCAAACTTGCAAGAGGAAATGATGTAGCTGATGAAATGGCGAACTGTCTAGCTTGGCTTTATGCGCATATCCGTCATAAGACAGCAGCCCAACAAGCAAAACATCTTGGACGCTTCGAATCCGGTAAGTGCGAATATTTATCGTCACAAAACCTAATTAATATTTATAGACTCAGGTATAAATCTGACCAATGTTTACCTATAGATGCAAGCAGGATGTACTAGCCCCAAATCCCTTGACCAAGGATAACCCAAGCCTACTTATAGTCCCTGGAAAAGCAGGTTTCAGCAGTGCTTTGTGTCCCTCCACCATTTTATCAAAATTTTTATACCGATGTTACATTGTCAATCATCAACTATAATAATATACATTTTTTATATATAGAGATATATGTATATTTTAGGTGACCTCGATTTCATGTACATTAAAGATACATGTAAATGGTTTGTTGACAAACATTGGGTATTGTTTCTTTAACAAAAATAAACAAAAAATTATTTATGTTTTAGTTTTAAGTATCAGCTGATGATGGTGTAGTGAATATATTTGCTCATCCTAAGTCTTGACAAAAAAAAACTATGTAAAATTCTCTATTTTTCAACTATAATGTTGAATGTATTAGCAATCTGCAGAGAAAGAGACCTTCAGCTATAATTAATGAGTTTTTAGTATTCTGCTTCCATTTAATAGTTTCTTTTGACTGCAAATTTTGTGCAGAAAGAGGATCACAGAGCCTTGATAATTTTCTGACTCCTGATTGGTCAATTAATGCCATTATAATGTTTTTGTCTTTGTCTGCATGGTTAAAATTAATTTACCACCAAAATCTGTCTATGTGTTTCGAGCCTGTCACATGATTCACATTACTTATAAAAACTTGGACACATTTTCAACTCTTCCTTTCTTGCCTTCTCTCACATACAAGATGTAACTGTAGAAAAATCATGTTTGTCCCTTAAAGGGAAAATGCTATGAAATGTTATGACGTGCAACACACACAACACATGCAACACATATGTATGAACAACACACATCTAGTAGTATCACACATCTATGAACATTCACTCTTTCAACTACAAGGACACAGAAACTTATCAACTTCTAACAGTGAAATTTTCCTCAGTAAACAGCATGCTGTCTGAAAGAATACAACTTTTAAACTCTTATCACTTTTTACTCATGAGAAATTTTACAACACACCTTCTGGAGTTAAAAGTTTCTTATTAACATAATCTCAGCTTCCTTGAACACACCCACTTGATTCATCTCAACCGATGTCATTCCTCTACGGTGAACGAATCTGAGTGGCAAGATATTTCAATATATTTATACTGATTTTCATCTCAGAAGTGTTAAACTAAAAAGCTACATTTTTAGTCCTAAATACAACTTCTCGATTTTCAAGCGAAGACTACAATTTTCTCACACTCAACAAGTTTCTTTAAAAGCCTTAAGCAAAACAATTTAAACTAGCAGTTAAAGGTAAAAAAAACTCCTGCTATATTATTAATTATAAATGCTACATATTGACATATACTTTGGACACAACTGAACAAACACTTTTGCCTACCATAAAACAAATTTTAGTGTGATAACAATTTGCAACTTAGCCTAACAATAATTATCTAATCTGCCCAGACTGTAGCTGTTAATCTCATAGTCACCCTTGACAAGATACAGAAGAGTTAATGCTGTGAAAATCAAGTTGATTATCTGTTTTCTCAACAGTTATTTCTTTGTTTTGCTGTGTTAATTGGGTATCCATTGTTTAATAATTATTTTTACCTTTCAGATGGACATTTTGTATGCAAACTCTTTGATCTATTCACCTCCTTCAGTGTTGGCCTTATCTATTTGATGCATCTTGCATTCAACAAAATATGCATTTGTAAACCAGTTACTAGTCGACCAGCTAATTCTGAAAGGTGGGTCTTGTTTGCTTTCTGATTTTAAATACAAGACTTAAACAATATCTTTGTATTGCAGAAACCATTGCTTTGTTTCTCCTTTGTCAATTTTTTTTTATTCAAAGAATTCTTCAAAATAGTATCTTCATTTTTTGTTCCAAGTTTTGTTATTGCAATTAAATGTAGTTATTAATTTTTACAGAAAGTAGTCAAAGCACAGATCAGATGAAACATTATTGTAACAACGGATGTAACACAATTAACTTTGGTTGTTCTAATTCCTGCAATGATGATTATTATCTCAAAATCAAAATTCTTGCTACCTATATTCAGTTACATGCAAATACACTTGAGAAAGTTATGAATCTGCCTCTTCTCCCCCCAGCTATAGGTTAATTAGTAGGACTTGTTTCACAAAACCATCATTATCTCCAAAAATGAAATAAAATTGTATACAAAATATTTAGATTTTGGCATTAAATTACCCATATAGATGTTGATATGCCTTTAAACAAAAACAATAAACCAACCAGCAGATAGCAGTGTTCATAGGTACAAGTATATAACAGTGTGATAAACATTAATTTAACAATTTGCAACTCAGTTTAAATTACCCAAGTAAGTTCATTCTTCAGTCCTGTATATTGTTGATATAAAAATGTTTTGGTATTTCCAGAAAACATATTGTTGTTTTATAGTTTGGTTTTGACAGCCTTGTGCCATGCAAATAATCTAAA